GTCGTGAAAGCGAGACTTAATTTTCACAGGGTAAAATCTGAAAAATTCCTCGGGGCAGTCCAAGCCATACATTCAGAAAATGAATTAAAAAAGCGGGTGCTACAGCGACCCTTTAAAAGATTACCAAAGCAATTCATGGCTTGAAATTTTCTCAAAATATTTTTCACTCAAAGAAATAAGAAAACCACTGAAGTGTCCAAAAAAAGACAAAGAGTGGTTTTCATGAAGAAAAGAAAAATATGACAGGAAGCCTTCAATACTGCGAACCGAGATACCAGTTCATGCAGTTTCACCATTGATATACATTTTAAACACATATTTTTTCCTTTTCTGCAAAAAAATTTACACGGTTTTTTCAATGGCTGTGGTAATTTGCTTAATGAATATTACCTACCTTGCGAAATGCTTTTACTTTGACCTTGGCTTTCTATCCCTCAATTTCATGCTGTGCACAGAATTTAATGGAGTGGAATGAACTTTTTGAAATAGCTGTGGCGGAGAGGCGGGAGGAAGCCCCTTCACTGTAAAAATTAAGTTGTTGATTTAACGATTCAGTTGCTAAAAAAGTGACTGCAATATTTCAACGTAGATTTCACATCACAAAAATGCTACTATAACCACTATTTTAAGCTAATTTAACCATGAGGATGGTTAAAGTAGCATTTTTTTGTTGTAAAATCTACATTGAAACATTGCAGTCACTTTTTTTAGCAATTGAATTGTTAAATCAGCAATTTAATTTTTTCCGTGTTGATTTTCAGCAAAAAGAATAAAACATTCACTGTGCAGGTTGAGGGAAGTTTGCGAGAGGCAGGAGTAAAAAGTTAGTTTGATAATGAAAACTGATTTTAGTTCCGACTGATGTCATTCAAAATTGACGCAAGTACAAGTCAGGTATCAAATCATAATGACTCAATTGCCCTAATTTTTGTGTTATAGATTTGATATTAGTGTGCACCATGCATACAATGCGCCTAAACATTAAAGATGCTGGGCAAACATGGCATAAAAAATTGCTGCAGCCATTATTCTATTGCGTCCTGGCTCCTTGAAAATGAGTTCAAAAGGGTTGGAGTGACCTATGAAAAATTGGAGATCAACAAGGGAACTGCAAGAATGTGTATTTCAGTTGCCGTGTGTCAAAATCTCCGCTCCTATTTCCTTTTTTAGAAAGGGGACCAAACCCATATCGTAGCTTTAAGTTTTCACAGAATATTCTTTGTAAAAAGAAGAAAAAAAATGACAGGAAGTCTGCAACGCCGCAAACCGCGATACAAATTCCTGCAGTTTCACCATCAAGATGGATCTAAAAATCATTATTGCCAACCAAATGTCTCTTGTTTGATGAAATTAATTAGTTAAAAGAATTCCAATATTGAGAAAATACAACAAAACTTTACACAGTAACAAACATCATTTTATTTCTCACTGCTATAAACCTAATATTGACAATTCAAAAAACTAAATGCTTATTTACAAACAAGATTAAATTTGGCAGACTGGCACCCCATTATGATGATGCCTTTACGTGAGAGTCTTCTGTCTTACTTTCTTCAGTTTTGCCTGTCTGAAGTTCCTTCATTTTTTCCTTCTGAGCAGCCATTTCTAAAATCAATTCTGTTGCTGTTGGCGGCATGTTGGCTGGTCTCCTCATATCCTTCTGTAAAAGTAGGAATCAGAAATTACATTGAGACACTTAGTCTGAATTTCTTGATACTTTCATTAAAGACCCTTAACTTCCATGTGTTAATCAAAAAATTTGTATTTAAGATAGTGAGGTTGTAAATCTCTGCTCATGTTCTATCTCTTTAAGGAAAACCAACAGACAGACTCTAATGAAATTTTCTATGGATTGCCTTGACTCATTCTAAAAAAATCAAATTAAACTGCAACATTTTGGCTAGTTTTCTTTGAAGAAAAAAAAACCATGAGGTCGGAGATTTGCGAATATTGCAAGTAAGATGCAAATTTTTCACATTTAGTCATCGATTTTTATCAAATATGTTGGAGGAAAGAGTAATTTTATTTTAAAACAATTAAACCAATCCTTGAGAAACTCATTACTAAATACTAATGAGGAAAAAGGCAGCAACTAAAGTTTTGATTTCTATTGGATTGGATTTCTTACAATTGCAATTGCACATTTGAGGAATATCTCTGATGCTCGAGCATGTTTATTTACGCTCCAACTTTGGACGCATACTGGGCATGGCGCCTGTGGGATTCAAACACTGTGTACAGCACCTCTAAGTTTAGGAGCTGTTTTTGAGCTTGAGGGCTGATTGCATTAGGAGATAAAAGCTCTTTCTTGACAGCTATCGCAGTTTTCAAAATTGCACATATTTAATTAAAAAAAAAAAAAAGAAAAGAAATGAAATACCTATGGCTGTAATCTGAAAATAAAAAACAAAAATTGAAAGTCAGATACATTACCAATGGGAAGGTAGCAATGTTCAGAGCTGGGTCCCTGTTCGTAAATGGGTTCCATACGCCTTGGATAGAGGGATTTTCTGTGTGCCACAACTTCCGATACCTGATACTTTGATCGCCGGATGCGGTAAGCATGTTATGTATCCATCTATAGCATTCATCCCGTTGAAAGTTATGTAGACTCATCCATTCTCTGTGGCCATCCACTGATATCAAAAGCAAACAATCTCTTTATAACTGGGAGGCATATTTTTGACAAATTAACTTACTAATTGGATTGCATTTTGCAAAAAGGAACCAAGAGCATTCCACTGTTGCTAAGATTGTGCAAATTTTTTTGCCTTGTAAGTATAAACTGATCATCTGAACAAGTTTTGTCTTTACTCCCAATAAACTATTAATTCAAGATGAAAATTACCTTGTAAATTAATTTTTTGCACGATTTCAGTACTTTTATTGCAAAAAATGTAAGTTGCACAATCCTAGCAACATTGGAATGCTTGTGGTTCCTTTTTGCAAAATTTAATCCGATTGGCAATGGCAAATTCTGTTATTATGAGAGCATTTTGTAAAGAAAGCGCACTATTGGGCGTTACTTGCAAAACCGGACAGATTTAATCAAAATCAGCTTCACTAGAATTCACATCGCCTAACATCCTCTCAAGTTCCATTTTTTGGACAAATAACTGAACCATTTAACACCTTGAAAATTTCTCTGAACTAGGGGGCTGCGCCCCATGGCCGGTAGCAGGGTTGCCGTGTTTTTAGTTTTGGAGTCCCCAAATAAAGTGGCAGCCCTGTCGAGCCCTGTCAATGTATTTGCTCCCTATCTTTGCATAGAGAGTTTGTCTTGATGTAGACGTGGACTCTCAGGGCAGGGTGGGATATACCCTCCATTTTTGCCTCAAGTTGAGAGCTTTTTTTGAGCTTGGGAGTTGATTTCAGAGAAAACCAGTGGCACCATTGTGGCTTTCACAAACTTTTACATATGAATCAGTTAAATCGCAAATTCCTCACACATGCAACATCTCCATTAAATGATATACCTATGTATTTCATCTTACGTTTTGGTGAATTTGACCTGGTAAAATTTACAGAGCCTCCTCTATCTTCTCCTTTTTAAACCTCATCAGAAAATGAGAAAATTACAGACGAAAATAAGACTTACAGTACTCCGCCACAAGTACAGGACTTCTGTGTCTCCTTGGCTTAACATAAACAACAACTTGAGGGTTTTCTCTCGCAAAATCTACAAGGTTCTGTTCGATAAAATCTCTGCAAAATAAAAGCCATTATCAATATAATGTACATCTTTGTAAATTAAAACACATAGATAATGCAAAAAGGAAATCATATACAAGCGGCTTGTAGCACAAGACGCACAACTGCAGTTTTTGAAAAAAAATGAGATATTAATGATCTCAAGTAAAACTAGTTTTAATGCATATTCTATGAAAAATTTGCTCCCCAATTCCAATTTTTAAGCATACATAGAGGCGGAGATTTTTAGACACTGGAAACGAGACATGTGATTGCGGACTTACGCCGTCGAATTCCACACTGATGCTAAACACTTTTCTTGGCTTTAAAAATCTCTTAGTTTCAGATTTGGGGTGTCAGATTCAGATCAGGATGTCCTGACATTTTGGTGACCGAGAGAAAAAGTGGCAAATCTTCTCGAAGATATGACAGTTTAACCCCCTACTTCACCGTACCCAGCACAATCCAGAATTTAGGGATTTCAACTCCCACCCATTTCACACCACCACCCTAACGCGGGGTAGGTTTTGTCTGTGGTTGTCCTGACATTGAATATCTTTGGTCCTCAGATTTAATGATTTACTTAGTTGAATCGACAAGAGATGATAAAAAAGATGAAAGAACATCTCCAGAGGAATTAGATGTACAGAATGCGATACAGTTTTGGCGGCAGAGAGGGACTCAGCTATTGCCGTCTAGCTTCAGTCACTTACATGGTACGTGGACACTCTCGCTTAAAAGTGCATCATCCTATAGTGCGCTGATTAAGTCTGTAAGTTAGGCCAAAATTCTAAAAAAAAACCGGCAAAAACGGAATGAACAGAGAAATATTACCGTAATCCTCTGCTGCCTCCATACTCTTTGCAGAATTTAAGTGTTATTCGCTTCAACTGACAAACGTAACGATTGAATCCATTGTAGAATGGAGCCTTGACAAATCCAGACTGTTGAAACAAATGCCTGTTCGACATTTTTCAATTGACTAAGTATGCACTGATGTAAATCATAAGATGATAACTGATAATAGACTTAAATACAACTAAATTAAATATAAGAACGCAATTGCAATTTTTTGAGCGACAAATTTTTAACGGGTTATGTTTACTTCAACACTCATCATTTGCTCACCGGTGATGATCAATGTTGTGCTTCGTTGAAGTGTCCACCGCATGTTTTTTTCTAGGTTAAATCCAGAACACAGGATACGACACGTTTCTTTCTTAGCTGTGTTGCTGTGTTAAAATTCTAATTCCGTATCTCCCACATTCACGAAGCTAAGTCACCAAAACTTCTCCGAAGCACATAACATCCATTAATACATCATGGAATGATATACATTCAAAGTTTCCTTCCAAGAGGACACCCTGACTCCAGACTCATCTTCCTTGGAAAACTTGCTGACCGTAAGCTGTATTCCTTTTATGAAAGTATTTCTTCTCTAGTCAAGAATAATTTTTGCTTGTTTCATTCTCCACTTTGTAGCTTCCCTCTTCTCAGACATACATTCAATCAAAATACTTGATCAAATCCATCACAAACCAGCTTTTATCTATTCCAACCTAAAAGATCCGCATGTGTTCAGTAGCGAAGCATCCTTTGCTAACTCGTTTTTGGAAACATGCATTTTTTTTTTTACTACTTCAAGTAGCCCTCAAGGGCTAATCCTGCGCTTTTAATACGATCCCCCCCTCTGTCCCTAACAACCAGACCCAGGCAACCATTGTCTGAGACCATCAAACTCGGGTTGCCTGGCCGGGAGTCCAATACCCGGGACCTCCCGATTATAGAACTATTCAGCATTAACTATTCAGTCATCTTGTTCAGGTAACTCTCGAACTCTATCACTTTAAGCACTTTCCAAACCGTAAGCTTCGAGTGTAAAAGCTCTTTTTATGCCATACCCCTGTCTTCCAACAAATGAATGGTGCCAGCAGTTGGTGGTATGTTCCCCGATAGTATCTGCAAAGGTGTGCAAGAACTTACAGAAGGAGAAAAAATGCAATCATTCTTCATATGCCAAGAAATCCTTTCAAAGAAAACTTACTAGTACATTTTCATGTCTAGTCTCAAAATACCCTTTAGCCTGTGTAATTTTTTTTTCCATTCTTGGAAAATTCCACAAATGCAATCACAAGACTTATCCAGTTGCTATTGCATGACTACAATAGACGATTGAACGCAGTTCATTTGAGCTAGGAATGAGACCTTAGAATCCTTTGGTCACGAAAGAAGCGATTCATCCACCTTGTAAGCATTTCAATTTACTCCCTCTAAGCTCATTACAATTTTCATGGAGATCTTAAGTTTTGTCTTTTTTTTTTCAGATTAAAAACAAAATCAGGAGCAATGTCAAAAAGGAAGGCCTCAATCTCAGTAGAGGAGTTGACAAATGGTGATGAGTCTCCGACCATTATTAAACAAGAGCCGGTCACCCCTGTTAAACAGGAGCCCTTTGCCAAAGCACCAATTGTAGGCCTGAACGAAGATGCCGAGAAGGTGCTCAATCTTCTACAAAGCCATGGAACAGCGGGTGTTTCTGATGATGTCATTGCCAAATGCTACCCGGAACTCGGCCCACAAGATCGAGTGGCCATCATCAACAAACTAGTCGCAGCAGGCAAAGTAGGGATTTTCAACCAAAAAGGCGTTCTTGTCTACAAAGCCAAAGATCCAGCAGAAGGAACACAAATCAAAGGTTCTAATGTTGAGGAGAAAACTGTCTTTACCATCGTCAAAGAGGCAGGGAATAAAGGAATATGGATAAGAGACATTCGACTCAAGTCCAATCTGATCCAAACCCAACTGAATAAAGTCTTAAAGTCATTGGAAGGTAAGAGCCACGAAAAACTTATTCGATATTTTGGTTAGATTGTTTAAGAAGAGTTTTGTTTACAGAGAGGTTGATGGATATTTTTACTCGCAGGAAATTGTGGTAAAGATTTTAGACTGGTGCATTAAAACACTAGGCAGGGTATGAAATTAAGCATCCTGACATATCAACAGTGAAACTCAAACCCTGTGCTTCAGTTGCGACGTCGCAGACTTCCCGGCATACTTTATTTTTTCTAAATTGAGAACGCCTCAACTCTGATTCGTAAACACATCCATGAATTTTCTTCTCTGAACAAAGGAAATTCTGAGGAAAATTCAAAGAATGGTTCTGATTTGTTCTCTTTTGAAAAAATTAAATAGGGGGGGAGATTTTTAAACTTTGCGAACAAGATACGTCGTTTGGTAGTTTCACCATCAATAGGTATATTTTTACTTCAGAATTTTACGGAGAGCACAATTTTTGCAACGAAAATTAATGATAATTACTCTGAACCAAGATATCCGAATTGTTATTTGGCACTGGTTCCTAAATATTTGAAGTTCCTGCTCACAAGAAAAGCAAGATTCCACACAATTCAAATCACACATTACAATGGTTTCGCAGGCTTTTCGATCAAGAAATGTCCTCGCCACCTTGTGCTGTTCAAAGCGTGTACAGCTTGCCGTAATAGAGTAGAAACACTTATATTGAGATTGCTATATTTTAATACTGAAGAGACTTAATAGCAAAGTTAAGTGTGCAATGTAACTCTAACAGAATACGTTTTTTTTTTTTTTTTTTGAAAAGCATTAATATTTTGGGAAGAAGTTATTTTCGCTAATTTTCATTGCTCCCATCTTGCTCTAGGTACTGGAATGTTTAATGAGAAAACATTGATGACAATGTGTAAACTTGCACCTCATCTAGTGGTCCATCACTCCTTATTACAAAATATACATATTATGTAGTCTAATTGAGACTTTCCTGGCGTGATTTTATCTTTCTAACATTATTTGGTCACAAAGTTTGGGCAAATACATGAATTGTGGGTAAGATCAAGATGTCAGGTGACAACTAGGTACATGCTGTGGACGAAAATTGCGTCTATGCTTTTAAAAAAACCTGCTCAAAATTCCTATTATTTCATTTTGGTTCTCCATTTAACATTCATGCAACTCAGCTTCCTTGCATGTCTGTGACCATCCTATGAAGAAGGAACCATAGTCTAGGGATACAAAAATGTTTAATTAAGGAATTTCTGTCAAGATGGATCAAAAATTTTGATTTTGATTTTCAACTGAAAACTATCTTAAGGCGATTCCGAGTTTTGGGCAAGGCCTAACTGGTATGCGATATCGTTAGCCTAAGTGTAAAACCACATATCCTTGTTGCGGTGTTTCAAAATTTCAGCTTTTATTTAATTTTTGGGGAAGAAAGAAGCCAACTCATCAGCTTAAAATATAAATGGACACTATCAATCTTGGTAATGTTTCACTATCTTGTTTCTTGTGTTTCAGGGAAGAAAATGATAAAGGCTGTGAATTCTGTAGCAGCTGGAAAGAAAAAACTCTACATGCTTTACGACCTGGAACCAGATCGCTCAATTACAGGAGGCGCGTGGTATTCGGACCAAGACTTCGAATCAGAATTTGTAGATATTTTGAATCAGCAGTGCCTACGGTTCTTGGTGATGAAGAAAGAGCAGCTGGCTGATAAAATTTACGATTATGGCCCTCTCGAGGCCCAAACTCTAGTCTCCGCAACTGCTCAAGAAGTCCTAAAATTTATTTCAGAACTTGGCATTAGTAAAGTCAATTTAGCTGAGGAAGATATTAAAGTTATCCTAGAAACTTTGTTTTATGACGGCAAGATTGAAAAAACCTTGTTGGCTGATGGCACTTACAGTTATCGTGCCGTCGAGATGCTGTTACCGCCGCCAGGCTTTGTTAAAATGCCGTGTGGTGTTTGTCCAGTCATTAGGAAATGCAGTAGTGTTGGTTTGGTCAAACCAAAAACTTGTGAATATTTAACTGACTGGTTGAAAAAAGAGTCTGAAATTTTCTAGCAGTAATTGGTCCTCTCCTTTGAAAGTTTGCTTCAGGAAGTGACCAGGGCAATTTTTTTCTACCTTTGTAGCTCTGTGAGAGTTTGTTATGATAATTTAGTTTACCTTTGAAATTTTATGTGATGTTTTATACTTGCCTCAATTGTTATGGACTCGATTAAATTCATCGGTGCAATCAATTCTATGTCAGTTTTACTACTTTTAAATTCATTTACATCTCTCCTTTGATCATAAATTAAACAGCAAGAAATCCAAAATAATGTCAATACCTACAGCATTTAGCCTTTGGATCCAGGAGGTCTAGACTTTTTGTGGCTAGGATTTTAATTTCTTGATGCCCCAACCTATAATCTCCTTGAAGAGTTTGATGAGGAATTTGCCACTTTAAAATGGACGGATCATTCTATTATCACCGTAACTGCATTTCACATTGCTTAATCTAGGAGAAAAAATCCGAAATTTAGCTAACATATTTTAAGAGAAGCCCTCTTGTACTAATCCAAGAGTTGATAGTTAAAGGATTTTTCAATGATAAGAGTAAGATTTTTCGTTGAATATTATGGTTTGGTGAAGAAAATAGAAGTCGAATGTCAAGGCAACATATTTATTCACAAAATTTAAATCAATAAATAAAAATTTTATTTACAACAACATTAATCATAGTCGCGAGTAAAAAAATTACAAAACATGGTAAATTTTTTGTGAAGAATTAATACTTAGTAACTATACAGGTAATAAGAATCAACACCTGACAAGAACAAAATATTCTTCATTTGTACAACAGTCAAAAAATAAAATGAAGCTTAGTGAGAAACTTATGGGTAGAATCAAAAGAAAAAATAAGTTTGGTGAACCTATGTCAAAATAACACATGAGAACATTTTACAATGAGGCTTGTAAAATTCCGAACTCGTATGTTTTTTTCCTGATGCCTTGGTTTAAATTTTGCCAAACCTTGATGAAAATTTTGGCAGGCTCTGATGATGTAACCAGTCAGGGGAAACGGCATTTGCTGATCAGCTAACTTAGCTTCAGGCTTTGCCCTGCTGCGTCATTTCGGCAGTCTCCTTTAGATTGGTTGGTTTTCAATTAGCTTTTTCCTTCTCAGAAATTAAATTTTCGAATTTTCGATGAACTCCTTCATTTTCTCACAAAATTCTACTTGGGAAAAACTATACTACAACTCTACAAAAACGCCTTGCCACTGTTCCATTATTCAGGCCAGTTCAAATCCGCACGACAGGTACATGACAAAAGGTTAAGGTTCAAATGCTGTTCTTAGGAAGATGTCATTTATGGACATCTCATGAAAAAAAATCTATTCAATTCACACACATAATCTTAGATGAGCATTTGTAAAAACTAAAATAAAAAATAGTGTATTTCCTTCGGAAAATACACTAAAACAAAGGAAACAAAAAACAAAAAGGGTTGATGGTTAAAAGTTTACAAAACCTTTCAAGGATGAAAGACTTCTCTCTATATGAAACCTATCTCTTTGATGTCTTAGTTCTACCATGATTTCCATAGCATGCTGATTGATTTATCCTATTCATCCCATAATGATGGGGTTACAGCAAATTGATGATGCTGTTTTAAATTCTTAATGAGAGAGAGAGAGACACTTACACTATACATAATACAAGTAAAATCACAGAAACGCACAAAAAAAAGGTACTAGGTTTTGACTGAATGATATTTCTCTGATACAGATGCTTGACAAGATGAATAAAAAGAGAAAAATGACTGGGCATAGTGTTGCATGTAAAAATACCAAAAAATCCACATTTTAAGCCCGCTTTTCACAAAATTGGCAACTATGGCAAGCTTGATTTTAAGAGCTCATAGTGCTCAGGAGGCTGTGAGGAACATAGTTTTGAATAATACCTAAATTTAGCCTGCTTCAAATTTTTTGGTGCGATGTCCTTTTTTTAGGAATGACCCAATGGCCGATGGATAAGATATGCGTCTATGACATCATATAAGCAAACATTGATTTCTCACATTTTACTTCTGGGGTGCACAGAGAAGTGCTTCATAACACTCTGCCTGCAAATTTTCGTCTTGAGTTTTTGTCTCTGTTGAGCCTGTGGGTCAGCGACAGTGATAAATCTTTATTGTTATTGGTACTATTAAGAAACGAAACAACTCATCCTTAAGCGGCATGTTACAATTATTCGATTCCATTTTTTAGGGGTAAAGAGACAATTTGCAAGGAAGCTAGTTGTGATGGTAAAAAAACTTCACAGAACAATTGAAATACAAAAAAATGAAACACTGACCATATAGACAAAAATTAGAAAGAAATATAATTATCTTAATAGATACTTCATCAATTGGCTGGTTTAGACAAACAAACAAACTGAATTCATCATTTTTAATGAGATTTTGGAAAAATTGTATCATATCTCACAACGTTTCCTTAAGAATGTATAGAAGTTTTGAGTAAAGAGATGTTAGATCTCAAAAAGCTATTCTCTTGCTTGATCCAACAGTGATTTGATAATTTTGCACTGCTCCACTGCTCCAGGCTAGTTTGGAGGAGGACAAAATGAGATTTTAAGATCTTACACAAAGAAGCAACAGGGGCACTGATCAACACCTGATCACATACAGCATGCATCAACCAATGGCTAATCGGCTTATTTTCAGTTGCTTCCTGTTTTGCCCTACTTGTGCTCCATTTCTTGACTAGAAAACGAAAACTAGGCCTCACAGCTAAAAATAAGTATACAATTCATTGAAGGCCAGCAAACCTGTTCCGGAGAAAACATTAGGTCCAGAAAAAAATACACATAAAAGCTTGATAAGGTCACTTGACGCTATACAAGTAACATTTGATTGAAAATTTCCAAATTAGACTACATTCGTAAGGACGTGTACTAGCAACATTATCAGAAATGCAATGGCCAAGGCGAAAAAGATAATTTTGAAGCTACACAAAATAACTGCTGTTCCTTCTGGGTTAAACACCTACTATCGTTGATACGAAACCAAATTTGGAAATTGGTAAAACAAAGCTACTGCATAGTATCATTCAGTAAGGTTTCCTACAATAATGAGTGGCTTACTTTAATTGTGAGTAGCAGCCTAAATCTCAATACATAACTCTGCTGTAGCGGTGGGTTGGCACTCGTGGGATTCCTTCTGCACCTGAGTTCTTCAACTGCAGTCTATTCCCAGAATTGAGTGATCCATGACGGTTGCTTCTTGATCTTGGTTTTGCTCATCTTCCTCTGCTTGGGCATCTTCTGCGGAAATTTCCGTGATTTCTTCCTCCACGACGACATTCTGCTGGGAAAATAAGTAAATTAATACATTGGAGGAGGGAATTGAAGCCACGGGCATGTTGTGCATAGTCATGGGACCCAACATTTAGTAAATTCCTACCATTTTGAACTTAGTTTTACATTTGCTGTCTCCAGTAATACTTAATTTACAGAGTTGTCACAGAATTTAGAAAATGAAATTCCCTGACATTTCCCTGATTTCTCTGTCACATTTTGGTCAAATTCCCTGACAATTCAGGATATGCCAGATGCTTAAAAATGCATAATTTGAAATAGTTATCAGGTAAAATTTGTTGTTTGGAAATTCAAGCACATTCTAGGAAGGAGAGAAAGGTGACTTGACAACCTTTCCCTGACATTTTCTTCATTTTCCCTGACATCTCCCGGTTTTTCTGGTATTCCCTGACCATGGCAATTCTGAATTTACTGGTATTTTACTACTGATGGTGACAGCACGACATGCAGAAAGTCTTGTGGGGCAAAAATTAGTCACCATTTCAGTCTTAGAATTTTTTTTTTTGTCATATCAAAAGTGAGGCCTTTTATTTAATGACAGTCCTATGCCGTGCAATGCCGCTAAGATTGTGCAACTAAGCATATATATTACTGCTGAACTTTTACTTGTACATTTGAAATAATTTTCAAGGAAATTGACTAAAAATTCAAAGAATAATGTAGGAAAAAAATACTTCTGAGTGATTATTGCAACTGGCACAGAATTGTAATGAAGTCGCGTAACCTTAATGCAGAAAAGTTCTTATTGCACAAAATCCTTCGATCGTCTTTGCAATTCACAACTAGATAATCATTGTGGCTGATTACTAAACACAGTTAAGTATCCAAGGCACAATAAATTTAGTTTATTTTTAAATAAATGAAAAAATGACAATATAAAATAAAATTGAGCGTACCTGTAGATCTAATGTTTCATTTGAAGGGGTCAGGATTATCAATGAGTGTTCATTCACTTCACCACCCTCTCCTACATTCAGGTAGGTCATGGGCACTACCTGCAAGACAAATATTCAAGAATGGTAAGAGACACACATTAGGAACTGTGTTAAAAGCCATTTACACGTAGATATAACGCTAGATATCTCGATATTCATTTCATTTTTGTTTGTTATTGCGTGTACTTTTTTTTAGAAAACAAAGATTAATTTTGATGATAAATGAGGTATCCAGCTAAATTTACAAATGATACTGTACATTAATTTCTTTGAAAAAAAATTAGACGAGTTTAGGAAGTTTGACAGCATTAAGTTGCAGCACAAATGGTGAATATGATACTTTGGTTAGAAAGTGTAGCATCGTCTATGCACAGCCCGAGTAGCAGGAAGGTGAGTTGGCGACCCGCTAATGCCGCCCTACTTGCGAATTCGCATAAAGATGCTTTAAATGAAAATGTAGCGCCCTTGATCAATTGCAGTTGATTAAATACTGCCTAAAATAACCCTTATATATAATATAAGGGTTTAGCTATAATAATACCTATACCCTATAATAAACCTGTTTAAGTCGGCAACCTGCTTAAGACGGTAATGTCCCAACATTCCGATTGAAAACGTTTTAGTGAAGTTTCACTGTAGTAAGTTGATCCCTTGGGTTATTTCCATATTGAAACCTGACCTAGCCTAAATGAAAATAAATTTACCTCAGTTCAAAAGGTTTTAGTTTGGAAATATCAAAGAATTTTAGTCTGAAAATGTCAAAAGAATTTTCTTTCGAAAAAATGAAGTGATAGAGGTTGTAGGAACAAAATAATACCTCACTGAAGGTGAACTCCTCTCCTGTGTCCGAGGTGATTGCTGTGGCAACATCATCTGAGCTTCCATCGAGAAAATCTGCTTTCAGCATTGCAACTTGGTTCCTCCTTCTTCTCTCTTGTTTGCTACTACCATTATTACCAGCCGATCTTTGCAATCGCCTCCAAATCGTTGTTTTTGGAACCTTTACAGGACATAGTTACAAGATTGCATTCGTTAAAAATGGACATTAAAACACATGAACATGGATTTTAATGGAAATTAATAACAGGAATGCCATAACAAAAATGAGCATTAATAATGATCATAAATAAAGTTCCAAACTAAATTTCAATTATTATGAGCCATCTGTAGAGACCCATTTTTAGTATATGGCATGGATGGTATATTCATAATGACCCATATTCTCGCTAAAAGTCCTATAGTTCTTGCTGAAAACTACCAAATTCTTTCTTAAAATTTATAGCATGCCCCAAACTCAAGCTGTAAATCCTACAATTTTTGCTAAAATTCCTGAGATTCTTGCTTAGAATTCATCGCATTGTGTTATGAGTCTCTTATTTTAAACAAAACTATGAGGAATTGAGGGATTTTAAATGAAGTTTGGAAACTCTTCCTCAAATAAATAAAAATCAAGCAGAGTGATCATTAGATCACAGAGTGAGCTTTACTCATAAAAGAAAAAGAATGTGTAGGTGAAAACTTGCTGAAAAACTTCACATAGTCGATCACGAAAAAAAAATATCTCCGCTAATTTCCCAATTTCCATACGAAATATGTTGAAATTCGCGAATTTGTGAAACTAACAAATGCACGTCCATACTTCTGCTAAATGTAGAGATTCTCAACATTCGCTATAAATGCCAAAATTCTTTATTACATATTCAAAATTAGCAGAACTCCAGGATGCCTCCGAGCCTCACCTCCATGCTTAAAAGCAATTTTTTGAAAATTCAAGCAAATCAAAAGAAAAAATTTCTGGGGTTTCTACTCATGGACAGTCGATCATCATTACTTGCCTTGAGTTTTGAGGCATGATCAAGATTACCGAAACAAAAACTGCCTTAACTGTATTCTTCCTTAACAGAGTTTAACAAGAGAGCAACATACCATGTCAATGTTGATATAATACCCGAGTTTTGTGAGAATGGCCTGTTGATACGGAGGAAATAATACTTTCAAATAACAAAAAAATGTACTTTGTAATAGACTTTTTCCTCCTAATTACAATCATGCATCCAGCTGAATGCGACATACTACTTACAGAATATTTGCAGGTCTCACCTGGAATGTTTGAGATGCTAGAGCTTGAGACATTTTACCATCTTGACAAGCGGCTACTGCTTGATCTAGTCTTATTTTTTGTATTAGACTATGCGTTTTTTTGGTATTAATGGAACGAGCTGGTAGTTTGCCCTCTTTCACTAGTCTTTGCTTTTCCCTGAATAAAGTTGAAGTAGGTATCTGAAAGTCAGAGCAAGTTGAAGATGATAAATGCATTGATTAGTAATTAATATTGCAAAGTTGATGGCATATGTGCACCTCAATTTAATGGATAAAAAATCCTGATAAAAAATTAGTAGCTTGTCACAAATCAAAGAAATTCTAAAGACAGGAGCATGAGAAATTTAAAACAGTCTCCACCATTCCATCTGTATTACTAAAAGCGAATCAATAAGAAAATTAACACATAGAGGTGGACCAAAACTATTTGGCTGAAATACTGAATTTAATTTTCTATTAGAGGCTGCAAAAAGAGTTACATTAGGACCAAAATTATGATAAAAAATAATAAAAACGGCAGCATACTGTGACAGAACAGTCTCAGAAAAAGACCATAATTACAGAGGAAAACTGTACAGTATATTGACTCTGCCTTTACTGGATCTGATTTTTGCAGAAAAAAGATGGAGCAGGAAATGTTTTAAATGCGTTATTGGACAAATCTGGCAAAAGAGATTTGATTGACTTTAATGAATTAGTTTTGACATTTGAAAAGGATAATGTAGATTTTCTCCTGCAGACAAAGCATTGAATCTCTCCTAAAATTTTTAACGTGTCATTTTGTAGAGAAAAAAAGACGAGAGAAAGAGAAAAGGGAGACTTTTTCAAAAGGTTGTTTCATAAAAAAATATATTGAATAATAAAAGTCAATTTTCTACTTATGTTGATTGGTTTGGTTGATTGGTTGTTTTTAAGGTTTTAATCCTGGATCATGACATCAGGTAAAAGTTGACACATGCAAATACCAATACTTCACATTTCTTGCTTTAATAATGGGAAAAGAAATTGAATGAATGAACCATCACACAATAATCATTTTCAAGGGTCAATTTCATCAAGGGTCAATCATTTTCATGATACAAAGATTTTCTATCTCACTAATTCTCGATACTCTTTTTCTCCTTGACTTTTTTGCTTTCTCTAGACATGATGCTTTAGGTAGACTTTTAGATGAGAGACCTTACCTTGAACTGATTGGCTACTCTGGTAATACTGTGACCACTCAATAATGCATTGCAAGCTAGATCCATCACGGCAGGGGTATATTTCCGCATCCGTCTCCTCAGAGAGGCTTTGCCGCCGTCTCTTTGCACCTTCCTCCACAGAACAGTCTTGGGGATTCCCCACGTTTCAGAAGCGTGCTTCAGACTGGCTCCCTCTGAATAAAACAAATATGTGCATGCATAAAATGAACAATCACATTTCAAGGGAGTCCATCTGTAAGAATGAGCATTCTTCTGACATGGTTATTAGTTTCAAAGAGATGGGGAAAAGTGGAGATCAATTTTTCTTCCTCTCTTATTGTTTGAAATTCACATTGGAATAACTTAAATAAAAAACTCTGTTCGCTCCACTCTGGAAAAGAAAATCCCAGAAAACAGAGAGAAATTGATTCAGAGCATTAAAAATGTTTTGGGAGCATGTTCTTCAAAAAGATCCCGGTAGTCAAGAATCAGAAATTTGCAGGGTCCTGAGTAGCTTAATATAGACATTTCTGAACCTGAGGATCGGTCACTTGTTAGAATGAAGTTAGAACTTGTTAGAATGTTGTGCACATCTGTTTGATGTGAAATAAAAGAAAGATAAATAAATACATGATTGAAGATGCATACGACCTAAAAAAGAACTTTTCTGTCGTAAATGGAATACTTCATTCGATTTCTAAGTTTTCAAAGCTCGATATTTATTTCCTGCAAAGACGGTGGCAAGCAATTTTTTTACTTGAAAAATCTTCATACTTTGTTGATGAGTATTTGAAAAATTTTGTTGACTTTTTCACTTAAAAAAGTTTTCGGCAAATTTCGGTTGAATTCATGTGTGGAAAAATGTTAATATCCTTGTTTCGGGTTACTTTCAATAATTTTTGTTTCACAAATTGTACATGGAATTTTTATGGGAGGATAGACCATAAATTGTTTATTTTTGCATCTTGTCTTGTGGTCCATTTAAAAAATACTGAGAGACTGCTCACAACAAAGTATATACTATTTTTCCACTGAAGAACAGTCTGTTATTTTAAAACCACTCGCATAGAGCGAAGTATACATAAAAACATTTTTTTACTTCATAAAAATTATTAGTGAGAAAAATTCCAAACAGTTTACATCTTATTCTCACCTGCAACTGCTTGAATGGCAGCTGCCACGTTCTCTGCCGAATACTCTTTCCGTTCGATGGTTGGTGCAATCCCCATTACTCTGGCTCTTGAGTAAAGTGTGGACCGTGGGATAGCATAACGACTACATACATCAGCCAATGTCTTGCCTTGATGGAGTTCGGTGAGTGCTTCGGCCAGGAGTTGTTCCGAATACTCTTTCTTTGTTTCTGCACGTTTCTTTTTCGCCTCACGGATCATGTCTGAATCAGTGTTGATGACTATCTGGACATCGCCTTCCTATAGAAAAATTTTGAAACCTATAAATCATTCTAAAATGACAATGCTAGAAAATACCATTAAGTCGGTGCAACGAGTTTTTGGCGCTTGGTATCATGTAGTGTTCCAACTTCACCAGGCGCCTAAAAATGAGGTTTTGGCACCTCAGAACTCAGAATATTGTCCAAAAGTAGCGCCTATTAAAGTTAGACGCAACTTACTACAAATTCTTGAAGCAGCAATCTTGCTACATATTTTAACTATTCATTGGCCCCTTTTATTTTTTTCAGCAGGTTGAAAAAATACAAACATGATAAGTTTCTCACTGCCAAACCCTCTTCCTTAACCCGCTGCTGTTTTTGTTTTTATTGATTAAGCGCATCCTCCATATTTACCCATTAAGTACTTGCTTTAAAGATATTTATGGTTTAATGTGCTTGGTACTAGATGTCCTAGCAACCAGGACTATCCCCTAGTTGTTTTTAGAAGAAGAGGATTGGTACCTCTCATATAGTTTCATGTGCTATGGTAGTCAAAATCATTTTGGCCTCTAAAAACTTAGACCTGGTGACCAGGATGGCTCCTAAAATTTTATCAGTGAGGTAAAACGCTCATGGACGCTCAGGTTCATGTTTGCTTTCCATCATTAATAAAAGCAAGGTGGCGGCAGATGACCTACAATCAACCCACAATTCACAGCTATGCCAAACATCAGAAATTCTCGAAGAAATTCTAAAATTTAGAGGTTGTTAAAAAATATAGAGCTCGCCTCCACCAAGACAGAGTGGACCTTCAATGAAAAAGAACTTACTGGAGGCGGGTTGGACAAGTTTGATTGTTCGTTTACGTCTGTGTAAATTTCTACCACTTCCATTTGAGTAGATGTGTCAGCTTCTTGGTCTTCAGTTTTCATAGCATTCATATCGAAGAAATTATCTAAATTTTCTCCTTGGTTGTTCCCATTAGGTTTACTGACGTTCTCCTTCTCTGCTTCAAGATCTGGTAAATGCTTGCTAACCTGAGGACAGAAGGATGAGGTAATGTTCATACATCAATATCACGAAGATTTTTCAGGATTTAATACCTCATTGCACAGAGGCAATTCTAGTCATCTTCAGTCTTTTAACTTGGATCTCATTTTGATGATCATTTCTCTTAATACATCAACAATGGCTTCAAGGTGCTGGCACTTGACAGCATTCTTAATTTCTTTTGTATTCTTCAATGGAGACTTTGCATGCACATTTTTCATTACTTCATCTGCGAGTGCTTAAATAGCTGATTTTACAGTATCTTCTTAAATTTTTCTCTGATATGGGAAATAGTATAAAAATAGATTTAAAAGTGAGAAAATGCACCGTCTAGTGATGTCATCCAGCAGCATTTCCCATTGAAACACAAGTATTTTAGCAGATTAGATCATTTTGTCATATCTTCTCCAATAATTGTTCAATTCATGAATCAAGTGTATCCTCGTGTTCAGTTCACTCAGTAGTTTCCACTTACACACGAATTTCATCAAATTTCAGACAATTGCAAATTCTCAGTTTTTATAACAGCCTGAAATTGGGATGGATGTCAAACTAAAGACTGATTAATCTAATCTTCCAAAAGTTATGAGCTGATAATTCCGCAAAAATTGTATGCAACATTTGGATGAATTTCTGTCAAACGAAACTATGTGCACTATAATGTGAGCCCTGCTATGCATAAATTTTTATGGGTCTCGAACTCGTATCTTAATGCATATAGTTCCGTTTGACAGAAATACGTCCATCTTTCCTAATTCAAACTGTGGCTCAATTTCTCTTTCAAGTTCAAAAGTAAGAGGAACCTTTCCTTAAGGACATTGTCAGGGGTCGATACCTGGCATTACCTTCAGTCAACAATTATTTCTGCTAGATAGCTCTTTGACACCAAAATTAGGATAGATCCATTATTTTAGATAACTCTTTAATACTAACCTCCATTAATCCAGATATTTGCAGACTATTTGCTGCTCTCAGAAGACTTGATGTGCGATGAGATGCCACATTGAGTTCACCTCGGTAAATAAAATCTAAAATGGATTTCATGTCGCTTGAACTGATATCATGCAGAAGTAATATTGGATTGGGTCCAGCATCTGCAAGAATATCCTAAAATAATAAAAAAAAAAAAATTAGCTGAGTGAAGTAAAAAGACATAAAGATAGAGCACTCGCATCTAATAGCATGAGGGAGAAGTGATGCAGATCTGGCGCTCTGCGTTTGTGTGAGTGTGTAAATAAGCGCGGGAATCCATGGCGGGAAAACGGAAATTTGATTTGAACTTGTACTGTTGATTTTTGCGTATTTCGAGTTGAGCGCCCGATTTCGCCACCAATCCTGGCGCCAATTGAAGAGTTTGCATGTATCTGCATCATTTTTTTCTTTTAGTGCTCCATCTTTATGTCTTTGGTAAAATAAGTATTACACACTGATCAATTTATGAAAAAATTGGTAGCTGAAACTAGAGAGGAAATAAGAATTGCTTGAGGGCAAAAAACTAGACTGGATGAAGATGAAAGAACAGAGTATAGAAAAGAACTAAGTACATCACTCCCAACGTGGGTTAGTTTACTTGGTAGAGGTGTTGTCAGCTAAGTTGGCGGTTGTTTACTTTCAGTTTGCAAGCATTTTCGCGTCACTACTATCCACATGAAAACATCCGACTCTTGCAGAAGCAAGGACACAAGCTTAGATAAGTTTTTTAATACTTTTAGACCTTGTAACACTTTAATTTTTAGCCATACTGAAATGACAACCAAATGTGAGTCGCGAATCATAACTGATAAGTAGTTTATTTACGATACTATCAGGAGATCGATGTTTTCAACGCAAAAAGTAGCAAATACCGCTTTGTGCAGAGGCCCTAATTTGTCCTTGGTCCTTACAAACCAAAAGTAAACAACCGTCAACTTAGCTAACGACACCTCTATCAGCGTAAGTCCCTGACTTTTCTTGCCTGATGAATGGTGACGGCTCAAAATATTTACTTAAAATGGAAAAACAACAATACTTCTTGTGATACATCTACATCCAGGGATCTGAGAAGTAAATGAACCAGTTCTAAAAATGCAGTGAAAAGTGGGAGTTCAACCAATCCAAGAATTGGTCCTGTCAAGTTCGATCTAACACCAGGAAGAGTGCCAAACATGCGAATCCTAAAATGTTTCTTTCGTACAACTGATCTTGTAAAGGTTGCCTAGTGATGTACCTTAACTACTAACTTTAGACTTCTATTTCGTCTGTGAAACTGCAAAAATACATATTTTGGTTGCGGAGTTTCGAAATCTCCGTTACTACTTTATTTGGTAAAAGGACACTGAGAGAACATCTTCTTCAGTATACTTCACACAAGGAGAAAGAATCATCATAGTTTTCAGGAGCTGACATTTAGGTACTGGGTAGATTTCCATATGAAAGATAAAAAAATCTGCAATGCCACAAACCAAGATACGCATTACTGCAGTTTTACCGACAGTGGGAGAAACAGCTTGGTACATCAAGTATTGAACTCCTACAGCGCTACGTTAAACGATCCCCGGATTTTCAATTCGTTAGATTTGAAAATTGGCGGACAGCAAGGTTTCATCATGAAAACATGACAGCAAGTTTATACAGTGTTGAGACCTTGACAGTAATGGAGAAGATAAGTCTGCAAGAGCGAAGGTTACGCCTGATGGTCAGAGCAACCCAACTTTCTGTCTTTCCACTCAAACTGTAAATTATCATGGTACAACCTGAAAATAATCACATGCATTTGTTTTGATAAGCCTCTGAACGATGGTTGTACCTGAAAGTATGGACTGCAAGCTGATAGAATGACTCGATGGGCCTGGAGTTTGACGCCATCAGCACAAACCGTGACATCCACTAGAGTTTCTGTCTGATAAAGTTGAAGAAATATATTCGAGATGTGCGACTGGTAATTATTCCATTTCATAAAGTAATGTTGACTTGCCGCCATGGCTTCAGCACAATATTCTCAAGTGATAATGAAAATTTTCACAATTCCGAGTAACGAAACGGATGAAATCGGATCGGAACACAAAACTCCAAGGACGACTTCAAAAGAAAATGGCCGCTGACAACTGATATGCCCCAATCATGTAGCCAAACTGTGCAATAAATATACTATTTTATTCTACTAGAGTTGATTAATAAAAGTATTATTACTTCCGTTTGGCAACGGTTAACAGAGCAGTTTGATGGCGGGAGTTACTTTGGCGTTGCCAACTTCCAGTTTTGAATTTGCAAAATATTAGGCGGCTAACACTCTAATAACATAAACGTTCTTGAAAATATTTCCGAAAAGTAAAACTTAGAAGAGATCGCACGGGTTGAGTAAGTAGCCGACAGTCAATAGAGAAAAATCATTGGTCATTCGTGTCGTCATTTTCCCGCCCTTCCAAGACGACCCCTTTTCCGTTTCCGGAACTCTGGTTTCCGCTTGATCAGCTGAAGTTTTTTTACTGATCAGGGGTTTTTTTTTCTTTCTTTCTTTTAAACAAAATCGAAAATGAATGAGAACGCAAAGCCGGATTTACAAGGCCGGATTTACAAGGCCGGATTTACCTACTTGCCGCCCATGGGCCGCCTGTATTTTGCCGCCCCTTCTCATTCGTTTTGAAACATCGATACAAACCATCAAGTGAACGTGTCGGAGGAGGAGGGGTGCATAAGACGCGTTTACTCGTGTTGGGTACATTTTTTGTGAAAGCCCTATATATCAACACTAGCCAAAGTTCACGGAACTTTGCGCGAAAATTAAGTTCCGTAGACCTATCTCTGTGTGGACAAGGCTTTTCATTTGTAAGAAATGAACGAAAAAATTTTGAAAGAATAAACATGAATGTGGTGTAATGATTTTAATTTCCGTCACCGCGCCAACTGCACTGTGTTTGGCGCAATGCGTGAAGTATCCCTACAATCTTGTAGGCGCTATGCGTTTCACGCCGACCGCTGCTGACCGCACTGTTTTTGACGCAATGCGTGAGGTATTCATGGAGTCTTGTAGGCGCTAATATGTGTTTCATGCTGCTGACCAGCGCGCCGAGGGCTTCTCCTTTCCATCTCAAGTCCTCGTCATCATTGCTCTCTGCGCCGCGCTGCGTGTTTGGTTTCTCTCTCAAATAGACTAATGAAACGCGCTGTCTCTTGTATTCTTGTAACACATGTTGTATCACCGGTAGACGAACAATTTAGAAATTACTATGCTTTAAATTTCAAGAAATGAGAGATTTGTTCGCCTTTTCTCGTTTGTAATTTTTCTTCTGAATCAGATTTTTTTCTTACCTTTTCCAGAGATTAGCCAGATTACCTTACCAGATTTCTCCGATAAAGCCAATGGCATTACCAGGCAAACCGCCTCAGTTTGCGATATAGTGCAGATTTCCATGGCCTCTATATGACGAGTGCGAATTCGAATTGAAGCCTCTTATACATGGATCGGCGCTTCGCAACCTTACAACTTATGTCTTTGAGTTGACTGCATATGACACCGAGTTTTCATTGGATTTTATTTTATTTTTTTATTTTCCCTCCTCTGTATTTCATTTCATACCTTGAAATACGGTTGGTAAAATAAGGTTCTATTGCAGGTAATCTCATCATTCTGTCTCTGTGAAATTACCAATAATATAGTGAGATGGCAAAGTTACCGATGGACCTTGGTAAAAACGCCAATATTTTTTATCGACTGTGGTAGAATTACTGAGATAAAATGGTGAAGTTGCCGAGAATTGATTACCAATAAAAGTGGTATTTTTACCTGAAAAAATCAGTAAAAATACCGGCTTTTAGGTACGCTTACCAGTCTGTCTTTGTAACATTACCAATAGGTAATTGATAAAAAAAATGAGATGGTTAAGTTACCAACGGAACTTGGTAAAAACGGCGGCGGCGCGGCGGCATAGAAACATCTCATGTCATTCATGCGTTAGTGGGCGTTGATGAAAAATTGAAATTAATTGCAATTTTATCTCTATACAATCGCGTTCGATAAAATCGCGATTTTATTGCAATTTATCGCGATTTTTCTTCCGATAATATTGCGATAAATTACCGTCGATAAAATCGCGATTTTATTGCAATTTATGGCGATTTTTTATCCGATAATTTATTGCAATAAATCGCGACGTCGATAAAATCGCGATACATTCTCCGATTAAATCGCAATTTATTGCGATCACTGCTACTTGGGCTTCTTGATTTTTAAATATTCTGCAAAAACTATCTTCTTGCGAAGTACAATCCCGGCTTTAGCGCCCTTAAACTCCGGCTTTAACGGTCAAAACTGCAGTAGCGGCACAGGGAAGCCAAAAAACCAAACGGGGACGCTGCTTCGATATCGATCTTCTATCGATCGCCTTGCTAAGGCGCAGGGATACAACTATTTGAACTCTCCGGAACGCGTGAGGTATCAAGCCTCGATTGAAGGCGTTTTCGAATCTTCTGTATTTGTATGTCGAGATTTTGCAAATTTTTTTGCTTTAAATTGTAGATTTGAGTTCCTTTTATTATTTAGTTAAATTACTCCTACTCCTTAATTTTTGATTATTCTGCAAACACTACTTATCCATTTGCGAAATACAACCCTGGCTTTAGCGCCCTTACAATACGTTAGTTTTTTGCATTTTATTGTAGATTTGAGTTCCTTTTGTTATTTAGTTAAATTATTTCTGCTTCTTAATTTTTAATTATTCTGCAAAAACTACCCACTTCCGAAATACAACCCTGACTTTAGCGCCTTATACTACGGCCTTAACGGTCGAAACTACAGTAGCGGCACAGGAAAGCCAAAAAAACAAGCGGGGACGCTACTTCAATATTGAACTTCCATCGCCTTGCTCAGGCGCAGGGATACAACTATTTGAACACTCCGGAACGCGTGAGGTATCACGCTTAAATTGAAGGCGTTTTCGAATCTTCTGTATTTACATGACGAGATTTTCCAAATTGTTTTGCATTATACTGTAGATTTGGGTTCCGTTTAATATTTAGTTAAATTACTCCTGCTTCTTAATGTTTAATCATTCTGCAAAAATTATCTGTTTGCGAAATACAATCCTGGCTTTAGCGCCCTTATACTACGGCCTGAACGGTCAAAACTGCAGTAGCGGCACACAGGGGCGGACTGGCAGTCGAAAAGTAAGGAGTAGACCTAAATGTAAGGGCCCCTCAAAGAAGGTCCGGGGGCCCTCCCCCGGTAAATTTTGAAAATTTCACACATATTAAACACGTAGGCATTATTGGAGTTGGATTCTACAGTACTTGAACTTCAAAATATAACCCATTCTCAGGATTCATCGGGGGTCCCTTCATCACAAATGCTTTTGGCGACCTTCCATGTCTCTTAGAGATAAATTTTCAAGGAATTCGGGGCCTTTTAGTGATTGAAAAGGATAAGAAAATTACAACATTACGGGAAAAAACGATGACTCGAAATAAATTCGCCGCGTGGGCCCTTTTCGGGACCTCCGCGGCAAATTGTTAGGGGGCGATCGCCTCTCCGCCCCCATGGCCAGTCTGCCCCTGCTTTAAGTGTTTTAAATTATGGTACTCAAGTTATTCGACCCACTAAACTGCACTCAATTTCATTTTATTTTTAAACAGATGAGTAAAAATTTTGACTGCAGGTCTGATAGCAGCTACAGTTTTTCAATTCTTTCTTAATATCTTGGTTTTAGCATTTACATCTTTTGGAAAATAATTGTCTCAATTGACATGTACCGATGGTTTACTGTCCCATAGATAACACATGAAGGGTGGAAATTCAAAAGGTGGTAAGCCCTATCAGATGTTGTGAAGATTTGCATAGCATACCTGGCCTAAAGAAAACCTATGAGCCTTTGCTTCATAAACGATTAGGGGCAATTCCTCCGAATTAAGGTCTTATTTTCATGGTAAGAATTGTTATTTCTAGGGAATGGGGCTCCTGATAAAGGATTAACAACACCTGATGGCACTTACCAGGTTTTGAAATTCCAATCCTCAAATGTGTATAACTGTTTTGTAGGAAAAAAGATCATCATGAGTAATACATAATGGGTTTACTTAATCAACTTTTAATGATGAAATCATGATAAATTGAACACATTTATAAATCGACTCGATACATTTTCTAAGTTTCACAAAAACATATAGAAGTTCTGGGCAATACCTCACGACTGTACTTTTTGAGTTTTGGACACAGCTGTATTCTGGATGAAGATCACATCTGAGGTCTGCAATAGCTGATGCCTCTATTTTCTAATATTGCTCTGTTGAAATTATTTCTTTAATACTAACTTTAAGCTCTTTTTTTTATTCATCTTATATTTTATTCTCAAATATTTCATTTGAGTAATCTTGCAAAAATCACAGTTAAAGAGAGCAGTTCTGGAGGAAGGGCCCATAAGAGGCTTGCATTTAGCAGAAGGGAATACTTTTTGTTTTTCTACCAAAAACTTGTTAATTTTAAAGGAAAACCATTATACCTATACATTTTATTGCTGCGATAATAATTACTTAGTATTTTTAAATAAAAGAGGAAGTTGCATGATTTTGAAAACTATGTTAGCTTGTTGGTTCCCATCTGCTAAATGAAATCACATAATCCAGGTGTTTCTTTCTCATGGTACAGCTATCTATATTACTACCATACAGGAAAAAAAGATTGCTGTTATACCTACCTTATAATTACATTCAACAAATTTAACCGGATCTGTGAAAAGAGACCTCATCTTCCAAAAGAAAATTTTCCCTTACTCTTCACAAAAACTTATAACTTGTTTTTCTGCGATCTGAGAATTTTTGTCTAAGCACTTCAGGACTCACATCTCCTTCAATTTTAGAGCTTTCAGGGTCAAACTTGCGCGAAAATTTCCATATTTTCTTCCTCCATGCATTTACGGAATTTTGAGTATTTTCTTCCGGAGGATAAGGTCCCATTTCATAGATCTGGTCACAGATATAATCTCAAACATGGAGGAAAAAAAACTAATCTACTTTTATCACAGACTTTTTTAAATGCGACTTGTTGTACAGAAATATGCATGGAAAAAAATGGGTTTTTTACTGGAAGTCAAAAGAGAAATCAGTATTTCATCATAATGTTTTTGATGATTCAATGACTTTTAACATTCATCATATCATCACCACAATCAGGAAATAGGCACAAAAGCAGTTCCTTAAAAGTGATAAGGCCTTGCTTTTAAGATGGAGTAGGAATCTAAAATATCGCATGATCCAAGATGTCTTGGCAAGAACCAGCAAATTTGCAGTACCGGCATACTGCTTCTTTGAGGAGCTAAGAAGCTAGAAACTTTCGATACCAATGACCCATCTCAAGCGAAGAAAAGGCCACAGACAAAGTAAGTTACTATCCATGATTTGCATCTACCAAAATTGAGACAAACCATATGCTATCCTTTTCCTCTCAAAAGAACACAGGCTACTCAGAAAACCAAAACGTCAGGACTAATCTCATGGGAACTAATGGCAGCATTTAACCTCGGCTGGTCTCACTTATAAGCTCCAACACGCCTTCTTCATTTTTTTTATAGCTAAACAGAGGGCTTTTTTTTGCATTCCTCTGCCAACCTTTAGTCCCTTCACCATTCAACACCCACTCAGGGCTAACGACAACTTCCAGCATGTCTTCTTCTGTACAGTTAATGTGTTGTTCCTTACGTCTGCACCTCTTGGTGGGAATGAAATGATGATCTGGTTCTTCACTGCTTAAAAAAGACTTAGAGTTCCTGAGGAGATAAATTCCTGACATGCCATCTGGTTCAGTCTTGCTTTTTGGCTTTTTCTTTTTGACTTCTTTGATTTGCCTGAAACAGGGTTGATATAAGAACCTTTGTTTCATTCAGCATGAAATACAGATGGGAGGAAGAAACACATACCTCAATATTCAGTTTGATTGTGAGTGTGAGCAAATGTTTATGAATAGAGATCTTTTTTATCAACCTGAGATGACCCAAGTTCAAAAATTTGAATTACAATATTTCAAAATTTTTCTGACACCTGAATAAAAATACAGGAAAAATATGTAGCACAGTAATTAAAGTAACAATAGTAGAGAAGAAGAACAGAATATGTGAAAATTTAATTGATAGAGAGATAATGTACAAAAATTAGTCCTTGCAACCCCTTTGCAATATTCACCCTTCGACAGAAAAAGGAAGATAGTTGAGAGCTTTGAAATAATAGAATTGATAAGATCTCTGCCTACTAAAATATTATTTTTCTGGTGGAGACTAACTTAAGTATGTCCTATATCCATACTCAAAGGCCATAAAACCGTAATTACATTTCCACCACTTCAAGAGATCAGAGAAAAACTATTCGACAGCTCCACTGCCTGCAATGTATTTTGAAAATGTAGATTATAAACCCTGTTTTATGGGCCTGGCATTAGATATCATGACCGATTTTTCCAAAAATGGATTAATTACTAAATATGTAAAGAATGCAAATAATTCAATTATTCCAAAATTTTTAGTTCTGATTCTTTGGCTCTTAACTGCCTATCGACGGTGAAACTACCAAACCACGTATCTCGTTTGCGGTGTTTAAAAATCTACGCTCACATTTTATTTTTTTGAAGTAGACCAAATCAATATCATTCCTTGAAATTTTCACGGAATTTTCTCCGCACAAAGAGGAAAAATCACAGAAATTTTCAAGACTGGATGTTAAGTAGTTTTTCATTTAAAAAATAAAGTATGACAGGAAGTCTGCGACGTCGCAAACCGAGATACGTGGTTTGGTAGTTTCACCGTCGCTATGTTTGTTTACTTACTCGTCGAGAAATTTTGAGAGCTGTTTTGAAACGAAAGACTGGAACTCGGGGGTAACTTTTAAATGGTGCGTGACAAATTCCTCTGGAACTGGCCGGTTGGAGGGTAACGGTTTTGGTTTCTCAGGCTCTAGAACAGATGTAATGAGGACAAGTTTGAGGATTAGAATTTTTTGAAGTGACAGTGAGCCTTTAATTTGTTCAGTTGGTCTCTTCTAGTTATTTAATTTTCATTTTGTTTGACCATCCTAGTGATATTCACAATATTCATGCTTATTTTATTGGTTCTTTTCAATTCTCAAGGGCTTCACCATTTGCAGTGACAATGTCAGAGGGCACAAAGGGTGGACTACTAAAATAGGTATGAATCTTAGTATCATGGTCCTAAAAAAATGTGGGTGATTTTCCTTAGTTCTCACAAAGAAAAATCACTCCCGAATTATTCCCTGCAAAATTAGCATTAACATACACAGAGCTCTCTGAGAGGGATAAAGTGCCGGTGAAAATTTTGACACCCTGAGATTGAATATCATGTACCTACCTAAGTGTTATAAGTTAAGCTTTCTATATCAGGTATCATTTTTAATTACCTATTTAAGTAAGTATTACTTCTTTTCCTGATAATTCTTTAGAAAGAGTAAATAAGGAAAGGAAAAGGTGATGGAATGTAATTTTTTCAAAATTAAGAGGTATATTCTAGAGTAAAAAGTGAGACATGATCAATCCAACTTGTCTTGACCAGGATTAAGACAGCTTAATTCTCTATGATAGGTACCTAGAGGTTGGAAAAATGGATACAACTTTCAATAATTACCAGTAATATTTCATGTGATGCATACCTTTGATTTTCAAATCTGCTTTACCATCAGATGAGTACAAAGAATCACTGATGAATCGTACGTCCAGAGCATCTCTCAGCCGTTCAACATTCTCATCTTCACTTGAGTCACTGGATGAACTCATAGTTTCTTGCTCGCCGAATTGTTTCCTTATCTTGTAGTCCTTGATTTGGTTCCTCCTGATACAAGTCGCAGTGGGCGCCCAATTAGAGGTTGGCGGGTTGGGATTGAAGAAAAAATTAGAGAGGAGAGCGCTTAAGGTGCTTAATGCCCGGAGGGTTGTGGCTTCACAGGTGGCAGTGGAGGTTAGATCACTCGGTGTCATAAAGCGCCAGGGTGTGCTATAAAGCGACACATATGTATGGATGTTACAGCCTCTTTTCTTGGTCGACTTACTTTCTTTCAACCACGATCTGACTCCGGTTCAAAAGATACTCTTTCAATCTTGATGTTTTCATCCTTCCACAGACTATGCTTTGTTTTTAAACAGATGATTTATCTTGAATGAGGCTATCCAAAGAAACAAATGGCTTGCCGAAAACTTTCACAACAGGAATGGAAGAACTACTTACTCACTCTGCGATTCATGCAAGTAAAATTATCAATGCGTTCTGAAAAACACTCGGTTGGGGTGAAAACTTAGAAACGGATGCATTGACCGGGTGATTGCTTATCAATATGAGTAAAGCGTTTAAGCAGCGATAAAAGGATGACAACTCCAAGAGCAATTTTCTTTATAATACTTTGGTCACTGTCTCACTGTTCAGACGATTCAGCATGTCCAAGCATGGTCCAAGATCGAAACAAAAATGTTGATGTTGCAACACATGTAAACATAACCTCACACTACGTCTTACAGTGCTGCACAGTTGTTCCGGTTTTACTTTTCATCCCTTTTATAATCAGTAATTTGAACTTACGATAAATTCTTTAGCAATAAAAAATCATTGAAAATATTATTTTTTCAATTTTCCGGGGGACCGATGTAGAACAATTGTACTGGTACCAGCAGAAGGTATTGTTTTAGGGGATGTTTCATTTGACAACAGTGTTGTGAACAAGATTTAGAGGTTATTTGCGACTGCCATTTTCTCCAAAGAGTGGCAGCCGATATTTTGTGACCGAATTTCAGGAAAAGACTTGGAACATCTACAATTATGGCCTCCAAATTTTTAAAATTGGGCCCAGCCCGCTTGCTAGCGCAGAGGACCAAATTCAACCAGGTATTTCATGCTTATTCTTTCACCTCCTATTCTTTTTTCGAACCCCTCAGGACATGAAATTTTTCATCAAGGACAAACCCCTCAAAAGTAACTTCTAACCCATTTTTCCAACAGCCTCATTTACTATAAGCAGTGTGTTCCCCGGTAAGGTTTTTCCATGGTTAAAATGCTACCCATCTTATTGAAAACCATTATCATTTTTTGAGATTGACAGTGTGTGTTAGGTCAGACAAGATGGAGCTGCGTCACTGAGCTGTCACCTCACAGTGATACTCTCCTTACATTCCTCATTTATTCAAGAAGCCCTGAAATTCGGAAGAAACTTTATTAGCATTTTCATGGTTTTTCATCCATCATGTGCCTTTTCCCCTCATTTTCAGCTGCGGGCGAAGAGCTGAAATCTTCAAACCTAACCTTAAAATTAATCATCATTTCGTTGAATGCTGTAGCTGAAAATTTTTTATTTCTTATCAATGCTATTTTAGAAGTAAGCAGAATTGCAGCTTTAGCATTGAGTCTCCAGCTTACATCCATTCAAGGTTGGAGTTAATTTACTTGTGTCAGTACACGATGCCTGCATCAGTCGTCTGTTTCCTATTGTCAGACAGAGGAAGGGGCTTTTTTTTATTGAACAGCGGTATCCCCAATCACCAAACTAGGTTCTTTAACACACCGGTTGGTGCTGATGTCACGACCGGAGAAGCCATTGCCGGTGGATTTGGTACCACAAATCCACCGCCCGGAGTACTGGAGATTTCTCTGGTACATTTAATCCACCGGTGGACAATCTAACCCTACTTCAGCCTAATCTCAGGCCTCTTTTTCTCAGTTTCATCTGAATGTGGGTTGGTTCCTTCCCGATGAACTCCGTCCATTTTTAAATTAAACTAGAGAGGAAAAGGAAGTTAATCCGACTGGAAAGAGAAGGATGTGCAATGAAGTCTGATGAGGCGAGAAAGTAGGGATGAAAGTTGTATAACTTCAGATTAAGATTTCATCAGGGGCTAATTATGGGGGAGTCTGATATCCTTTTAGCACAGCTCTACAAGTGCTCAAGCCCAGCAGAGGGAATGTCTGAGATTTGACCTGTTTCCTTGTTTTTATTGCAGGTAACTCCTTTGAGGCAAGCGTCAGCCGCTGCCCATTCTGTTCGTGAGGCCCTTCTCAATTACCCACCAACCCAAGTCACTCAGATTGAGGGAGGACTCCGTGTCGCAACAGAAGACACTCGCTCTCCCACAGCAACCATTGGTCTGTGGATAGATGCTGGCTCTCGGTGTGAAAACGATGAGAACAACGGCGTTGCCCACTTTCTGGAGCATATGGCATTCAAGGTATATAACTTCTCTTCATGATTTTGTAAGATGTTTAAATGTAATGTTATTTCCAAAAGCAGGGCCAGTAAGTTGATACAAGGGTTACTGTATGGATGTTGCTTGAAAGTTTGCAGACCAACGTTTCATGAGAAAGGATGGGTTGGGACGGAAAAACAAGTAATTTTCTCACATCATTTGCTAGGAGATGCAAAAAAGTGACATTTGCAATTGATCAGGATTTCCAAACTTAAATATGGGCTAATAGAGGTATCAAACCGCTATTACCTCATTTAAATGAATCATTGCAGGGTATGTGAACTATACACCTCTAAATGAGTTTTCAAGTAATGAAAACATACTGCAAGATCTCTGCTGTGCCAAGAAAGAATGCCGTATGCGCCCTGAAACGTTGCTAGTTTTCTATTGATCCATTGATAACGATTGATTACTCATCATCAGAGAAACTAGTGATTTGTCTTCCAATTTTGCCAACAATTTTATTCGCAATTTAATCTAAATTATCGGAAAAGTATTCCCAAGTTTGCTCAAAGATAATTATTTTAGCAGGAAAAATTTTGCAACACTCGAATGTTCATACATACGTACATTTTTTCTTTTTTAGCACAGCAGAGCTCTCCTGCAACTCCTCTTTCACAAGGGGAGTCTACGAAGTGACATCCTGGGATTGGGTTCATTTTTCTTGTACATGAAGAAGAGACAAATCTAAGGTTGACGTATTTTTTTTTAGCCACCACCTCCCAACCGTTCTCGAGATATCGATTTTCAAAGTTACGATTTTTGCACGTTTCCGCGCGGAGTTCCGGCGAGTCAACTGAGCGCCGGCAAGCTGCACAAAGCGCGTTTCCTATCAGCGCTGCAGTCCGGCCATTCTTATCAATAGTTCCGTGGCCGAGTGGTAGAGTGTTCGCCTACCATTCCATAGATCGCGGGTTCGAATCCCGCTTTGAGCCGTAGCTTATAAGGTACGCCGCAATGCGTTTTTACAAGTTTTCTTTATTTTTACCACACATCAAGGGGTCCGCCCCCTGGCCGCTACGCGGCCCAACCCCCGGGACGAAAATGCGCGCTTCGCGGCGAGCGAAATTATCGAAATCGACCGTTGACGGTTGCAAATTCAGAGTAAGGAAAAAGTCATTAAGAATATAGTGTGGTGAGAAATTTTTATTTGAAACATCATTTTATCATTCAATTAAAATTATTTACCCAGTAACCGTCAACGGTCGATTTCGATGATTTCGCTCGCCGCGAAGCGCGCCTTTTCGTCCCGGGGGTTGGGCCGCGTAGCGGCCAGGGGGCGGACCCCTTGGTGTGTGATAAAAATAAAGAAAACTTGTAAAAACGCATTGCGGCGTACCTTATAAGCTACGGCTCAAAGCGGGATTCGAACCTGCGTCCGATGGAATGGTAGGCGGACACTCTACCACTCGGCCACGGAACTATTGATATGGACGGCCGGTCTGCAGCGCTGATAGGAAACGCGCTTCGTGCAGCTTGCCGGCGCTCAGTTGACTCGCCGGAACTCCGCGCGGAAACGTGCAAAAATCGTAACTTTAAAAATCGATATCTCGAGAACGGTTGGGAGGTGGCGGCTAAAAAAAAATACGTCAACCTTAGATTTGTCTCTTCTTCATGTACAAGAAAAATGAACCCAATCCCAGGATGTCACTTCGTAGACTCCCCTTGTCAGTAAAAATTCAAAGCTCTAGCCTGTTATGAGCGCGCAGCATGAAGCCAAAATCATGGCTGATGTTAGAGTCAAAAACCATCGTGCGCAAATTATTTTTAGGTTACTTCAGTTTAATTTAAGCAGAAACTTGAGGAAATTTCCTCCTCACCACATTCTTTTTAGTTATCTTCACAGCTTTATTGTAAAATGCAAGGATCCACAGGCTTGTGATGCAAATTGAGATGGGGCCCTCTCTTTTTACCTCAATCTGTAGAATTTCAGTGCAATCTCAGACTCCTACGGAATGCACGAATCCAGCGACAAGCACTTGGTATACAAGACTCTCCTCTCTTTTTTTTTGGAAAATTGGTCAAGTAGCAAAACATCATTTTTCATCTTGATTGAATTTACCGAGAAACTTTTGTTTTCTCCTGTTTAGGGAACATCCTCAAGATCACAAACAGATCTAGAATTAGAGGTGAAGAACTTGGGTGCTCATTTGAATGACTCTCCTCTCTTTTTTTTTGGAAAATTGGTCAAGTAGCAAAACATCATTTTTCATCTTGATTGAATTTACCGAGAAACTTTTGTTTTCTCCTGTTTAGGGAACATCCTCAAGATCACAAACAGATCTAGAATTAGAGGTGGAGAACTTGGGTGCTCATTTGAATGCCTACACTTCAAGAGAACAGACTGTTTTCTACGCCAAATGTCTCAGCAAAGATGTTCCAAAAGCCATCGAAATTCTAGCTGACATCGTCAAGAACTCTAAATTAGGTTTGTAATATTTCTTTTATAATACTACCCTGGGCTCAGTCGTATGCACAATGTTGCAGGTCACTTGACTTTCAGAGTTGATGGTTCAATCAAAAATGAGAATTGCTCCTTAATCAATGCATGTAAGCAATCACGTGCATTTATACTTTCTTGGCTCCCTCTGGATTGAAAAAGTATCTTTGCTTGATGATTAAAATATGTATATATGACCAAAATGCACAAGTATTAAATATGTAGCACTGTAGGGAAGCATTTAGGGATGTGTTACGTAACACCAGAATGGACGCATAAAGCCACTTTTTTGAAGGTCTAAGATGAAAAGTCCTTGCACAATGGCTAGTTTTTGCCCAAAATTCATCTGAAATTTGTTTGTTTACTTATTTATTTCATTACAAACAGGTTTAGAAGCCCATACTAAAAAGAATACAAAAGTTTAGAATACATAATAGCGCCATAATAGGAGTGAAGAAAAAATAACAATAAGAACAATTTCTCACAAAACAGTAACAACAACAACAACCCAATAAAATGATGAAAGGTGAATTGCTAATTTGAAAGTAGGAAGTCAATAAAAGCGTTTTGTATTATTACGAAAATTGTGCCACATGTTCCTGTGAAATCTCTGTTTGACTTTAACATAGAATGTCAGTGTTTTTTCTCCTCACGACAGGGCAACCTGGGGCAACCAATATGTCATCCTCTGGCCAATGTAGCACAAGTGCCATTTGTGCGTAGGTACTTAGTTGCTAAAACTTGTTCAGTTTGGAACAACTAACAAACAAAATTGCTTAAAAATTTTACTTCATATTTTTTTTTCTTCAAGATCAATTCTTGAAATTTTCATGGAAGTAGTGCAAAATGTTGTAGAAAAAATTAAAGCACCATTGAAATGTCTAGCAACATAGCATTCTGGTATAACTAACACTTGTGATACTTTATCCAAAAGATGACAAATTAATCCAAGCCCTTCTGTTCCCTCTTTACTTGGTACCCATTTGTTAATGATTGTTTCCCTAATTGATTTGTCCCAATTTTACAGGCGAAAACGAGATTGAACGTGAGCGTGGAGTGATTCTACGTGAAATGCAAGAAGTAGAAACCAACCTCCAAGAGGTAGTTTTTGACCATCTCCATTCTTGCGCTTTCCAAGGAACTCCACTAGGAAGGACCATCCTTGGACCCACTGAAAACATCAAGTAAAAGAAACATATTTTTTACGACTTCTGCATTCTCCTCTTTCATGAAACTAGATGGTCTGCTCCAGTTAATTTTAAATATTCTTTCGAAGTCTATACGGATGTGTGCTGTCAATGGGTCTTTAAAAATGTGTCAACATATTTGCTTTTTGCGTTAATGCTGCAGACAAATGGTAAAATCAGGCATTTTGTCAAATGCCTAGGCAAATAGTAAAATATTCTAATTTAGATTGAAATGCTGATTCTTTTCCTAATTTTAGACAAAATAATTAATTGCTCCAGTAAGAAACAATTCTCGGTAAAAATTTACATCACACAATAGTATTTTAAACGATTTTTAGCTCCTGAACAGACACTCACCTTGAAATTTTCAGCATATCATAAAATACAGAATTTTTAGAATGTGAACATATAAAAATATAAGAAGGAATTGAAGAGGTAAAGACAAAAGGAGTTAGTAGCTTTGATAAGTTATTGCTCCAAAAATATTGAAAACTTGCGAGCTCTTTGCCATAAATTCACAAAATTGTGAAACCGTCAAAATTTAACTATCTGCATAGACATTTGAAAAAATGCCTGATTTCACTATTTGCCTGCTACATTAATATCATCAGAAGTTGGCAAAAGCCAAGTTAAGAAAATCATTGGCTGGAATTTTTCAAGACAAAGACCGCTGTGGAAAAATTAAAATGTCAATAAATAGAATAAACAGTGTTCTGCCTTCCCCCTAAAATTTTAGGAGCCATCTTGGCTGGAAAGCCGAATTTTTAGGGGCCATCTACTATTTATTTACGAGCAAATTAAAGTCTTGCATACAGGCCATAGTGATGCTGCGAACGGTGCGTATAGAGAGCGCTTCATCGCTACCGCTGCTTCCCAATTGCGAGTTCAATCTGTCTTGGCGCCACAATGGTCCAGCCCCCCTAATTTTTAGACGCATGGCGCCCAGGGAAGGCAGAACACTGATTGAATAAAATTAAATGGGAGGTGGGTCAGCTTTGAAAAGTCAGGAAAAGAGAAAATTTTTTGGGAACGTATTGAAGCAAAGGCTGCAGATTCCTTTAAATATCTTTTTTTTCGTAATATATATTATTACACAATGATGATGCTGAAGATCCTAATTCATCATTAGAGTGGTTCATTTTTGAAAAGTCACCTAGTCCCAAATTTTTACCTCTATGCAAGTATTAAAGTCTGTTAAAATCTAGAAAATTATTTGTCAAACCATAACCTTTTTCTATCCCAGTGAAATAGTTCATGGACTGCACTCTCTCTCTTTAAAAAGGGTCAGTAACACTTATTGTTGAATTATTCTGAGTGAGTTGAGTTCTCAGTAATATTTTTTTACTTTTTTGACTTGAAATGGAGAAAAAAAATCGATTGTGAAGCTGCAAAGTCGGAACCGATTTGAAACAATATTTTTGGCAGTCAGTTTTGACTTAGATAGGCAAAAAGTCTGCATTTGTTGATCAGCTGAAGTCCAGCTAAAGACTTGGCCTACTATGCCATCACGACTGTTGCCCTCTGGTTCATCAAATTTTAGTAAGCTTTTTCTCCCCTTAGAAGTGTTTTCAAAATTTTCAATATACCTTCTAGCTTTCTTGTGAAATTGTATGTAGAGATTATCTGTCGGACACTCTGCATTAATGTTATGCCACTGACCCACTGACTTATCCAAAAAAATTTGGTGAAGAATTTTGATGTTTAACATCCTTCCAAAGCTTTAAAAACAGTACATTTTTTGTGCTGAAACCTTGAAAAGTCAAGGAACAATGGGAGCAAAGAAAAGATGACATCTTAATTAATCTTCTTGCTGATGAAATTCTAGTGTATTGCAACTGCTGTCGGACTTTCGATCTAAACTTGAGTGTCATTTCAGGAAAATTTCCCGTGAAGATCTAGCCAATTATGTCAAAGCGTACTATGTTCCCGGACGAATGGTCCTTGCAGGAGCTGGCGGAGTAGATCACAGTGAAATTGTCAAGGAGGCACAGAAGCATTTTGGTGGAATCAAACCAGACTATGACGCTGAGCATGAATTACCAGGACCATGCAGATTCACCGGTAAGTCATTTAGGTATATCAAGTGTGAAACAAATGCAAACACTCAATAATGATTCCTCTGTACTTAATGATTATTCTAAGTAAATAGGTCTTCTAATTCACAGCAAAACTGTTAGTACCAAGTAAGACGAAAAGAAGCCACGCTCTTTTTACTATGGGCCACTAGACAAGGTCTGAACTGGAAGAAGGTCACATATTTTCTCTTCAAAATCTTTTGTAGATAGAAAAAATTGACACTTCAGGAGGCTTGAAGATAAATTCCTGACAGAGATATTAACAAGTATCTAAAACACAGATCCATTGGCAGTTATCTTATACCTACAAACGATGTTGTGTGTATTTTTGCTGTGACATCAATGTTAATGAGATAGCGGCATGAAATTTTTGTAGAGTTAAAGTATAGTTTTTTTTTGCATAAATTTTGTGGGAAAAATAAAAAGTTTTGTAAAAAGTTCAGAAAAGCATTTCTAAGGGGGAAAAGCTAAGCAAAATCCGACCAGTCTAAAGTCAACAGCCAAGTTGATGCAGGAAAGTGATGCCTGCAGCTAGTTTTAGCCAATCAGCAAACGCTGTTTCCCCCGCCTAGCTACAAAATGAGTGCCTGCCAAAAGTATTCGCGGCTCCCACTTTCGGCAATTTCAAAGTAGGATTTCTAGGGTAAAAAAAGAATCTGAAAAATTTTTAGAAGCACAGTTCACTCCGTACTTGTAGTAAATTAATTAAAAAAACCAATGGGTGCCACTGACCCATTGTAAACCTCCTTACTTACGTCAATTAGGAGTTGATTTTCAGACTTCCATTGCGTGATTCATCTTTCTCAAAACTTCAAAGAGAAAATATGTTGCCTATTGCTTTAATTCATACCTTGTCTAGAGGTCCATTTCACCATTACTTGAGTGAATCCTCCAATTTTTTGCGATACAAGGATACAAAAACCATCTTGACAAAGTCATCAGATTTTCACGATTCAACAAATTTCTTAACATTTTGAGTCTTTCGACTGCATGAAATGTAGTACATTGAGGAAATTCCTCAGAGTTAAAAGCAGGGAAAGAATTATTAAAAAAAAATAAAATTATTTGTAAATGACCAATTATCACTGAATTTTCAAAACAAAGGTAAACATTTTTAAATTAAAGGTGTTCGCCCTTGTAATTGAATATGTGAGAAAGAAAACAAACAAACTGGGAAAAATGGAATATTTTTATGAGTTAATAACAGTGCTTAGGGGGTGAAAAGCGAATGTAGAAAAGCTCTTTGGTGCCGAAAGAGAAGCCTTTAGAAACTGTATAAAAGCCCAAATTGAAATATGTAGATGCTTCATCTTTAATTAATGACCATCAGTGTGATTTTTTAAAATTGCTAAGTTTGTGTGTTTTTGCTCTCTCCGCCTCTCAGGCTCTGGTTTTTTTCTTCTTTTCTCTACTTTAAACTTCCATGCTAGGCCTTTTACTCTCAATTTTTTGCAGGATTTTGGTTGTTGAAAGTGCATCTTTTAGAAAAGTGAAATCCACAAAGCCGAATCAGAAATATTATTTTTAAAATGGCTTGTTCTATGAGTAAGAATATCGGATCCCCCCCCCCCCCCCCCCCTTGTACAGTAATTTTCTAGGTTAATATTTTTGTTTATGGGATGAATTATCCCAATATTTGTTTCGAATGATAAATGTGTAATGTCTCATGGGTCTCCCTGTGAGCAGTAACCTTAAACAACTAAAATAATGAAAAGTGAATAAATTTAAATTGTATGTTCACACACATTTGAATGTGACCTGCAATGTAGATGCTTACATTGTCCGCATCCCTTTAGTCTATCAGAAGCCCAAAGTAGCAATTTTTGGCTCTCTACTTGTTTCTCCAGGTATTGTCAATTATTGCTTTCATTCAAAACCTGCATTTTAATTGATCCCTCTCATCTTAGGTTCAATGATCCGAGCAAGAGATGACGCTCTCCCGCTAGCTCATGTTGCCATTGCTGTCGAAGGCTGCGGCTGGTCCAACTCTGACAACATTCCACTCATGGTTGCCAACACGATTGTTGGTGCATGGGACCGATCACAAGGCAGTGGTGCCAACAATGCCTCATATCTCGCCCGTGCTTGCTCTCGTGAGGGTTATGCTCACAGTTTCCAGTCATTCAATACGTGCTACAAGGACACAGGCCTGTGGGGTATCTACTTCGTCACTGACAGATTACATGTTGATGTAAGTTGAATTTATCGAGTATTTTACTGATCTGTCCTTTTGACGACATGTCTGATGATCCTAACTTCCACTGAATTTGCTTGCTCAGCTACATTGTCATAAGATTGTCGCATAAATAAGAAAGATTCTGACAAATGACTCATTACTATTCTTGATCTTTGGAAATAACCTTGATTTCTTCTTGTTTTTAAGTAAGTCATTCATCCACTTTTTTTTTAATTCACTTTCTAAAAGTAAAAAGTGAACCGAGCTTCTAGGAATTTTCTCAGATTTTTTTATGCTAAATGGCAAAGGAACCCAATTTTGAAAATGATAAAAGTGGGACCCATTTGAAACGATATTTTTGGTGGGGTCTCATGTCATAACCAGATCGGGGAATTAACAATCTCGAAAGGTCTACCAAATAACCTTGAGTTTCATCTGTTTTGTCACAAATTCTGTGCTTTCGTGAATATATCTTGTTAATTTTCAATGACTTTTTAAGCATGAAACACTGCAATGAAACCTAAAGCCCACAATGGAGAATGGCAGGTTCTGAAAGTATCAATACAGATCTTTTGGTATCCCCCCATCTTTGTCGACTTTCAATGAAAGGAATTTAATCCTTTTTTAAATTTGTATTCGACAGGACATGGCTCTTATCTCCGTTTATGAGTGGATTCGTCTAGCTACATCTGCAACTGAAGCTGAGGTTGCTCGCGCAAAGAACTTACTGAAGACAAACATGCTTCTTCAATTAGACGGAACAACTCCTATCTGTGAAGATATCGGCCGTCAGTTCTTGTGCTACAACCGTAGGGTTCCTATTCACGAACTCGAAGCAAGATTAGACGTAAGTATAATAACTTCATTCAGAAAATTGACAAGTACTTAAATACAGTATGACCTCAATTCATCGGATCGCACTTTAACGGCTTGATCTTCCTGCCTTCAAGGGCTTCAAACTAATTTGAATTAACGGATTTCACAATTTAGTGGCTTGATTCATCTGTATTGTGAAATCTAATGCATGAACGTCTTATTGTAAATAAATAACCTGATTTTAAGAATGGGAAGCTCAATTACTTTTATTGTTGTTTTATCATTTTGCTGCCGGATCAATTTTAAAGTACAAACAATTCTAAGCTTGATGAGGTGTGTGAGGCAACCTTATGCCTTTTATTGTCTATAGGCTCCCATATGAAGTATTGGTTCAGGAATTCAGCAATGACTGTGCAGATGAATGAACTTTGCTGTGCTGAATACGTAAAATATTTCATCATTTAATTGCTTTATTTTTTTTGTATTTATTTATTTATTTATTTATTTAAACTTTCCGCTGATGAAATCCATTTCCCAAAAAAGCTCAGCATATTTTAAATCAGTACATTTCAAGGCGACCTCAATGGATTCAATGTAATAAAAATATTTCTGAAAGTGATCATGAATTTTTTTAGAGAGTCTTGAAGATACCCTCTGACAATTTAACAAAGCTCAATTTGATTTCTGACAAAGCGCAGAAAAGTAGACAATTTTTCCTTGTAAATTTTGCAGGATCCTTAATTAAAGCTCCTAAATTTTTCAGATCTGATAATTCAACGAAGTAATTAAGTAACAACCGGCGAAGGAACTTAAAAATTTTCAGAAAAAAGAAAAAATGCTGGGGAGTTCAGAATGATGAGGTTCATCATGTCTAGTAATAAGCCTCATGTTTTCTACAGTTTCTCTATTTTTTATGTAAGACATGCCATCCTGCATCCCTGGTGCAGTTTTATAGAATGTTATAGAGGGCAGAGACCGTAGGGGGCTGTTCATAATAAATGTAACTTTATGTAACTTGTAATTTTATGTCGATTATTGGTTTTACAGGATAAGAACTAATGTCACCAAAGAGTTATGATGGAGAGAGAGGTGGCAAAAAAACCCTAATTCAGTGTTATGTATTTATTGAAGGGCCCCTAAATCCGTAAATTCAGCATCTTGCAATCTGAAGAATAATCTAAACATATTTTATCTAACTTTATTATTTGCATCATTTTTATGCACTAATTTTTTTTCTTTACTGTACTTTTGACAGCGTGTAACTGCCAAGGATGTCCAAGAGGTTCTAATGAAATACGTCTACGACAGATGCCCTGCAGTCGCAGCTGTCGGTCCAGTTGAAGGCATGACTGACTACAACAGATTACGTAGCAACTTTTACTGGCTCAGATACTAGGTTGATAACCCCTCAAAAACAAATTATAGTTTAGTTGTTGGAAAATCCGTGTCATTTTGTATGATACCTATTTCTTTCCATGAATTTGAAACTCATGCTTGAGCTGTAAATAATTTCAGAATTGTTATCTCTCTGTTTAAGTCTGTATTATAAATTGTTCACAAGTCCTTATTGATGTGTTGCCACACTTGATTTTAAAGTAGCATCAAGGAGGAATGCAGGAATGGCATATAGTTCGAGAGGCTGTGTGTATTTTCAGCTGTTGATATTTCTACATTTCTCCTTGATGATGTTTTGAATTTTTCACCAGCGAATAAATTAAATTCAAATGTGAATCTTTCCTTGTTATTATTTTATTCATAATTGACATTCACTCTGGATCCTCTAACAATTGACCACTGTACAAGATATGAGTTGAAGCACCATGTCCATCATACAAATTTTTGTTGTAAAATTTCACAGAGAAAACAAATCACACAACGGGAAGTCTGAAAATCAACTTGTAAAGGAGATAAAATTGTTCACAATTAACATTAGTTAAATGGCAACGATAAAAATGAGTCCTAATTGTTTAATAGAACTCCATTTGATTGGTGTTAAATATATGCTCTCGTTAACCCTCTATGGCGTAGTATTACGAATTTGTAACAACATATTTTTCGGGTTTTTAAAAATTGAATCTTTCCTCTGTGGCATGATTTTGCAAATTTTCATTAGGTTTTTCTTGTTTCGAATAACTGATTCTCCAAAATTTAAAATTTTGAAAACAAATTTGGTACTCAATATTTTTTATGCAAGCTACCAAAAAGATTAGTGTCCCTCAGCATCTGAGATCTGAAATTAATTCATGCCATATAGTGTTAATATTGTTTTCAGGATCTGATTTCCAAACTTTTCGTTGTGTGAATCTTTCACCATGTAAGATTTTGAAGAGAAAATATGTGACATTTTTCCTAAACCAGATCTTGTGGTGGCCCATTAGACATCTGAAAAATGAAAAATGATAATCAGAGACTGAACCGCACTATAGATACTTAGAACTTTAACAGCTCAAAATTGTACGTAATATTGATGCCTTCACCAAAAGTCTGAAAGGGGAAAATCTTCATACTAAAAATTGAATGACACACACATCTTCGCTCCCAAAATGACCTCTACTTTAATTAATTTCAAACCTATTTAAAAATGACAAACTTTATTTTAAGCATTTTTTCAACTGAAAAAATGTCAAAAGAAATGTGTTGCAGAGCCATTCAAGTATCATGTAAGCTACTTAAGGGTGGTGGAGAGAGGAGGTCTGAGCTTGCCTTACGGGGTCTCATAAGGGGGGAATTAACGCTAAATCGTCGTGTTAAAATTGAAATTGATAGAACATTCTGATGCTTCTGAGGGATGAGGAAGTGTACAGTTCAGTTTTTAAAGTATTGATTTTTTGACACTTGATTCCTTTTTGACGGACTTGGTTCATGTCTGTGCCCATCGTTATTATCAGCAGAAAAAGGTCCATCAACAGCTCAATTCTCCATTTTCTTTGAAGTCTCATTCTTGAATCTAAAATGAGTCAGCTCATTCTCAATACAAGCGATTCATTTTCATAGTGTGCGATTTACTTTGAGTGTACAGGAGCCTCGAGAATGAGGAAAATTTGAATCTTCATTCGAATTCTTCCAATAATGTTTTGAGACATCAGTTTCTTCATATTTATCTCTCTTGTTTCACTTTACGTANGGGGGGGGGGGGGGGGGAGGGAGGCTGCATTTAACTAATTATGGTAAGGCTATTTGCATTGTTTGTTGTCTGATTTTGAGTGTAGGTTGCATACTCAGCCCCCGGATGAGTTTTTCCTATTTTTTCATAAATTTCGCTTTGTAAGACTCCATGGAATATTCCTTGAAAATGTTTCATCCTTTATCCGTTTTGCTCATGGTACCACGGAGATCGCCTTACTGAATTTAAAGTTTTCCGCCTTTGAAAATCTTTTATTACAGGTTCACCAGCTGTAACCAAAACTTAACCAAGTTAAGAGATTTTATAGAGTAATACTGTCTCGTCTTCGTCATGTCCGTAAATTTCTCCTTGAAAATAAATCATGTTCAGTAATTGTACTTTAATTAGCCAAACATTATTATATTTTGAAAAATATGATTATTTACGTTAGTCAATCATAGGCGGTATAATTATTAGTGTATTTGTGATCTTCATAGCTGGCAAACTGTTCATTATTTACATTTCGAAAATTTTGAGGTTAACTTATAATTATTGACTTTTTTAATCAAGTCGATTGTCGGGTCGTCATTCCCTGTTCATTGGTAAATGTTATCAACTTTCAGGGCGCCTTTCGTGATATCATGTGAAAATATACATCTCTAACCTTTCTCGATTATTTCCTTAGTTAATTTTGCGCCAGTCTATGAGCAACTGAAGAAAATATGGACCAACCTTCAACATCAGCCAGAGTTCCTGATACCCCTGGCAGGAGTAAAAGACCTTTTGGTAATCTACAATATTTCAAACTCTTTTTCACTAGATTTTTATGATTAATCTTTACACATTATTTTTTTGCTGTATGCATTCATTGGGAATGATGGTTCGTTATGAATCGTTGGTTACCCACACCCTCGGCACTCCCATATACATAATGAATCATCAATTTAACACATTTTTTAAAGAATCATCTCTCTCTCTCACTGACACATTGGCTTTAAGTTGTAAGACACAATTTTTTGATAATTTTAAGCACAAATGTGCTCTTTTTGATCACTTTCAATAACAGCTGGAGAAAGTTATCATTGGATACTTGAGTATTTAATTCAGCACTAAGTTGGCATCCTAATTTTTGAAAGGATGACCATTGATTCATCTCAGTCATTTAAACTGGAAAGAGTCATTATCAAGTATCAAGTTGCTGATTCTAGCCGAATTTCTGCAGCGAGAATTTTGTAGATAATTGTCGCTACACAACATGAGGAACAAAGCAGTTATTGTAATTATGTTAATGTGTGGTATAAAGAATTAATGAATTGAATCGAATGCATTCTTGTAAGATTATCGTTTATCACTGAATTGAGCACTACTCTGCAAAAATTTCAAGCTCGAGAGTGGATTCTATTTTATTTAGAAATCCCAATAGCCTTCTTAGTCATTTGCAAATTTCAATAATTGAGATAATCGGGGTTTCAAGCCCTGCATTGATTTTCTTTTAGAACGAAGAATTAAGAATGATGACTTTGAGAAATGGTTAAATTTCATGTTTCAGCCAACAAGTTCAAACAACAAAGACTACCTGCATGGCAGCCAATTCTCACAGCAAGCTCAGTTTTGCCAACTTTCTTTGCAATCGGAGTAGTTTTCATTCCCATTGGCGTTGGACTCCTTCATCTATCTCAATCGGTAAAAAATCATTCATTTTCTCACAGTCTCATTACTTTTACCAATGGCAGTAACCAAAGACCTCAGGGGTCACCTCTGGATCCTAGGAAGGAGGAGTCAAGATTTGATCTAAAGGAATCTGATGTTAAGCTTACATGAACGTGTTAGCAACCTGATCAAAGACGGTTCTAAATGTTGATTTTTTGTGAGCACTATGGAGTCTATAGTTAACCCTGATGTAATTTTTGAGGGAGGTTGTGTAAATGATCCTTTTCCAAAAATGAAGACTCATTTTAAGTCTCACCAAACCAAAACTGAACATCTTACAGCATTACACTTTGAAACTCTGCTGAGCCACCAGTTACGTTTATTACAGTTTAAAACTTTGAGCCGTTGTCAAATTGATCACAGCAAATTTTTTCATTTGACCTCCTCATTTGAGACAAAAATGCGTCTAACTACCTACACAGCAGGAAAAATGCTTAGCTATAAATGGCTATCGAAATAAATAATTATCTTCCTCAAGCTCTTTGTTCTTTAATCAGTGCAAAATTTAACGAAAATAAATGAATTGATTTTTCTCAGGTTCAAGAGAAGGTTATTGATTACACCTATTGCACTGATATTGTAAGTGGGAAGAAATGTTCAGACATTGTTACTAACTCCTCTGGTGCTACCTGCCAATGCAAGGTTCCGTTTACACTCGATGATCTCTTCAGAGTAAGTTTTTGCTTTTTTAAGTCATCTCATATCATCCTTCAACTACTCACTAAAGTCAATTTTGATTAAAAGTGCCTGATAAGCCCATTTGTCCATGGCGATTCCAATTGAGGTAACCCCTTAGTCGTCACTATACAGGGTGTCCCAGGATTAAGTACGAATATTGAAGGAATCGATTCTGTGGGTCAAAAGAAGACATTTTTGTGGTATAACTTTTTTTCGAAAAACGCTTTCGTGGGAGCCCCATTATCCCCCTATCATCAGCTCCTGTTATTCCCTATTTGTCCCTATTATCTCGAAAACTATGAGTTATAGCGAAAAAACGCAGGGGACATTTTCTCAATATTTTTCAACGCTGAATGTTGTGGTGCCGTCCAAAATCAATTGTTGTCGCTAGAAACATTAATTTTGGCCACTTTTACGTTTGGTACCCCCCTAAACCCCCCTTAAAATGAGTTTTACCTTTTTTGGAGGTCAAAAATGAAAAGAATGCTATAAATTACTCACAGATACCGATTTTCATTAATATTGGTTGATAAACATTGCTGCAGTGTTAAAAAGACGATTTTTTTCCTCCAATTTTGAGGAGTCATAGCGCCCAAGGAAAGTGTTTTAGGAAAAAAATTTATAACTCAAAAACGTCTGTTTTTGACCCAAAGAATCGACTCCTTCAATATTCGTATTTAATCCTGGGACACCCTGCATTTTGTGGAGAAAGGGTTTGTCACAGGCAAGTCTGAAATCTACTCATTGATGGAAATTTTTCATTGGGACAGTCTAATTAATTTTTACTAATCAATGAATTTGAATCATTGAAGCACGATTTGACCGTCGCAACTGATCCATTGTAACACAAGAAAAACACTTATTTTAGCTTTCCGTGTTGCAAACTTCCTGTAAAACTTTATTTTTTTAAATGATTAAATACTCATTGTCTTTTCTTGACAAATATTTTTGACTTTATCTTTTAGCAAAAAGAACATCCTGTGGAATCTGCAAGCTATAAGGTTGGCCACTTGTGTAAAAAAAAAAAAGTAGGAGAACGGAAATTTTAAAAAATTGCCATCAAGATTTATGTTTCTCTAACCTCACTTTTGATATGCTACTCCTAAAGGAGCCTATGGAGCAGTAAAGGAGCAGTATTAAGACACTATGATATCCTAGGAAGTTCAAGTTCTCACCCTGATTTGTTCAGAGTAGGCATTATAATCTCATCATTTTTCTTCATTTCAGACGAATGTATACATTTACTACGGACTCTCGAACTACTATCAAAATCATCGTCGCTACGTGAAATCGCGAGATGATTTTCAACTTCTGGGGAAACTCAGCTCAGAGCCCTCATCTGACTGTGAACCTTATGCTTACACGAAGGACGGTAAAAAACCAATTGCACCATGTGGCGCTATTGCCAATTCCTTATTCAATGGTAAGCACTAAAATTCCAACAGTCCTCTCGTGTGAGAGGTTTATAACTCATCTACTCATCAATGCAACTCCAAGTGTTTAATCGCCGCAAGAGCATGATAAAACCCGTGATTTTATTAAGTGCCACTTTAAACATCTGTCTAGTGGAAAATCTCAAGAGAAAATATGTAATAATTATCTATTTGTATCTAGAAAACTATTTAAATGCCTAGTCTAACTATTGTTTTTTTACAATGCAACTGCAGAGAATTGTGCAGTAGGGTTTTGAATTTCTAGGTACATATTTCAAGCATACTTAATTTATGTATCGCAATTATACTCCCTGGCAACTCATTAGACTTTAGAATAGGGCAATGGCAAAGAATTTTTCCAGGGTTACAGTAAAGTTTCCTGAAGCAAAATTTTGTGTGAAACCCGAAAAGTTTGGTGAAGAGCTTTTCTGAGGATAGAAAAAGCTAATTATTTTGATCAGTTTGCACAAGTTTTATTTGTACTTGGAAACTACTGAACATTTTTGTACTGCAAATTTCACCGGTTTTTCCATTGATTATTGTCGAAAATCAGCAAAATTTGAGGCAGAAATTGCACCTTCATTTGAGGGTGTAAAAACAGTTCTTTAAGTAGATTTTGTAACCTGATAATTCAGGTACGTTCCTTTGTTTGGATAACAACGATTTTTCAAGTTTTTATGTGGTACTATTATTTTCAATGCCGATAATCTTTGCAATGCAAAACTTGGAGATTTGTGCATTTGGATTCTTAGTGTCTAAAAGCTTTGCTTTTATTGACTTGAAGGAATTTCTTTCCTCTCAAAATAAACGTACTCATGGTTTTCTTTTCTTCTTCATTTTCAGATGAGTTGAGTTTGTTTTCAAAGACATTAAATGCTTCTGTTCCATTACTGCGGACAGGAATAGCCTGGCCATCCGACAAAGAGTACAAGTTTAAAAATCCCCCCGGCGACTTGAAAACAGGTTAGTATTCGATATGTTTTGCTGTGAAACTCGCATCTTTGAGTCATTCAGTGGTCATAGTCATGTTTGTGCACTTTCCTCCGAGTGATTGGGTCGCCAACATCACAAAATTTGGTTTGTGATGGCTGTATCTGATTACATGAGCAAAAAATATTGAAATGTCAGCTGCCAAGTTTTCACAATTGAATTGTAACATTTAGAAAATACACCTGTCTCATTTTTTGTGAATGATATGTTTGACGTTGTTGGATGACAAAATCTTTGTTATAGGCTTTCTTGTTAAGGGCTTATTGAAAAGTGTATTTAAAGTCTTTCAAAATCTTGTCATTTTGTGACTACAACTGTAGTATGAATTAGATGGTCTTGCACAATATAACAACAGCTAACTACAAAATCATGTTCAAGATTAATCCAATTCCAATGTTTTATTTTTTCTAGGAAAACTAATCAAAATTCGTCCTTACAATTTCTTGTGCTTTTTTTTAGAATGGGTAAAAAAGCTCACAGAAAATTTCAAAAGAAAGTATTGGTTGGTTTTCCTTTAAAAAAACTAAGACATTAATCAAGATTTACAAGGTTGCAATCTGAGGTATGCATTTTTCAACTTTAGACATGGACAAGAGGGTTTCCTATGGATATCAAAAGTCAACTTTTTTTTTTATTGCTATGTAAAAGTTAAGGTCAGGTGAATGAATCTAAGTAAGTATAAAAGTGTAATTATGTATTCGTTCAACAATAAGATTTAATTTTCCCAGAACATGCATAACAAACGTGGTGTCATTTACTTTAAAATTTCACAATTAATTGTGGAATAATTCCAGAGAAAATTTGAACAAAGAGTCGCAAAAAAACTTAAAATTCACTCCAAAAAGTATTTTGAAAAACTTGGAGGAAACTACAGTCAACAAGATCCAAAAACGAATGTAATAGTTTTTTCTAGAGTATATCGGAAAATCCAGTTCACTGTCCAGTTTTTACTTTTTTAAACCTCTTTATTCATACAGAATTTGAGCAAAATGTCTGAACTCACACTATTTTCGATTTTTTTCAAATTTGTGAAAGTTCCCAGTTTTTACATTTTTTAAAAAAGCTATTTTACAACTTGTGGTACGTAGGCAAGGTATGAATTAAAAAACACTGTGCCTCATGAGATCTCTTTAAATTCTCTGCGGAAAACGAATCTTGCAACAAGAAATCTAAAAATGAACCCCTAAACCAGATACGTATGAATGTTCACAATTAACATTGATTAAAAGCAAAATTACGAATGACGTCATTTGAACAAATATAATCTAACCTTCATTTGATCAATGTTAAAAATACTTAATAATATTTCGTACATGAGTTGATTTCTGAACTTTCTGTTGTGTGAATTGTCTTGTAAGATTTTGGAGGGAAAACTTGTGACATATTTTACCAAATCAGATCTTGTCTAGGCCTATTGAGCAAAAAAAATGAAAATCAAAAGTCGTAATAATGTTTAAGTTTTAAATCATAATTTTCGGTGCCAGATCCCAATGGCATTTAAAATCCACACCATTCACCTCACAGTAATTTGGTGAAACATATTAAATATAACATTGATTTGCGAAGTCTTCTTGGAGATCATCTAAGCTGGATTACTTTCTTTTGCAGCTTTCAGCCAATTTGCAAAGCCTAAGGATTGGAAAAAGAATGTTTGGGAACTTGATCCTGTAATCCCAGAAAATAATGGTCTTCAGAATGAAGATTTCATAGTTTGGATGAGAACAGCAGCGCTACCAACATTCCGCAAGTTGTACAGACGGGTTGATCACTCTGCAAAAGATTTTAATGGTGGTTTGCCCCAAGGTGACTACGAATTGATAGTCAAATATTGTAAGTATTAACTGCATTTATTTCTAACAGCGTATTGAACCACTGGACAAGGTGCAAACTTAAGCACTTTGATATTTGTTCCTCATCAAGATTTTACGTTGAGCATGATTTGTACAACAAAAGCTAGCGGAAGTAGCTCTTAGCGAGGACGTCAACGTTTTTTTAGCCATTAATGTAAATTTTCCGTTCATAAAAATACTACAATTTACTCAACTTCACACTAAACGTTACTGTAACAGTCTTCGCAGTATGAAAATATGGAAACCTCAATCTTGGCGCTTTGGCTCAGTTGTTGCACATTGTTTACACTTTTAACAACAGAGGGTGGGGACAGGACACCACTCAATTAAGAAGCCTGCAAAAACCGTGGGAGTGTGTGATCTGATGAACGTAGTCTCTGGTTTTTCTTGTGAGCAGGTTATCAAAAATTTTGTAACCAGTGCTAAAGAAAAGTTGATATCTTGAGTAAGAGTTAATTTTTAGGTTAGATAATTTTTTAGGAGTAATTTTTGTCTCATGAATCGTGTTCCCAATGAAAATTTGAACAGGGTGCATGTATCAAATGGCTTATATTCGTATGTTGTTTAGTGGTCCATTGATAAATTCCTTATATGAAATTTTTGAAATGGTAGGACTTACAATGATATGGCCTGTAACATGTCTCTTCTTCACCACCGTCCATTGTTTTTAGAATGTCTTTAAAATAATTTTTCAATCGTTTCTTCTTACTTCAATCGAAAAATTCATCAAATCAGTGACCCTTCTTGTTCATTAACTTCTTCAGAGAATCAATTTCTGAAGTTTTCCATCGTGAAGTTTTGCCTTGCTTTCAAGTTATTTCATGGAACCATGGAAAAAATCCACATTACCTACCTCCAAGGTATTTTGGCTCTGACTGATTGTTGCAAATGACAAAAAATATTAGCGAAGCAGGTATGACTTCATTATTGCCACTAAAAATAAAGGTTGCCAAACAAATTTTTGTTTAAATTGCAGCTGTCATTTTTTTCTTTGCCACCTTTTTTTCTTCTTTTTCTTACTAAAACAGTAATGAAATGCACAATTTTTTGATAACTATCTCTTCATCGATGTTAATCGCAATATTAGCCTTTCACAAGGATGCAGAACAAAAGGTAGAAACCCAATTTATACCATTTCAAACTTCTATCTCTTTTTATTTCATGGCATCCATCGAATCTTTTAGTCTTCTCAATGATAAAATATTTAAAACCTCTTATTGCGAATTTAAGGAATGTGGTTTGTCTCTTTTCTTGACATCATCTCTCACAAACATTGTTTTTGCAGCCTACCAAGTCACTTCTTTCAAAGGAACGAAAAGCCTGATCATATCCAACACGTCAATGCTGGGAGGAAAGAATCCATTCTTGGGGATTGCGTACATCACCGTTGGATGTATCTGCATCTTTCTGGGAGTGGTCTTCTTGTTCATTCACATCAAGTTCGGCAAAAAGTAAGTGTGAATTGTTATCATTTGTCCTTCGCCTTATGGAAGGATAACAAGGTTTANTTCCCCCCCCCCCCCCTCATAATTAATTTTTTGAAGGAAATTGACTTTTGAAGACTGACTGCCAGCAGAGACAATTTTTTATTTTTATTTTTATTTTATCGCTTAAGTATGTGCTCGTTATGGTAATGGCTGAATACCCTAGTTAAAGAAAGAAGAAAAAGAATTAATTTTTATTCTTGAGGCCAAGAAGATTTGTTCGGAAACTTCAAAGAGCACTCTGATTCAAGGACTCCTGTGGATTGATGAATTTTTAGAAATAACATTGAACAATAGAAACTATGGCCCAAACTAGGAGTCAGGAATAGAGAAAGTTATTTGGTTTTACTTTTTTTGAGGCAGCCCTCACATTACTGTCCCTGTGAGACTGCTCGCTTCACTATTTTTTTTGCTTAAAAGGGCATGTTTTTCAGTTGCCTCTGCAAAAATTAACATGCTTAGCAGTTTCCTTCTCAAAAATATGCATTTAATAGACTCCTTCACATAAAGTAGCGCTGTCTTCACGTTCCTCCTGTGAGCACCAATGGTCCCCAATCGGTCATCCAGTCGAGCACTTTCTGTACCCCTGCTGGAAGCTCTGATTGATGAATGCCCTAATTTGGTTATCGTTAGAAACTCTATCATGGTAAATGTCTTTCAGAACAAATGAATGGTCTAAAAGATTGGTTCCTTGAAAATTCTGTGAATTCTCTTCGGACAGCTTCCGGCTTTATTGCATTTTTACTATAGGGTGTGTTAGGTACAGAAAAAAAAACCTAACTCTGACTTCAATGTATCTGATTTTTTATTTGTTCTCTTTTCTTTCAGAAGTGCCGATGTCATCAACATCAGCCCATCAACTTCATATTGAACGTTTGGGGATAAATTGAAAATTCAAAGGAAAAAGTCCATCAGCAAAATCGTATAACATCTCTACTTACAATGATTGCCGTGAAATCATCCTTGTCTTGGTACATGAAGTTAAACTTTTGTTATGAGGATATACACCAATCGGTGTTTTCCTTGTAAACTTTCTGGAATAGCTTATGGAAACATATGCATACAAAACTGGTTCTCGGTTTGATTGATTTAATTTTTCAGTAACCAATATAGTTACTTTCATTGCAGCTGTAACTCCAACTGAACATCATCTGTCAGAATCAACCTAATCACATCAGACATTGCCCAATTTCCTTTCAATTGACATTTGTTTAAAACAGAACTATGCAAATTACCGTCTTCAACTGTTCTAAGAATTTTTTTGAGATTGAAGAATGTACTTATAAAATTTTAAGTCAAAATGTCATCAGTTTTCTCTTGAAAAAGTAAAATTTGAGACGAATATGAGGCAACGTATGATGTGGCTAGGCTGATTCTGGTTGATTCTTTCCGATTGGACTACATTTTGCAATTAGAAACTTCCATTTCTAGCTCATCTGTAAAATCACTTATGTGTTTAGGAAAACTAATGACACATAGGTCATTTACAAAATAAGCCAGAAACTGTAGTTCTACATTGCAAAATGGAGTCCAATTGGCACTCATGCAGATCCAGATCAAGAAGAGGGTGGCAGCCTTTTTTAAATAAGAGATGAAAATTTTAGATTGCCACCAAATTTGTGGCAAGTTACTCTCTTTTAAAAATTAGAAATTAACTTGGGCTTGTAAGAAATGAAAATTGCTAATCAAGTTTCCCCTGAGAGGAAAATGAAAAGCGTAAAATTTCCCTCTTTTCATAGAAAGTGACAATTTTGAAGTTGTTGATGAGCATAGTTCGTTTTTTTTTTTTTTTTTGTGTTCATATAAATATCATTGTTTTCCTGACTCATATCGGAAGATTTATGATGAAGAATTGCAAGAGTAGAAAATTCTCCTCTCAAATCAAGTACTTGGGTGAGTTTTATAATCTTCATAGATGAAGTTGAACATTCCATAGTCTTAAATGTACAGATCAAGTATTCAAGATAGCAGGGATGCAGAAACTATGCAACCATGTCACCACAATTAGCTGCATGCAAAAACGAGAAAGCCCCAAAAAGGGGTTTCAAGAACGAAAAGACTAGTGCACCTTCGTGTAGAAAGTGTAGAATTGAAGTAAAAATTTTGTAATTTTGAAAACCCTCCGAGAAAGTCGTGTAATTTTGTCAAATAGCAGAAATGTGTACATATATGTAGAGCAAAAAAAGGAAATCAATTTAAAATTCTCAGGGGAGAAAGGAGTTTTCAAAATGGGAAGGTCAATTCAAAACATTAGAAGGCCAAGAACTCTCTGCATCCCTGCATGACAGTATTGGGCATGAGGTCTTTCTAGTGTTCTTACAACGAAAATTATAAAGTATGTACTCTGAAAAATTTGAACGAAGCCAAAACTCCAGAAACAAGAATTAACGTCCTTTTGGTTTTTACTTAAAATGGATCATGCTGCATTTGAATTTAACTTTTTATTACAGTTTGCTAAAGAAATATCTATAAGAGTCAACTACTGAAATTTGCCTCAAGATAAAGTGAACTCGAAAAAAGATTTTTTTCTATCAGATAACAAAAGCAAAGTCTATTTTGTACAAGGTGATCCAAAAGTCCAGCACCAGACATCAGCACTGTAACTTTGAAACAAATTGAGATTGAGACTTGAAATTTTGCGAGTGCTCCTAGGTCAAAGGAAACGACTTTTGGGACCCCCAAAAATTTTAGGAAGACCATTCTAAAAAAAAAGCAAGAGCCTTGAGGCTTAAAGGAGTGTTGCAGGACTTTTTGATCTCCCTGTATCTATAGATGATAGTATCCTAGTTTGCGATACTATAGGTTTCCTGTCATACTTTATTTTCTATAAGGAAAACTCATAAAACTTTTGTGAGTTTTTTCTCTATTGAATGTATATTCTCTAAAAATTTCAAGTCGTAATTTTAATCTTGAATGAGAAAGACTAATTTGCATTGCCCTCACCCCCAGTCCAAAAAATTCATCTACGCAATGAAGATGAATTTTCTTTTGTCGTTTGTCCTCTATTATCAAAGTGTGCAGGGAGCAACAATCAATTATTATAAATTTTAGTCAAATACCTACCTCTTTCAGTTAATTGACTAGTGCCAAATTAATATTCTGGGACTTCAAAAGATGCCAACTATTCAGAATTTACCCAAGATTTTCACACTATTAATACTGATACATCGTTGTCTCTTGCAGGAAGAATATCATCTCGTCTGCACTGCTTCAATATTTGTAGAACATTTTAGAATCTCTTCTTGCAAGTTTAAAAAATGATCGCCAGAAATTTCCAGGCAAATTCATGCAATAGTTCTACTATAAAAATTGAAGTGTCAATAAGAAATATTGACAACGCAACAGCACATGAAAGTAAAACAATGCAATTGAGTTGCGTTTCTCCCTGCGAGAGACACCAATATTAGGCACATAAGTCTCTGGCACACTGCATTTTTTTCTCTTTCCTCGCCTTCTGAAATGGTTTTAGATTTCGGAAGCCCTAAAAAATATCATAGATTAATCAATGATGAAAAATAAAATTACTGATGATTTTATGAACTTCTATATTTTAAATAGTTACTGTCATCAAGTGCACTTAAGTTTATTTACCTAGTCTTAACATATTATGTACACTAATTCTTATTTTACTTATTTAGTGCGATAAACATTTAATGTATACTGGATCACTGGATCAGGATGAAAGGAAATGTAAGGTGGGCATACGCTTGGCCCATTCTGCACATAAATAACTAGACAGCTTTAGGATTGTCTGCCACAGGTTACAGAGATCTTGAACAAAGGAGGAAAAATCCTTTGAAATTTAAAGGCCATTTGCTAATTCTTTCGATTTACCGAGGTAACTTTTTGAAGCTCACAAGGCGACCTTTGAGTTAAAGAGGTAATGCACAGATTCCTTGTACTCACTGAGGTAAAAATGAGCCATAAATTTCTTTGAATTAAGGGAACAAATTTTTCGAGCGATCAAGGTTTCCGGCCCTCAGTGGAAGGGAATGGAGGTTTTCTTCGAGTTATTAAGGTTTTTGACCTATTGAGATTCAATTGTACAACTATCTGAAACCATTTCCGAGACTTAAAGAATATTTTTTAGTAAAATGGTACACAACATTTAACCCTTGTTCTCAATTTTCTCAAAATCACAAAGAAATGCATTTGAACAGACTCTTGCAGTAGACCTGTCAGTTACGTTTAGATTGTAATTTTTAGACAAGTTTCTTACACAATCTGATTTCGGTGGACGCATGGGTCGTAAGACAGTATGTTAGAGTTTTTTAGCGTAGAAAATCAGCATAAAGCTGAAAATCTCAATATCTCCAAAATCTCAATAATCTCAAAAAGTTTTTTCTGCATTATTTTTTTGTATGAATACAAATTATCAACAAGCGCAAGCCTGACCGAACGATCTTCTGCTGACTTAATGCTCGGAACCAATGTAATTGGCTTTTCAGCAACCGAATGCAGTATCTGTTGATAAGCTGAAATGCACAAGCAGCCAATCAAAAGTGGACTTAAGTGCAGTTGCAACTCATCTTGAGTAGATTAAATGACGCCTATTTTTCTTGACAAAATTCGGCCCCAGTTCTTGTCATTTATCAATTTTATATCATGAGAGCACAGCCTGATTTCAGCGTTTCAGCATCATGGTACATACTATTACAGATCAATGCTCAGACTTTTCTTTTATGAATGGTTTACTTCGCCAGATGTGCTGTCAAAAGTTGGTATCCATCATTGTATGTATCGGAGCTCAAAGAAAGTAGAAAGGGAAAAAAAGTAGCGGGTTTGTGCCTACTAAAAATCTGTGGGCTCCCCTGTACTAAATTTTGAAGGCAAGGCTGGATGGAATGGAAGAGTCAAGTCACCTGCGGTTACATTATTTGGTGCGTGTAAATATTTTACTAATTAGTCATCATCGTTGCCATGTTATTAGTTTTTGTAACGTACCTTTTTCTCTTTGGAATTTATTTTGTCCTCTTGGAAAGATTGTTGCCTTTCGAACAAGTACCTATTATTTAAGCTGCCCCTTTCAATTCAGTAAATCTGTAATTGCCCACAGAGAAAGAGAGCTCACTTTTTCTCAATAAGATTTACTATAAATCCTGGTTCTCCTTCCTGAGGACGGACAAAATTAAATCTGAAGATGAGATGCTGCAGATCAGACAAGCCCACACGCTTTCTAATTAGTTCTTCAAGGGGCGGACAGACAGGAGGGAATACCAGAATTGACCCTTGTGGGCCTGTTAATATTTAAGATAATTCGGGATCGGATTGTCCTCTCCACGTAGCCGAAATACAATTAAAAAGTGCTAGGATTCCCGGTAACATTTTTGGTCGCCTCTGATTTCTTCCTTTTCGTGTCTGTTGCTTTCAAACCTGAATACAGTGTAGACCTTTGCTTTTGCACCTTCGTAGCATTTAATCAATTTAATATTCATCAAGTATCACTTACCTACCAGCGAGGTTATTAGGTTCTGCAAGTACATGTGGATATTTTATACGGCTTCAAAGTGCTGATTTTCAGCATTACCTACCTTGCCCGTTAGGCACATTTTATGGACAATCGGTATGCTAACCATAGGTAGATGACAGTGTTACGTTCACCTTGCGTAGAATTAACTATTTTTTTAAGCAAATCAATTATTTTGTGAAATCCTCGTGATCTAAATGATGTATTTAAATCACTTCAATGCAAGATTCAGGCATGCAAAATTTTTAATTTTCATTGGGCCGAGTTTATTGGGAACGCACCAAGTCGCTTTTTGGAAAAAAAATGAGTCAGGAACTGTTTCGAAATCAGATAGTTGTAAATCTTCTCCTGTCGAAAATTTAAAGTTGAGAAAAAAATATATCTAACCAGAAAGGAGTTGATAAACTTTGTCCTCAATATCGTGTCTTGAGGAGGTATAAAACTTTGAACTTCTTTTCTTCGGTTAGGACTTGATATGTCTTGGTGTGCTTCTGTTAAACTCTGTCCATTTTTAATTTTAATTAAGAACATGATTCATTATATCAATAGTCTTTTTTTCCTGAAGCAACTCTAGCATAACCAATGTCTTACAATTAGTCTTACAAATCATAATTTTTAGCAACAATTCAATTTGAGGTAAGCGCACAAAATTCTATTCTTGGAAAAAATTGTAACAATTAAAGGAGAAATTCATTTTCTTCCTGTTTCTGTAATAATATTTATTTTCAAAATATGTTTTCTGGTACTGTTTATCACTGTATATAGTGGTCCTCAAGCCATCATGAAGAAAACCAAGGAGAAACCCTGATAAGGGGCATTTACGCTCACTTAATTTCGGTTTTTCCATGAATGGAGTTTGCTTTGTTCAAGATAAATAAAGCTGCAATCTGTAAAGGACATTCACTGAACAGGAAATCCTTTATTATGGTTTCATTTGTGCTTGCTTAGTGCCCAATGGAACACAAGTAAATGGAATAAATAGAAAAAGAAAAGAGAAAATTTTAAGAGATCCGATGTGTCAGGTGGACAAAATTTATCAACTTTATTGTCATAGTGGAATGAAGATGAGATGAGAAGTAGCACACGCCTTGATTATGTAATGCAGACTTTTTTCATTGGTCCCATATTGGTTATTTACCAAAAAAAAAAAAATTGAAATTAGATGAGAATAACTTTGACACTTATCAAGACTCCATTTTTTAAAAATTCTGCAGTGCCCCTCAAAGATTTTAAATTTATAATTGTTTCAAACAATTTTTTTTAATTTTGTTTTCATTACTTGTTTGTTGTTAATTTATTGTCTCAGAGCTTTTATAAATAAATGTTGTGATCTCATTAGCTTTTAATCTGTGTTCGTTCAATCTGCTTATTGTCAAGTATAACTACATGAGCGTGAAATATCATAATTGAGGGGTTAAAAGGACAAGGCACATAAGTGCAGTTTTTGTTATTTCGAGAAATACATGTTTAAAGTTTCAAACTTAGATGGAGTCTTATGGCGGAAAGAAAGTTTAAACTCACTTTTTGATGCTTTAAAGTTGGATTTTATCTGTGAATTTTCCACAGAATAAACTTTCAAACTAGCTTTAGTGGAGTTCATGAATATATCAATTTTTTCAAAAACTGTACTCATGCGCCTTGTCCTCCAAGCCCCTCAATTCCAGTCAGAAAAACGTATATTTTGGTTTCTAACCTTGTCAATTTCTTTTTTTAGCTTTACATTTACAACTTAAGTGATCGCACACATCTTTAAAAAAAGAAGAAGCTCGAATTTTCTTTTTGTACTAATTTGGAAAGAAAACTGTACACAATGAAAAAACCTTAAGTCAAATCAGTTCCTATCATTTTTCAACAGTTTAAAACATGCATGAACAGTCATTTGAAGAAAAGCAAGCCTGTGATATAGTTTTTTTTTTTTTTTTCATTTATCAATCCTTCACACACGTATTGTGATTTAATCGGTTAACGGAACGCCTGGGTCGCCACCTCTAGTGCACGCAATATGCCAATATTGCATCCTTCGTAAATGAAGGCGCATCTTGCCGACGACATCACTGAACCACCGTTAAACACCATAGGGAAAAAAAATTTAAAAACTTTGCTCGTCATTTTTGGTCTTCTTGACGTATTAAGCCTTGATGCCATGAACCATGCCTTCTCGGCCTGTTACTCAACTTTGTAAACGTAGATTTTGAAGCCCGTGTCCCACAATCAAATGAACTCATCAAATGCAAGATGGCGGAGATGCGCACTGGTTTTCGCGCAAGTCCACTATCCAAAGGCCTTGATAAACGCTCAAATTTCCGTCAATTTCCGATCAAAATTATGACAAAAATGGCGGTGATGGTGCGCCCCAGTCACCATTTGATCGGAAATTGATGGACATTTGAGCGTGTATCCAGGCCTGAAAGTTGGCGAGCCGTCAAATGTTGATGAACCTGCCATCTTGCATTTGATGAGTATTTAATGAGTTCATTTGATCGTGGAACACGGAATTTACGTGCGTCTCCCTGCTCTCATAAAAATTTCCAACCGAGCTCAAATACCTGTTGAAGTGACCCTGGATAAAATTCTAAAGGATGACATCCAGCAAAAGGACGCCGGTTTTTCTGAAAAACAATGTGTGCGTTGGCAAAATCGCTTTGGGCAGAATTTATTTCGATGTAATTTTTGTGAAGCAATCCGCTTGATAGGCTGAAATCTGCTCCTTTGGAAATTCGATTGGCGCTTTTAAAAGTAAGCGCTCCTTGGGGAAGGGGGGGGGGATGTCCCAGGTCGCCTTTCCCTTTAGATCAGAAGGAGGATGTTAGATGCTACTAAGGCCATTTTTTAGATTTAATACATACTTAAGTACTTTGCGTTCTCGAATGAAGTCCAGGGCCGGATTAAGGGGGTGGTCACATGGGCCGCGGCCCATGGCGGCAAATCTAGGGGGCGGCAAATTTTGCAATTTTTTTAAATGTAGGTATATAAAAAAATCGGATTTAGAAATAAAAAATTACAAACGAGAAAAGGCTACAAAATCTCTCATTCCCGAGAGTATAGTAATTCTTAATTTTGTCGTCTTTCAGTGATACAAGAGACAGCACCTTTAAGTAGTCGAGTTAAGAGAGAAACCAAACACGCAATTTGGCCTGGAACGGCGCGACTTAGGGAGAAATGATGACGAGGAATTGAGAGGAAAAGGAGAAGCCCTCGGCGCGGCAATCGGCAATCGGCCTGTAACACATATTAGCGCCTACAAGACTGCACGAATACTTCACGCATTGCACCAAACACAGTGCGGTTATTATGGTCAGCGTGAAACGGATAGTGCCTACAAGAATGCATGAATACTTCACGCATTGCGCCAAACTCGGCGCGGCGGCGGAAGTTAAAATCATTAAACCAAATTTTGTGTTTGTTCTTTCATAATTTTTTCGTTCATTTCTTATGAATGAAAGGTCTTGTCCATTAGAGACAGGTTTACGAAACTTGACTTTCGCGCAAAGTTCCGTGACCTTTTGTTTTTGCTAGTAGTGTTGACAGGGCTTTCCCAAAAAATGTGTTCAACACGAGTAAACGCGTCCTCTGCACCCCTCCCCCGCTGGCACGTTCACTCGATGGTTTTTATTGATGTTTCAAAACGAATGAGAAGGGGGCGGCAAAATACAGGCGGCCCATGGGCGGCAAGTAGGAAAATCCGGCCCTGATAAATTCTCAAAATTTTGCGCTCCAGGCTACATAATATGTAATTACATTGACGGCAAAACTTCCAAACCACGTATCACGGTTTGCGACGTTGCAGACTTCCTGTCATACTTTATTCCTTAATTGGAGAACTGGCTCAACTTTAATAAATTCCTAAAAACTTCCTTTATTGTTCATCCTGCGATAAGGAAAAATTTCGAGAAACGCCGAGGGATATATGATGTCCATTTTTGTTCTTTCAAAAAATAAACCAGGGGCGGAAATCTCTAGACACCGCAAACGAGATAGGTAGGTACGTGGTTTGGAAGTTTCAATATCGATATTGTACTACCACCAGGGTTGCCACAGTTGAGGAATACCTGGAAATGTCAGGAAATTTTGAAAAGTCGGGGGAAATGACGAAAATGTCAGGGAAATATTGTCAAATCACCTTTCTCTTCTCTCTAGAGTGGGTTAGACGTTTCGAACAACAAATTTTTCTGAAAACTACTTCAAATCATGTCTGTTCGAACATCTGGCGTATCCTCAATTGTCAGGGAGTTTTATGAAATCAGGGAAACATCAGGAAATTTCATTTTCTAAATTCTGTGGCAACCTTGCACTACACGTGCTCAGCTAATAGCAATGCGGCCCTTCCCATGGACAGCTCCCCTGTTCATGAAGGTAACTTGGTTCCTTTTCGCCGAACGCAAGTACGATACGTCATACGAAGGACATTTGGATCACATTTTGCAGTAAGGAACCACTATCTCTGGCGTATTTTAGAAACAACATACGTGCCATTGGTTTCCCCATGCAGAAAGGTGTTTTTATCGAAGAGCCAGAGGTAGTGGTTCCTGATTGCAAAATGTAATCCGTTTTTCCTGACCAAAACACCGTAGATCGTCCAAGTTGTGAAGTCTCCATCCTCCCTCAACCGACGAGGAGCCACTGGAGCTACGAGCGCGAGTTGGGCCGCACATTTTGCTCCCTACTGATAAAAACTAGCGTCGGCATTGGACTTGGTGCTCCGTACATTTCCGAGGGGCATGGGGCAAGAAGAGGGAGAATTTATCATTAACAAGCAAGACTACTACCATACTATCATCTCCATTCACAAGCCGAGGGCTTTCTTCTCCGCAATGAAATTTTAGCCCCGCCTGAAATTTCTCCCGGCCGCGCTCCCATTGGCCGAGCGCCGCGCCAACTACGCCCCACCACCGCGTAGCAGGCTATCTCAAGTGTTATTCAACTGTTTGCTTTCGGGTCCTCCGTTATCGGTCCTTCCTCTCGCCTCTCCTTCCACGCTTTCGTCCTCGGGTTCATCGCCGTTTGTTGTGTCTTCCTCGTCCGCTTTTTTTTCGGAAAAAGTCCGATTCTGGCGATTGTTTTTCTGCGGAGTCCGTGAACTTGCTCGCGTGCCGTCCTAGCCCGTTGTTTTGACGGCGACGGCACGAATCTCGATACGGCTCGTCGAGCGGCCCGCTTGGCTTCGTAAAGATAGCCGCGCTGCAAGAATCACGGCCGGAAAACGGCGGAAAATCGGGGTTTTTGATGCGGAAATTTTTTTCGAAAAACCTCCGGTCGGATGGATGCGATTGAGTCGAGACCGAAAGTAACGGCACCTGGGGATCCAGCGGCAGCTGCGCACACCGCTTGGCGGTCGCGACAGCCGCCGCCGCTCGTATCCCCTCCACAGCGCAATCGATTGGGCTCCTAAATAGCATCACTTTCTACACGTCGGTGAGCTCCGACCAATCAGAGGCCCGGATTCGTCGCTCTTGACGTGTGAACCCCGTTTCTCGGAGACGACAAGACTCCGGCTCGTCAACCGAAGGTAAGTGTTTTTTGATAACGTTCTCCTTTTTATAGTTTTTCAGCCGAAAGACCGCCGTTCACACTCTCGAACGATGCAGGGTCCGTCCCGATTTCAGGGTTTTTATGATTTAGGATGCCTTGGCGGCTTTTTCGCTCGAAAATTAATTTTTTAATGCAACCGCCAAAAAAGTGCGGGTCACCCGTTCGGCACTTCTTTGTTCTGCCCTCGTGCCTGCCATGACCCCTCGCCTTTAATTCTTTAGCACCAGCTCGTCTGGTTGATCCTCAAGACCGTTTTGTTGTCAGTACGATGATATCGTTGAATGTCCATGTGCTTTTACGTGGAGGACGTTAAGGCTCCATCCCCTCCCTCGGTTTCTATTCCCACTCTAACCCTCCTCCCCCCGCCTTCCCATTCATTCTCTCCCACCTACTACATCTGTTTCAGGAACCGAGGCTTACCGCTCCCCTCGCTGACGGCCATTGGTGGAGGGGCGTTGCTTGTAATGCGAGTCCCGGCCGGGGCCCCGCAGACTGCAGAAATAAAATTTATGGTTTTCATTACTGAGACGATTACGCAAGTTTCATAACTTACTATCAACGCACTTTATCAATGCGTTTGACCGTTTTTGGACCTGCTCCAGACTATGTCATTGACCTTGACTCATTCTCTCCTCTTTCTCTTCCCCTCCGCTTCTTCGTTCTTCGAGCCTCCATTTTCGCACACTCTCCCGTCTCTCGGCTGTTATCAACTTTTTGCCGCTGTTTTGCTCGCTATATTCTTCGAGCCTCCCAAAGTCACATTTTTGCTGATGTGTTTTTTCCGCGGATCGGGATTTTGAGGCGGCTGCAACGCGGCCGGAATCGATCGGAACTTTGAGGTGTCTCATTCACACCGAAAATCCGATTTTCCGATTTTTGAAAGATGACGTAGCAAAGCTGCGCTGGGGATGTCTACGAGAAATTGGCTCGTGATTCCTCTGAAGGCATTTTTTTTTCAACCGGCGAACTTTTTCGCGCGTTGCTTTTTTTTCGGCCGAACTTAGGTGCCACCAAAAGTTTTGCCGCTCTTTTGGCAACCGCGCGGTCATCGATGCAAAATGGCCGACAGCTGAAAGGCTATCATTTCAAATATTTTTATTCGCCGTTTGTTTACCTTCGCGTTTTATGCCATGTGTCCTAATTTTAAGTGTGAAATACGTATTTAAAGTATTTATCAATTGTGAAATTAACTACGAATGACTCCGTGTTGCCGTTCGTTCGTGAAACTTTGAATTTTGTTTGTGAATCCAACCAGACGAATGCTCCATTGCCTGAGCTATTGGACTGTCTCAGTTTGCATTCGATGTTTCGTAGTTTCTGTAGTTTTAACCGCGAATAAAAGTGCGCTAACCTCCGTAATTTAAGGTACGTTCTAATTATCCTTCTAGATGAAGTCATTCAGAAGTATTGAATATTCCAACCCCCGTAGATAACGTACACATCAATTGGTTGCCCTGCTTGCCTTAGCCTGTCCTGGTGCTTTTTTCACCAGATTTTTGTAGTTCATCACTCTAAATTTTATTACCTTATCGAACCTACTTAGCGCCTCTTTCACCATCCAAAACTTCCATTAAAACCTTTCCCAAAGCTGTAAACCATGCCTTGCTGGATTCACCTCACAAGTATCCCAGAATCCTGAACCTTTGTCTCGTCTAGGTTATGGCTCTTCCATTGTCACCCTTTTTTTTTACCCTATTTTCTTTTACCCAGCTCCCCGCAATTGTCAAGCAGTTAGAACTGCTTCTCAGTTTCTTATAAAGTTGCGGGGTATTCATTCTTAGCTTAGGTGCACTTCAACTCTATTATGCTTTATTGTTGATGGTAGCCTAGTGTCAGGGTCATAGTTTAGAATAGAATACGGACAGTTACAGAACCTAACCTTAACAGTCTGTTGACTATACTACCGGGGAAGATTCTGTTTTTCTACCATACCTACGCTATGGAATCAAAGACATGATATCATCAATTTTGTTGTCGCAGCCAAAACTTAGTGTATGACCCGTTCCCAAATTAGGTTAGGTTTTGTTAAGGGCCAATAGCTGTGCCGTAGTTTGTCAAATGGGTTGTATATTTTCCTTATCTGATATTGCTTGTCGTCGCATTAGGGGGTGAGTCTAAGGTTGACTCGAGACACTTATGTTTACTTTCTACGCTTCAAATGGGACTGAAGAGTACTACTTTGGGCGGATCATTGAAATTCTCTATGAGCATGACAAAACACACAATTCAATGTATCGCATGGAGAAAAGGGGCTTTGTCCTGTTTAGTTATGCTGGCGCTGTTTTCATGACTGGCTTGTTGGCCAATCTTGTCTTTCAATGCTCATTTCAGAGTCCTCTGTAGGGCTTTTATTTCAGTTCGGAAACTGAGCAACACAGTGAGGTTCTCCCAGTAGCTTGTTGTGGCTATTTCTAGTCTTATTAGTAAGCTACTAATGGTGAAATTGGGGAAAAAGAAATGTGTCAAGCACTTGCATCAGATAAATTGGCTGTTGTTTACATTCTAGTTGCCAGTGACAAGCACCACCCCTGTACAATAGCAGTTGACAATTGACGTTGCTGCCGTTGTATGCAGGTACACTAAAATAGATACTGTGCTTGACGGTCAAAAGTAAACAACTGTGAACTTGTCTCATTACAGTTCTGAATACCTTGATTTATGATGCTGTCTACTTTCAGTCACATTTGATCATCACGTAGGATAATGAACACTTTTGATCCCCTGAAATTAAAACAGGTTTTTCTTTCACAATCAACTTATATACTCTCCTTAAATTTCCAATCATGCCAGTGTTCTCTCAAACGTATTTGGCAGCTTTTCATCTATAAAAGAGGCAAATTTGAAAAATTTGAAACTCCTGCACGTTGAAGATACTTACTTATTTCTCTAGTTTAACAAAAATTGATAAGTCGCAGCTATAATGTAGGGAACCTGTACGTTTCCTGACTTATCCTCTCAGGGGCTGCTTTTATTTTATGTCGGCTAAATATGGGAGAGGGGACTAAGCTAGCCTCACATGGGATCAAGCTCAGTCTTACATAGCCTCCCACCTGAAAAAGATACTTTAAAACATGTGCCTATATATATAATTTTTCCAGCTATTTCTCAGGCTTCTCTCCTTATTTTCTGAAACAACAGAGGGGATGTCAGACCAGTCTTTATTTACATTATTTTAAAACTGTAGCCACTGTTATCAACAGAATTACAGGAAGTTTGGAGTCGGAAGGTAATTTCATGTGCTTTGTCCATTTCTGGTGACAGTTGAAACTGGAAACATAAGGGGTTGCCCCTCCCCCCCTATTAATACATCCTCGCTTAAAATGACTCAAACATAAAAGTGTCATAGAACAAAGCAGTCCTATTTTTCCCCTAAGAATCAGCCTACTAAAGTGCTGCCAATCAATTTAGGACACCCTACTCATGTATAAATAACAAGATTTTTTATATAAATACCGAACCGAAACAATCGGTTACTTCGTTTTTTTGTCAGTAAAATCTGATGAAAGTGCCTAACTCAAATCTCATCAGCCTACGGTGTTGGTGTTAAAATGATGAACCCAAGTCAAAATGGCCAGTTGGTGAAACAAAGTGACATTTTTTACGGATTCAAAAGAGGGAAAGAGTCACAACAACAATGTCACTAGTTTTTCATCAGAGTAAAAAGTATTCTTTGAAAGGAAAATTCTGGAATGTCGCAACACTGAATTTTTAGGTTTGACTTGCATAATGTTTGTAATCCATGTTCACAAAATTCACTCATGACTCTCTCTTTTTGTTTTGCAGGAATAACCAGACAACAAGTTTATTTTAAATCAAAGTGGAAACTTCAGTCCCAGTGCAAGATACGAAGTCAGAGTGGAGGATCTAGATAGCTTACCTTTTTAGGACTGAAAATTTTGGATACATACCTCATCCATCTGGATTGTGTATTTCATCTTGGAAAACAGCTTTTTTTATCATCCAGGATTCCCAACAATGAGGTTTGCAATTGAGGAGAGACAGAGAGAAAATGTCCTCTTTCCCTGAATTTGGATCGGACAAGAAACCTTCGTATTGTGCATCAGATACGGAGCCATGTTAAGGATAAGCTGCCGCTAAAGAGATCCTCTACCATATCCAGGGTAAGTGTGCTCTTGCATAGGAATAGGATTGTTCTAAGCTCTTCCTAAATTTTCCATCGTAGCTCACCTGGGATCCTAGGATTTACTCTCTTAACTTTCTTTCATTTTGAAGGAATAATACCCAAAGGTCAAAAGTAGGGATCGACTAAAAATGGACCAATATTCCAGAGTGCTCAAATTTTGTAGGTATTCAAAAAGAACAGGCTGACTAAATGTCAACCAATATTTCAGTGAGCATGGAATGTGCAAGAAGCAACGAAGTACTTGCTGACCAACAATGGACAGATACTTCAATATGCTTCAAATGTGCAAAAATGTAGAAATTTCTTTCTTGAGGAACAAAATCTTTCAAGTAGTTTCAAAGAGACTTCAAATTTTTCGCAGGGCTAAAGGAGTATTCTAATTTTAAATGGCAGGTTTGATATCAGTCTTAGCATGATGAAAAAGGCATCTTTCCTGCAGTTAAGTTAGAAGATTAAGATTTGGGAATCTTCTCGACCAGAAGGAAAAATTGCGCATTCCTCCGTGAAATGACTGGATTTATATGCGAAAGTGTGAGTCAAGGGTTGCAGATTAGGAGTTCTGTCAGGGACATGATATTTCCCTGTGTAATTGTGCTCGCCTAAATTTCTGGCAGGATAAAAACTTTGTGGCTTTCCTAACAACCCTTGCTTTTGGTAAAATTATTTACCGTAGTATAATTCGTAGCTCAAATCCTCATGTTTTTAGCAACTTGAATCTACATCTTCCTGTTTAGTTAGGGTCCTTAATTTTTTGTACTTTTGTTCCAGATATGATAATTCGATAATTATTCTGAAGTTTTCTCTGCTGCCACTGTAAGTTACATTTTAGAATCTTTTCTATATCTCTATCTTACTCCACTCTGTCCTAGGAAATAATTTTATATTTTTATACTTAATTTTGGCACAGAAAATGACAGAAATACTTTAAAAAGGTGGTTGTGGCAAAAACAGTCTACTTTTGATCCCACAACCGATATCTAAAGCAACTCATCAGAATACAACCACATAGATAAAGTGTAGTATAAAAAAAAACTTTAAGAAATAGCCGGAACTGTACGTAACAATCTAGTAATTTCAGCGCAAAGATCACACTTTTGTGTCATGCCTTGCTTCATATTCATGATGGTGTTTCGATGCCTTCTTGGATTTTGTGGGACGCTAAGTTGGGTTCATTGACAAGTGTGATCTACTGATGAGGTCTAAGAAGACTCAAAATATTATAGATTTCTGAGCGGGCCCCAACTTTATATTCCAATGCAAGCTGCCTGAGCTGAACACTCTTTCCTCTCAGTCATATTCTAGTACGCATTAGAGCTCAAAATTTTTGACTCTGATTGAAATTTTGGAACTTTTTGGCTTTGTTTTCCCCACCAAATGATGTGGACCCAGTACCATTTTACCACCTTGTTAAAGTGTAGTACTTCACTGCTGCCACCAATACTAAGTCAAATATTAGATATTTCATAAGAATTTTAGGTAAAAGGGCGTATGAGACTTTCAATGCTGCTAAGATTGTGCAACGTAGTTTTCTAGTCGTAAGTAACTTATCCAACAAATTTACTATGAATTTTTCCCTGAATCTTCTCCGAGTTTTTCTTCACTAATGTGAGGAAGTAAGTTGACTGTGAATGAATATCATCTGCCCCAAATGCCAGAAAAAATTGCACAGTTTTAACAGCATTGTTAGCGTCATATGCCCTTTTACCAGAAAATGCCTCAATTGACCATATATCAAGTGGATGAGCTCTTCTTTTATACAGCTACTATAAGCACCACCTATCAAATCAATTTTTTTTTAAAGTTTTCCTTGTTTATAGAGAGATGTGATTTTGATTTGTTGAGCAGCTTGTGGGAAGCATTGAACCAAGGCCAACACCGTGGACTCGCTACCGCAGGGCTTGTTGGAGGGGCGCCCCGGCGGCTCGATTCTGCTCACATCGCATCAGTTGCAGCAGCTACAGCAGCTCCAAGCACAGCAGGAGCAAGCCAGTTCCGGTGGAGCCCTCACTCTCACCCTCACGAACCACACTTCTGTAAGTTCTCATTCCTAGTTTGTCCCCATGAAATTTCAGGAAAAGTCTCCTGTCCCTTGGGAGCAATGTGTTAATGCCCTTTTTCAAGAACAGTGATCTGCCTTCCCTGAGATATGCACCGAATGTGCCTTAAATTTGGAGAGGTTGGGCTATTGTAGTGTCTTGAAAAGTTAACGCACCCCGTCAATTTTTTCAAATCCGCAATTGCGCAGCAGCAGTTAAGTTATTTGCCTCCAAAAATATTGTAGATGACTTCTAATAATTGAGCTTACTGGATAGGACGGCTCTTAAAATTTTAGGGAGAAGGCAGAACACAGTCCAGAGGTATTTAAAAGAAAAAGAAAAAAACTTCAGATCCTCAGTTACTCAAGGCTTTGAAAACTTAATCGTGCAAAAGTAAACACTTCCAAGAGTTTTTTGTAAACAGTAAAAGAAATTTTTGTGATTTTGTTTTGGAAATTTCTAAACTAGCCAAAAGAACTCCCCCAAATTTTGAACATTTTAAGGTAGGTTGAGAATCGATCTCAAAGTTTGTCAGCATCATGGAATTTTGTTTCCATACTGTTACTTTTTTTTTGAAGCAAGTCATCGTAATCTGTCGCAAAGATGTATCCTCAAGGTTTCACTGCCAGAATTCATTAGAAATTCGTTGAGATCGTTTTTTTTTTCATGATGCTATGTAGAGGATCACATCGTAAATCATGTGAGGCCTCCTAAGGAAAGGGGCAGTTGAATGAATGAATATGAACAAAGCCCCAAGCGTCCACAAATTTTAGCTGTGTCTATATTCTTCACTTCAGACGGATCAATCCTGTAATTTAGAACTATTTGCACTGTTGAATGAACCATTTCTGTTTTTGATTGTCAGCCCAGGGCCTTCAAAATTGTTTTTCCTTGTTCCTCATTTTCTGCAATTGTTTTGGTTCTTATCATCATCACTACTCCAAGCTCTTTTTTCAATTATTTCCAATTATATTTTCCAAGTTTTAAAATACTTATATTTCTTTTGCCAGGCGGGCGGTACCAGTTGCCTTGGTCCACAGTTAGTTCTTACCCCAGCAGGACAAAGTTTTGCCTATGGACCTGTATCCGCGCAGTCGGCTGCCACCTCGGCTGATCAGGGCTCAATGCCCATCATCCAGCACATCACTGGTCACACAACCAGTATACAGCAGGTTCTGCAATCATCCATACAGCATGTTCGACAGTCCAGCATACAGCAAGTTATACAGCAGGTTGGACAGGCTAGTATTCAACAAGTAAGTATTCTAGGAACTATGCTGAGCAAATTAGGAAATCTGTGATGTAAATTCGTGAAATTTTAGATTCACTAGCATCAATTTATCGTATTTATTTCGTGCACCAGCCTCTTTTAAGAAGACACCTCTAGTCCTCAGCAAGTAGAGGAGAGTTATACGATAATTTCAAATTCTTTTGCAACCGGTCAGATTCTGGTGCAGTATTATCAAGGTGTGCTGTCACCAGACTTTCTCCAGAGCAATGTATGTTACTTAGTTATCCTACTGCATCTTTTTTTCAAGGTGTCTAGAAAACCGGGAATTGTAAGAAGAGTCAGAGAGGAGTCGGAAAATTTCATAAGAAAGACTAGAACTTTGAAAAGTCCTGTTACTTGAACTCTGGAAAAAATATCAGCGTTGTCAAGTTGAGTCTTAGTCTGGTTAGGGGTCAAATGCTTTGAGTTATTTTCTGCGTATTGAAGAGAGGACAAATTTTCATCAAGGAATTGCAATTTTAATTAATGTCATGGTTATAATGTAAAGAACAGAGGCTTGCATGTTCCTATCCTTCGCAGTGAAATTAATGCTGTAAATTTTTCATTTTAAATTCTATTTGTGAAAATCGTCCATGCAGGAATTCAGAAAATTTTGATTTTTTTGACTGAGAAAATGTAGATAAATTTGTCTCTGCCGAATTTGCAGACACTGTGTTTTTCTTTTTATGTATATTTTCATTGCAAGTCTGAGGAAAACAAAGATTTGATGAAAAGAATGAAACGTACCATCATGTTTCTGATGAATATTTTACCCTGCAAAGCATAAGTCAGAATCAGCAACGCCTCATTTGAATAGCCTAATGGTCCAACCAAAAAACAAAAAATATACCCATCCATACCCTTAATTTGTTTTAGAGTTGTCTGATTTAGATCTGAAGTTGAAGACAAACGGCCATTATGAATTTTAAGGAAAATTGCCATTTCGCTTTTTTTTCTGTCATTACATGCTTTCTAAAATAAATACATAAATTCTGTCATGAATAGATGAGAAAATGAACTACAAAACAAAGGGGAAACAACATTTGAACTGATTCAAATAAAACAGAAGGCAATCAATTTGTGACAGAACATATCTAAGTTTTTTGCCATTATTATCACAGCATAAATATAGGCTTTTCAACAATAACTTTGAAGATTAACGCATTGCATCGTAATAATACGATTAAGAGAGATTTCCGCGTTTTTAGTAAGCTTTTTGTAAGAACTAAATAGTTTCTGGTCTCTTCTATGCAGAGTGAATGCCCCTCTCTAAATGGCCTTTCCATTAAGTTAGTAACTGCTGTTAAAGCTTATTAAGCTTTAACCCTAAGTCTCCGTGGTAACAAAGCTTATATAGAAGAACGCATTGTCAATCTAAAAACCTATGTGAATAAAGTCCTATCCACATAATTATTATGAAATTAATTATTTATTCAATAATTCTGATCGTTGCTAAAAATAAGCAACAACTGCTTTATCTTTATGACTTGTCCAAAGCTTGGGGCACTAATCAGCTTTTTGGGGATTCCAGGTCAACCAGCCAGGTTTACAGCAGATGGGCAGTCGAACATCGCAGAGCGTCAACGTCAATGGCGTTGAGGTCAGCGTCAACAGCGGTAAGTCTGCTCCCGGTTCTTCACTCTCCTCGCGTTCCTCTTCGCTCACCCCCTCTTCCTTACCTCATGGCCCCGGACCAGGCTCCGGCACCTCTCTACCCCCAGGCCCGCCAGCCACCGTCATCCACCAGGTGATGGGGGCTCCTACTCATCAAGTAGTCCAGATCATCCATCAGCAAGCCACTCGAAACTCCGGTGTGTACCCTCCGCCATGTTTTTGCTTCGTCTCCCTCAGCCACGCTTCCACTCAAAGCACCCACTAGTTACTCTGTATGGTTTCATTTATTCTCGTCTTTGTCTTATTCAACTTTTTAGTCCTACAATAGGGTGTTTACAGGTCTGGAAAACATGGGAAACAGAGTTGTCAGGTAGTTTCACCCAGTCAAAAGAATATGGGGAAAGTCAGGAAATTTTATGAGAAAGACTAGAAATTTGAAACTTTTTGAAATCTGAAAAATTCAGCTCTGTCCATACAATGAAATCCAGTTCAGGGCTCAACGCTCAGTGTCTCACTCTGACCATCAAATAGAGGACCAATTCCAACGAGGAATTGCAATTTTATTGAACTGAATAATCCCTGAAGAAAAAGAATTCACATATCTGTGCATCTGTGGTCAAATTAATGTGAACATTTTTCATTTTAGTTTCCTCGTGTAAAGTTTCTATGATAAGTCAGGGAATTTTTAATCATTTCGGTCAGGGAAAACCTGGAAAAGGCAGGGAATTTTTTCCTACCGATTCTGTAGACACCCTGTACACATATAAACATATTCTTGGCAACTCAGCTCAGCTTTATGATTCAAATAGCCATTATCATCGGTTGTTCGAATACATCTATACGCCATAATCTTATATAAGATTAACCAAACAAATAAAAAGCACCTTGTTTGAATTCGAAATGCATTTTGGTGAAAAAGATACAAGAATAAATTATAGATGAAACTCAAAACAAATTTTCATGTCTCAAAACTGGTAGAGCGTCAAAAAAGTGCAATTATGAGAAACAGTTTTGGAGACATTCGAAGTAGGCATCCACTTCTGCCACCTTCATAGCATGAGGACTGAGCTACTTCCCTCAAATCATCCTTATTTATCAGACTTGCTACCTTTCCCTTCATCCTTTCTGTCTTAAATTTTCCCCTCAATTATTTTCTTGCATCGTAGCTGTTATAAATGTTATTAATCGACCAATGAAATTGAAAGAGCTTGACCGAATTTATTTCTGTCTCTGCTCTGATTTTGATGAAATAATTCAGTCATGATCAGCTATTTTCTGGCCTCCTACCGCCTGAAAACTTCATGCCCCACTTTCGTCAGCAGTTTTTTGCAATTTGTGGCATTACAAAACCCTGAAATCACTCTGCACTTGCAACTGATCAATGCCGCTAATCTTAATTTATTCCAGATACTCAAACATGAATTTTAAATAACGAACAGAAACAAAAAGTAATCTTTAAATTTGTCTATCTTTGTGAAACCTTTTTTTAAATACCTTGTACATAGAAATCCTATGCTTTATTTGTAAATCTGTTGCTACTATAAACGTTTTAGACCTTTGGATAGCAATTGGATAGAAATTGTGAAATTGCATGTCAATAGTCCAATTAGATATTTGCACCAAAGTTATTACTCATTCCTGCACAAAATCAGTTTAATCTTACGAGCATTTCTAGCCACTCTTTCGTCCAGTGGAATGGATACCATGAAATTTGATATTTTTTTACTAAAATACGTATGAGAAGAAATGAGCTATATTTAGATGAGATCAAAGTTGAAAAATCACACACTTTGTTGAAGTGCTGGACTTGCGTAAAGCTTTCAAAATGGTGTTTGGTAGGCAGACTTTACTGTCCATCTTGTCCTCACTTCAAAAGCATTTGGATCAGTGGTTTGAGCAACTTTCATTTCTTCTCGTAAAAGTATCAAATGAGCTGAGTTGAAAACATTTTTTACACGTTTTCTCTGAAATGGGATCTCGCAGAAAAGTTGCTAAAAAGTTGAGAAAATGTTGAAATCGTTGTTGAGTTTTGTGTTTTCTTATATGATACTTTTACTGGCCCTCAAAGCATGATAGACTTTTCAAATCAGAATATTTTACTTGCCAATTTTTAAAACATTGGAGTCAAAACTTAATATTTCAGCCCTTTACATCAGAATAGTTTAAATATTTGAATAGTATCATTTACATATTTTGCCAATTTTGAAAACATTGAAGTTGAAACTTTATCTTTCAGCTCTTTGATTCATATTTTATAGATGAGTATTTGCAGCCTTTCTGGATTGGCGAGAAAAGAAAACTCCCCCTTCCTCATTAAGAAGACAAGTCACCTTCAGCAAGCTTTCTAATAAGACTGGAGAACAGCTGTGGATAAATAAAATGAAAATCAAAAGGAAGCAAGTCCTTTCAAATAAAAGTAGCTCCGAGCCTCTTTTGACTTGTAAATCTGATAACTCAGTGGCAGTGATATTCATGTCACTTTTCAGCCCTGATTTTTCTCAAAATTAGAACTCCGCTTATTTTAAAAAGCCTGTTGTCCAAAGAAGGTCGTAACATACATATCTTAAAAAGGTAACAAAATGTAGCCAGTATCCAATTACTCTGCAAAATGTGGTACGATCCTTTTTATAAGAATCATTTTTTCTTCTGCGCTTAATTATTATCATAACTGATAAATTTTGTCCCTCAATTAAAGTTTAAGTAGATTTTTAGTTAGAATCGAGAAAGAAGTTGAGGTACTCTGCATTTTATTTGATACATGATATTTAACTTGCCACGTTACAGGTACAATGATGAGCACGATGCCGGTTCCGCTGAAAGCAAAGCAACCACCCCAGATCCTGCCAAAGCCTCCCGGAAACGGATCCCAACCAAAGCAACCCATACCCGCCACTAGTCATGTTCATAGTGCCGTCAGTCAACAAGCCCAGGCCCAAGCTGTTCAACAGCAGGGGACGCTCGTTTTCAATCAAGCCCTTGGCGGAGGACAGCCAGTCGTTGTTCAGCAACAGACGAGTAGTGGAGTGCAGCTCATCCTACGATCACCCCCGCCACAACAGCCAACGAAAACGCAGACGGGCGGACTGGTTTTGTCGCAAATGGGAGGCATCGCCACTCCTCAAGGCACCGTCCTTCTCCAAGGAAAGCAACAGGGCCAGCAGGTACGAATCATTGAAAATAAACCGATTGTGAAAATTATACTTTGTAAGTTTTCAGGTTTTTAAAGTCATCAACTGCACTCCGTGATTATAGTGTGTGCCATTCTTATCTTTTTTTCCAGGGGTGCTGAAAGTTCTTAGCCTCCCCATTTTTAAACCGACCTTAACATTTTATAAACTCCTCTCTTCTCAACTTTCGAAAGCCATGACCTTTTACCTATCCTTTTTTGACAAATTTTTGCGATTCTGTAGAACTCTCACAAATTTCTCTGTGATTCTACGAAAAACATGTGAATGTATCTGCATTTCCACAAAAAACACCATAAGTCTTCCTATATTCAAGCGAATGGCTATGCAATCATGATCGGGTGACTGCGAAGTCTCTGCACTCCTGTTTGTTTCTTCAAAATTTTGGCATGCTTTACGATGATTTCACTGGGAAAATCGAGCAATGAATAATCCTCACTCTAATAATTTCTTGAGATTGAAAAGGCATTCTGAGTGTGCACCAATGTACCTGTAACTCTTAGTAGTTAATGACTCCTGTAAAATTTAAACTATGCACTGATATTAAATAAATACCCTCAAGGATGAAAAATATCTAGAAATTTCCAATTTTAAGCCTTTGCCCTTCATGTTCCAGTGCTACAAACAAAGTACTTCTCTTAAATTCAGTATTTAGAACAGTCACTTAACACCACAAAATCTGAAATGTGCCTGCATTGTACGCTATTTCAAGTCAATCTATTTTCTGATAGTTAAAGTGGACCACTTGACAAGGTGCCAAAAGCTATGTATGTTTGCTCATGAATTTTTTATGTAGAAAACGATTTGTGCCATATAAATTATTGAAAGTAACTACTTTCCAATCAACATATCAACGTTTTTCAATGCATACATTCAAACTTCCTGTTCTTTAAAAAAACTAAATACTAGTCTCTAGTATTCCGTTAACAATTGATATCGATTGTCTCATGCCAACTGATGCTAGCTAAAGTTGACAAAAATATAGGAAGCAACAGGGTCTTAATGAGTTAGCAAGATCGCAGTCGTATCTTTCAACGCTAAAAATTTTTATTTTCAGGTTGTAAGACTGATAGCAGGGTCGGGATTACAAATCCAACAGATCCAAACCTCTACTGGCCCGGCCCTGATTGCTGTTCCTTCGAGTATGCAGACATCGCAGCAGGTCACTGCATCGACGCCAACCTTCACGACAACGCAAGGTCAACCAATCACCAATATGATTAGGAAACCATTACCAAAGAAAATAGTAAAAAAGAAGAAGGAAGATGAACCAACGAGAGTTGATCTAGCCAACTTGATGAAAATTTCAGGTAAGAAATGTTAATACTCTTTAGTAGCAATTTCAGCTGGTTGGCGATTTTGGATCAATGAAAGCATACGTGAAACAATGAATATTCATTGAGGCACACTTGCAAAATTTCGCGCAATAGTACTTAATATGTCAATCCTCAAAACATTTAAAAGCTCCATTGTTCTCAGACCCCCTCTGAATTCATATTTTTAAGGATTTTCTTACAACTAATGTCATTTTGCAGTAGTTACTCCTATAAAAACAAATGAGGATTGTGCATAACTCTAAACTAGCAAGCACCATGATAGGGTCTTCCAGTTCTATTGATCCAAAAGGTTTTCCCCAGAAGAGGAATGAAGCTGAGCGCAAGTTGAATTCAAAGAAAAAAACTCTGAATTCATGTAATAAGTGGATGAAAGTTTTTATACAGAACAAGCTTTGACCTCATGATTTCAAATCAATGTGTTCTCAGTGGAGGTGATCCTAGTGACCCATTTTTATTAATCCGCGGGTCACCTCAGGCATAACCACTGTCATTGTGACAGGTATTTTCTTAGCTTCCTTCCTCTGGTCTTCGCTTTGTTGTATTTTCACCGTGAAATGAGATGGTGCAAGAGATTATTGATGCCAAACAGGCCATCTGATTATGACATTATGACAAAACAACTCATATGGTACCTATGATCACATTTAGAGAATGGCAAAAGACTGGTTACCAAAGAAGGTTCCAGACTGAGTTCCTTTCGCGAGGTGGCGAAGAAGGCACGTCATCTTTTTTTTCTTTAGAATTAGTCAGGGCAAAGCACAGTATGTATTCGAATTTCTTGGGGGCTTTTTTTGTGTATTTCCGTGGTCTGACAGGAATTGTGTGTTAAAACATCATGGCAGGCAATGTGTTTTATTCGTAATTTGGATGTAATGGTTTTTGTGGTCTGAATATGTGTCTTATCAAGAACTTTTGCTTGAATTCTGGTTAATTAACCAATTTTACATGGAAATTTTCGCAGGTATTGATGATGAAGATGTTGCTCCAACATCATCGGCCGCACCATCTGCCTCTTCAGCATCAAATGCAACATCAACATCTATCAACAATTCGGTGAGCGGATCGCAGTCGCAAACCATCTCCCACAGCAGTGTCATCACCGGGCCTTCGACAATCAAGCATCTCATTCAGCCGCAGCAAAATCCTCCTCAGCTTATCACAACGCAACTTCAAGCCCCTTCTTCGGTAAGATGTTTACAAATAAGTGCTCGTTCACAGAATGAAGGACTTAATTGTTGAAAAACTCAAAAGCAGTATGTTGATAAGACTGCGTGAACGAATGTTATGTAAAACTTTTGGCGCTAATAATGCCTTACAGTGTTGTACGAAATCTCAATGGGCCTGTTGCTTGCAAGAGATACAAATCAATGAATAGATATTTTATAAGTAAAACTATCCTAAAATTACAAAAACATGTTACCAATGCCCAGAATGTATTTCTTAACACACAATTTTAGTAGTCTGTATCATGCTTCAGTAAATACCTGCTTCCACAAGCAGTATTTTCTCTGTCTTTGACAATCAGGTTCACCTAGAAAGGTATGCTAGGAAGTTCAATCTGAATTTACTTACAACCTTGCAAACTGTTTCCCAGAAACAATAAATTCTGGAGACCCTGCACTTCTATCTATCCAAAATTTCCAAAGTTACTTTCAGAAGTCAATGCTCAGATTTGCCTAATGATTACTGAAGAGTGATGTCGTTGGTTTAGCAGTCTTGACCTATTTTGCAAAAACTCTTCTAGCCAAAGCTCACCCTGACATTCATCAGTTATCATCAGGCAAATTTTATTTTATTCTATGTTCAACAAGTTGCTCCTCAATTGTCATTAGACAAAAAATAACTTCAACCTCTGAACTTAACTTTTACCTCACCTGATTAAATTGCTCTGATTTTTAATGAAAGATCTCTGAAATATATCATTTTTGCGGTTTCTGATCTTGAACCCAAATGGTTTCAGATGTCAAAAGCATCTGCTTTTTGCCCTCATTTTTTCATCAATACTCTAATATGACACAAATGAAAAATAAATATGTTTCATCTTTTTGACGTTTCCAATCTGTAACAAATAGTTTTTTTATTTATAAAAATATACTCTTTATTTTCAGGTCACCAATCCTCCATTGCGACTATCGCTTGGTGAAGATGGCCGAATGATCGTTCATCAAAACACTCCGCAGGTAATGCTTCAAATAGTTTTCAATAAGTATAATTGAACAAATTTAACCAAAATCTGCATAAGTGAATCAGACATCGCCCAATTTTCTTGTATGTTCTATTTTTCTTTTTCTTTTTTTCATACAAAAAACTGAGCCACACTGAAATTAGAAATTTGATGAGTATATTCTTCATTACCTAAAATTCGCAAAAACCTTTTGATGTTAAGTAGTTAAGTTCTCGATTAAAAAATTAAACATAAAAGGCAATTAGGTAACTTGAAATGGAGGTAGGCTGGTTCCAGTTCAATCCGCCCAATTATTGTTCAAAATTGAAATAGTAGTGAAATAATTAACAATGCCTGCAAATGGAAGTATTTTGAGAAGTAATCAATTTGCATAGTTATATCCACGGAGACATTGTGTGGCTTTATTTGTTTTGCTGTCATCATGAAATACAGTCAGTATTGGATATTTCGGATAAGCATTTGGTTGTCGGCCTCCTGTGATGCAGTGGTTGTAACGTTTGCTCTATGATCGGGAGGTCCTTGGTTTGATTCCTGGCCAGGTGACTCGAGTTTGATGGTCTCCAACAGTTACATGGGGCTGGCTTCATAATTGATAGAGGGGGGATGGGATTTCAGGGACTGTAAGCATGAGATTATCCCCTCTGGAATATTCGAAGTAGGGGGGAAAAAATGTGTGAGAAAATCAGAATAGAACAGAAAATGTTATTTTTAGTGTTAATGTACAGTAATATGAAAATACTGTAACAAAACAAGAAATTACCGAACACAGTAAGACATAGATGGGTCATACTACTCATATAAACATTGATGAGAACGATATCTACCGGAGAATCACCGAAGTAACGCAAACAATCGACAGATGGCTCCCAGCCGTCTCTTCAAATTTAGCCCAGCGCGTACGGCTGGTAGCTATCAGTTTAAGTCAATGGGTTAGATGTATGACCTCAGAAATTCCTTGCCATCTCTTGTCTCTACATTTTTGTCTTCTAATAGTTTGAGACTGATAACTTTACCTTCTTCTTTTTTCAGAGTGTTACACCTAGTGTTGCGGCAGCAGCACAAAATCAACTAGCACAATTAATAGCAGACCATGGTAGTTTATTGCAAGTAAGTTGTTTTTTAATTTTGTTCATAATTCTCTGTAGGTTTGGGCAGAATATTTTCATTTTTAATAACGTTTCAGTTTCATATGAAAAGAATTTTAATCAGATAATCATTTTGATGCGTCTGTCTAATACTTATAAATATTTGCTTCCTTGACAGGGCCTGCAGTGTTTTTTAGTAACAATAGATCGTATTCGATACATCAAACAGGCAAGATTGTATTGACACCAATTCGTTCAACATGTGAACATAGCCTCAAAAGTTAATTTAGAAATCTGAAGGAACAGGTCTTTTGTGATAGATTTTTTATTCTTTTGAGTACCAAATGCTGATGAAAAGTGTAATTGTTAAACATTTTTAGCTAATTTTTAGCTTTTCCAACTGAAATCCTAAAATTTTTGTTTGAGGTTATGTTATATTGTTTTAGACCAAACAATACATCGAACCACTATCAAGTATTATCTATTAAGAAACAATACTATTAATCATTTACATGATAAGTTTTGTAATTATCAGAAAGGGGCAATGCTCAAATCTTATTTAGAAATTCAGGGACTAAATTTACCAGCTTGATCAAGGCTTTGAGAAGCCTTTCAGGGGCCAAAATTATTTCTTCCGAAATAATTCATGAAAAGAACCAGATGTGTGGCACCTTGGAAGTTGAATTTTTCCAACTGATTACACACTCTGATAGTTTTTCTTTACTTGATTAAATCCTTTTAACGGGTCTCTTGTGGAGTTTAGTATCAATCAAAAGAGTTTTGCTAGGTATCAATGTTTTACTGCCAGCTGACTTCGAATATTTAGGCGCCAAATTTGGTCATGACTTCAAATTATGAAGGTGCGAATAAGAAACATTTAGGCGCATTTTGCACATGACACCTGTCGGAACCTGAGTGATTTTAATACCTTTTTTCCCTCTTTTTTCTTTTTCAGAATAATACTAATATCACCTCTACAGGAAACAAAGAAGCTCTGTTGCAATCTTTACAGGTACAGTTTTTCCTCTTATTTGCTGAAAAAAATTGGCATAAACTTCAGTGGTCATTCTTAAAATATGTAATGCTGTAAAAGGGGAGATCAAGGAGAACATTAAGCTATTTTATTTTACCAGTTGAAGGTTAGGGACCTACTTCACAAAAGCGTTACGAAGGAGAGAGAAGGGGGGTCTTAAAATCCGAAATGTAGCATTGCATATTTTACATTGCTTGTCAATTTGAATAATTTTACTCAACAGTGTGTCCGAGGAATTTTTAATTCAAATTTTAAAATGGAATTTAAAAAAGAAATCAAAGCTTTAGTAATTAGCATGAGCAACTCAAATGTTTTTCACGATTTTGCAATCATAGAAGCATGAATGAAATTATTCGAGTCTTCTCATCAGACTATCCTTGTGTATGATTAAAACTTTCTTTATCATTTAAATCATGATATTGGAGAGCATCCTATTAAAATTTATGAGAACTTATCAGTAATCATAATTTGAAAAAAAAATAAAAAAAAACAAAAACAAAAAAAAACGAAATAACATGAAATAACACGAATAACACACAAATTAATATTTGTCACTTATGCTCCTCTCTCCTGATTAAATAATGGTTTTTTTTTGTTTTTGTTTTCAGACGGCTGTGTTGAGCTGGGCAGGCTCTGATTCTCTTGTGATGAAAACTCCTATTGGGCTTTTGAGTACTCCATCCGTGATGTTGAACACAGCTGCGGCGGGAGTTCGAACGTCCAATACAGCGAGAAGCACACCGAACGTTGTCCCAATTCTGGCAACCGATCAGCAAAACGGAGTGCGCATTGTTGCGGCAGACATGAATGGCCTTATTGGATTTCAAAATACAGCCCTCTCAGAGCAACAACGGGTTCAGATTATCAACGCAATGTCATTAACGACAGAGCAGCATCAAAACCGTGTCCAGATAGTACAAACATCCAATGTTCCGGAGCAATTGACAGTTGATCAGCTCAACCAACGAGTACCTCTCCTGTCAGGCGTTCCAGCTTCAGAGCAGCAGCGGGTAATTGTGTCAGCACCATCTAATGGGAGCATACATGAACAAAACAGGGTACAGATTGTCACAAGTTCGCCGAGCAACATGTCTGTGACCGATCAGCATAACAGGATCGTTGTGTCAAACAGCATGCCGATGTCAGATCAACGGCTGCTGATGTCTACTGGTTCAGCAAATACCAGCTCTGTACTTACAGAACATAACAGAGTGCAAATAGTTTCGAACACAAGCTCGGTCTCATTGAATGAACACCATCAACAGAACCAAGTACAAATTTTGTCTAATATTCCAAGCAGCAATGCTTCATCCATGGACACCAGTAGGATCCTAGTTTCTTCAGGCTTGCAAAACAACGTAAGCAACTTGAGCAATATCAACAATCTTAGTTTGAATAGTCTGAATAGTATAAACAGTATCAACTCCTTGAATAGCGTAAGCAGTTTAGATCCACAAAGTAGGCTGCTATTTTCTCAATCCGGGCAAAATATGCAGCTGAATGAACATCAGAAAGTTCAGGTTGTAACCAGTATGCCAAGTCAACATCATGAGCATGTTCAAATTGTTTCGAATACCAGCACAATGTCATTGAATGAACAGCAACGAGTGCAGCTTATACCAACATCCAATTCAGCCAATGTACTCATGGATGAGGACAAAAAAGAAACATCTCACTTTATCTCCAATGCCCCAACATCAGCGGCTATTTCACTGAATGACCAACAAATGCAGATAATCATGAACCAACAGCTTCAGAATCAGCAGCATAAAGTGATAAATAATCTCTCAAGCCCATTGATAAATGAGCAGTCAAAGAATTTTAGTGCCAACACGGTCTCATTGACAGATCAGCAAATTCAGTTATTGAATAGTGTTCCAAATTCTTTGCTTTCTGAACAGCAGAAACAAATGTTGAACCTGAACTCAGTACATAACTCTGTGATGTCAGAACAGCAGAAGGTTCAGGTATTTAATTCAGTCCAGAACTTTTTATCAGGAAGCATTAATAGCACAACAGCGGAACAACAGAAGGTTCAATTGCTGAACTCTCAGAATTCTCTCTCTGATCAGCAAAAGGTCCAGGTGATTCAAAGTTCGATAGCAGAGCAACAGCAACAGCAGCAGCAGCAGGTTATTTTGAACGGCAACGTGCCGAGTTCTGTTGTCTTACAACATCAAGATAAGAAGGTCCTGTCTTCATTGACAGAGCAACAAAAGTTGCAAATACTAAACAGCGTTCCGAACTCTATGTCACTTACAGAAGCACAGAAAGTTCAGATCCTGAACAGCATGTCAAGCACAGTGACCTTAACTGACTTCCAGAACTTGATGTCTTCAATAGAACAGCAGAAACTGGTGTGCTCCCTATCAGCACTGACAGAAGCACCGGAGCAACAGCAGAAAGGGCAGATAAACGGATTGCAGGGTAGTTCAGTTTTACACATATCCGAGCAGCAACATGCACAGTTACAACAACAACAGCAACAACAACAACAACAGCAACAACAACAACAACAACAGCAGCAGCAACAACAACAACAACAGCAACAACAACAGCAGCAACAACAACAGCAGCAACAGCAAGCCCTCCAGCAGCAACAAGTGTTGCAACAAGCATTGCAGCAACAGCAGCAAGCTATTCAGCAGCAGCAACAACAAGCATTACAACAGCAACAGCAAGCATTACAACAACAGGCATTGCAACAGCAACAGCAGAATCAACTGCTGCAGCTGCAGCAGCAACAAGCACTACAACAAGCCCAATTACAGCAACAAAGCCAGCAGCATCCAGTACAGCAACAACATCAACTCAGACATCAGCATCAACTCCAACAGCATCAGGTAGAACATCAGCAGCAACAGAATCAGCATCAAGTTCCACAACAGCAATTGAATCAGCATCCACCCCAACAGCATGTGCAGCAACAAGCCCAACAGCCATTACAACAAGCCCAACAGTCATTACCACAAGCCCAACAGTCATTACCACAAGCCCAACAGTCAATACAACAAGTACAACAGCCAATACAACAAGTGCAACAGCCAATACAAGTACAACAGCCAGCACAGCAAGTCCAACAGCAGGTCCTACACCAAGTACAACATCAACAAAGTCAGATTCAAACCCAACAGCAGCAAAGTCAACAGCAAGTTCAGCATTCGCACCCAAAAATTCAAGTCGTCAATAGCTTGCCCCAAAATTTGCCTCCTTTAATTCTTAGTGAGACCAAGAACTCGACTGTATCTGTGATTCCTAATTCTACCAGCACAGCAACTCTGGCAGACAGTAAGCATTCTCAGTGTGTAAGCTCTGGTATTCAAGCAAAGGGTCTTAATTTGGATAACCGTAACATTCAAATCATTCCCACTTCTGTTTCCCCGAGGCTACCAGATCTAAACTCGCCGGTAATCGCTCCAAACAAAGCTCCAAATCAGCGGATGCAACTTAGTCCTAAATGTGCACAGTCACCTCAGTCCCCGCGGGCAGTGAACAAGTCGCCGATCTCCCCGTATCAGTGTTCATCAATTCAAAACCTCCCCTCGCCAGCCAACATTTCGTCGCAAGGTCACTCACAACAAACATTTGCGCAAACATTGCCCAACAGGCCAAACTTGACTGTGGTCGCTCAAACGCTGCCTCCTCAAATAGTTCCCACATCACAAGTATTAACCCAACAAAATCATGATTCTAGCATGAGTAGACTGTCTCCCATCATGAATAATAATCCTAGTAGTAGTAGTAACAATAATTGTAGTAGTTGTACGAACTATAGTAATAATATTAGCACTAGTAATAATGTAAGTACGTCTCAAGACTTATTAAGCCCCCCGGCCGTGGATCATCAGTCTGTGATAACCAATCAAAAAGTCCCGGTGACAAGCACATCACAAGTGCGAAGGGTGGGGCCAGTCCCTCCCGTAACGTCGGTGCCGACGCAAAACAGCCAAATTTTCCAGAATCATGCTTCCTCAGTGAGCAAGCCGTTGCAGAAAGTAACCCGGCAGCCCGTTTCTCAACAAAACGACAGAAACAGTTCTAATTCAATTTCAAATCCTAATGACTTTTTAAACAAGATCGCTCAGTCACATCCTAACTTGCTGATCAACAAGTCGCCGGTACTGCCTCCTGCAAATAAAACGCAGCCAATCATCAAGTGTAGGAAACCAAAGAAATCAGCTGTCGTCAAGCCAATGGTCAATTCAAACTTGGTGCAGGTCTCAGAACAGCACAAGGAAGTGAATTCGGAAGCTAACTCAAACGATCACACGAACACCATGGTGCAACGGGTGCAAACGATTCAGCTAACCTCTCAAAAGCAACAGGTGAGTTTCAAGTATATTCTGTTAATTTTTTTTTTTTTTTGAGTGGTGTTTGCTCAGCTCCCTATTTGAAGCTAATAAAGGCAAAATGAAGTAAAGGCAGTGTCCTGAGGTCTGAGAAACAGGCATTATCTGGAAATTGCATCAAGCCTGGGAAATCAGGAATATCTATGACAAAAACTGGAAATTTAACATCCTGAGACTTAAAATCTGAAAATACATCAGTACTATGCACACAGTCAAACTGAAATTAGTCTGATGCTGGGTTCAGTGCTCTTTGTCGTATTCTGAATACTGATGGGAGGATTAATTTTCAATGAGAAATGGCAATTTTAGTTAATTGAATGATTTATACCTGAAAGAAAGAGGATCATATGTTTCAGTGATTTGTTGCAAAATTAATGTCAAAAGTTCATCTCAAAGTTCATTTTCAGTTCTATACATGTTAATTGTCGATGTGACAAGTCAGGGAATTTTGATCATTCTGGTCAGGGAAAACTTAAAAAAGTCAAGGAATCTTTTTCCTCAAAGTTTGTTCTAAATTTCATGTTTTCTAATCCCCAAAAATTCTTGTTTTTTCAGCATTTGAAAGCAGTTCAAAACCAGATCTCAATCCTGAGCAGTAAGAAAACTAGAACAGCTGCTGAAAACAATGCTCTGCAGAGGCTTTTCATGGAACAGCAGAAGATTCTCCTCTCTGGCAAAATCATTCCTACGATCCCTGGTCAACACGCGCAAGGGGTCACTTTTGTGAGTATTCTAGCTTAATGTTTAAAAACTTGGATTTTATCCTTTTAATCTTCCACAGTCACTTACGTATTAAGTATACTAAAAAATCATTTAGACGGAAAAAAATTGTGAAACGCATTGAAACAATTGAGGAGATATACTTTAGCATTTGAGTGCCATATCATGACAAAAATAAAAATTGAAATTGTCAGAATAAAAATAATGACCCAAAAATTAACGTGTAAATTGTAAAAATTTGCGAGCATGGAGCGGACTTTATTCTTAAAAATTAGTCAATGTAACGGTTCTCTAAAATTATGGAGCAATTGCCTTAAAGGATCCTGATAGAAACAACTGAAGATGGGATGAAATAAAATCAACTGAAAATGGGAAGAAACTCACCACCAATAATCAAAATCTATCTGAGGAAAAAAAACATGGGCTGAAAAAGAAGTATAGGAATAGTCCTCCTGAATGAGTTTCTCTAGAAAGCCAAGATGTGTACATACTTCCTGAGCTGGTCCTGCTTTTAGGAATGAACGTGTTCTCACAAATACTCAAATAATTTTCCATTCACTGTCTTACCATGTATGTGTTTACAACTAACAGAATGCTGATGGCAGATAACCGTAATTAATATTAAATCTCCTCCAAAGCCTTTTTAACACTAATATCTGCGTGACATGGTCTTTTATATGAAAAAATTGATGAAGGGTGTAGTCTCATATGAACGGCTACGGCAAGGCTGCCTCTTAAAATGTGAAGGGAAAGTAACCTTTAACGGACAGCCATAGTAACCTTCTACGGACAGCTATACTGTTGTGCTTAGGAAAAACGCCGTGAGAGCATTCAAATGTCGCCCAATTTTTTCTCAGAAAATATTTATTTTTGAAGAAAGTTATGAATATTTTTCCTTACAATTTTCTGATCTCTTAGATCAAATTACGAACAAAATCTTCTGATAACTGGGAAGAAAAATATTCACAAATTTTCCTGAAAATTCGTGATTAGTCCAAGGAACTTTGGCAACATTTGATGGCTCTTATGGTGTTCTTTCGAAGCCTGGCAGTATGTGATGGTAGCCATAAAAAATGAATAAAAATGAAGACTGCTAAGGCAAACTCTCTGAAAAGATCAGGTAGAATAAGGGAAAATCAAAGAGATGGGAAAACCTGGAAAGTCAGGGAGGAGGGATAGAAAAATTTGCTAGATACTTTGCTAATCGTTTTTGTGTGCTCCATTTATCTCATCCTTGCATGGGTTTTGTTTCAATTTGTAGCAAGTTTCAACGCCGGTGAAGATAGTATCATCGCCAGCTCCATCAAGTCCTTTGCACCCTCCCCCTCCATCATCACCCACAGTTAACAAAGCCACCTCCCCTATACATGTGCAGGTGAGTTTAAAACATTTTTATGTGCAACCATTTTTTCTCTCCAACTTTTCCAACTCTCAAATTTTCCTCTTGGTTAACCCTACTGCAGATGCAAGCGTTATCAACTAATTTAATTTTTCATTATCCTTTAATTTTTTTACTTAGCAAATTTGTTAACAGTTTCTCTGTAACAAAACTATAAGATGAAAGAAACTCAGGCAGCGGGAAATGCAGTCAAGCAGATCCTGGTTGAATCCTTCCAATTGTTCTTATTCTCAGGTTGAAGTGCATGTTTTCATTCAGTCCCTTTTTATTTTGTTTTTGTTTTGATGAACTTAAATGTTCTTTATCAAGTGCTTTTTCTCTCGTTTTCTAAATTGATTTACAGCTAAAATAAATATGATTTGATCTATAAAAAGGGAATGCTATCAAAAGTATTTGACTCAGAGTCTTTCTTATGAAATATTCCAAACCTTTATTCAAGATTTGGTTATGATCGATGTGTTAAATTTCCTTTGGTTCTGTTTTTAGGTTGGCACTCAGACAACTTCTGAGCCATCGCCCAGTCCACCATCCTTCAACCCTTCCAAACGCACATTTTTGTAAGTACTATTTTTTGCTCTGACAGCATTTTACTGTTATATCTCTCCACAAAAAAGGAAACTACGCAGATGGGTATCAATAAGATGTTTGTCAATGCACAAATTACATAGCCCAAGAACATGAACACGTTGGAATAAAATATGAACAAATTGGTAAAACAAGGCTAAAATATTGAGACCAGTAAGTAAGGTAGACCGTTTTGAGCCGCTGTAAAATCTCTGAGCTCCAAAAACAATAAAAAAAAAAAAAAAAAAAAAAAAAAAAAAAAAAAAAAAAAATTAAGTGGCAACCTGATCTCAGTTATCATCGAATCAGGCTGACATTTATTTTTATCAATTTTGATTGTTTTTGTCGCTAAAAATGAGCCTGTGACGGAATCAAATGTCCTCCCGTTTAATTGTATTAATGCTTCAGCCTTGTTCCACTCATTTTTCTCATTCTCTCCTGTGCAAGACGTTTGACTGACATCATCCTGCAATTCGAAATTTTACCTTCTCTTACCACTGTTACTCTCAAAACTGAAATTCCTCCATAATTATTTCATTTTTCTCTCTGATATCTGTCAACCTAATGCAATCCTATAAATGTCCTTTCTAATGCCTTCCAAGATTTTGATCCTTGAAAGGTTTCGCAATTGGACAACATTAAAAGGCTGGTATCTGTTGAATGCATTCATTTCCATTGAATGTCGTTTATAAAGCCAACCGTACACAGACATTATCAAGGAGGCCTCAAATTATTGCCTCCTATAAAAAGGAACATACCACAATCGTCCTGTTTCAGTATTTCTTATTTTTTTTATATATTTTTTTAAGGAGAACCATCGCTCGAATTTGCCTGAAATTTCTTTTAATTCTTCTTTACACTTGTGAAAAAAGGCTAAAATTCTTAAACAAATTTGTGAGATAGTCCTCTCACGACTAAATAAAATTTTAGAATTACTGAAACAGCACAGACACGTTCCTTTGTGCGAGAGACAATATAATGTGTCTACTGAATGTTAAGAATATAGTTTTTACTGTTTCCCATTTTCTAGAGAGCTAGATGTAATGTCCTATGACATTCTCTCACCAACGGTATTTTTATTTTGTAGAATCGAGCAAGAAATATTTAAGGATCAGCAAGGTGCGACTCAGCCGGACACCTCTACTCCGTTCCTATCAAAAAGTGATGCTGTGAAAAGACTCCTGAGGTATCATACGCTCAATGAACCCGTACTTAGCGAAAAAGATTTGGAAAAAGCCGATGAAATTTTCGAAGCCACTTCGCAGCATCTACTGGATAAGAAATCGCAAATGCTCAACAAGTATAGGTACCTGCTGTGGATGGATAGTATGGTAAGTTTGCCTCAGTTTTATTCTTCCTACTTATCCAGTCTAAACTCTAATGTGCGGAGTGGAATACTGAAGAAAAAAAAAAGCGTTAAAGAAAACTTGTAATAGACCTCTAGACTAAGTGCGAACTTAAGAATTATGGTACGTTTTTCCTCATCAAAATTTCATGTGGAACATGATTTGTGCAACGAAAATTATTGGAGTACTCCTAGGTAAGATGTTAACGTTTAAAAAAGAAAAAAAAAACACTATTTACTTGAGTTGAATCACACACTAAATCTTACCATAACAGTTAGTGCATTCTCCGCACCGTGTTGTTTAACGCGTAAATAACGTGCAACAGCTGAGCGGAAGCTCCAAGATTAAGGTTGTCACATTTTCATACGGCAGAGAATATTCCGGTACTTTTTAGTGTGCGACTCACCTCTAGGAGATAATGGGCTTTTTTTTTCTTTTTTTTTTTTTATGAGCGTGAAATTTGAGTTCATGCATTAAGAAATTTCAATATCTTGATTAGAAGCCACCCTCAATAATTTTCGTTGCTCAAATTTTGTTTCATAATGTTTAAATTTGTGCTTTGTCTAGTGGTCTACTATTGATTTCCGGAGACTCCTTAGAGTCCTCCATCCTGAGATAGCCAAAGTAGGCACTGATTCTCCCTATGACTTATGTTCCAGCCATCCTCCAACTCTATACCCTGTTGTGCGAAAACTTCTGTTAAACTTTAAAAATAAAAACCTATCTCTATCCTTTTAGTTGGCATTCTCAATCCTTTGGAAATACCAGAAAATGTTGATGGGTGGCCAGAAAATCATGAGTCACTGTATAACAGTTTTAAAGTTTGTATAAGCGAGTATTCATTTCGTTGCTTCTTTGACGTAAGCACGTAACTCAATTTCAACGTTGCAAAATTTCCACACACAAATCAAATTTTTTGCTAGAAAACTGCTAGGCGTTTTTTTGGAAAAATTTCACCAATTGTTATTCTGATTACACGCATAACTTAACAGAATTTTGAATTGAAAGTGTGCTGTCTCATTCTCATGAAAAATCGAATCCTCAAGTCGATTTTGCAACCTTTAGTGGAGTCAGGTTTCTTCATCTGGGAGATAGCGATTTTTACTCTGTTATGAGATCAAATTTGACGAAGTCTTGCTGATCATATTTTTATCAGTTTTTTTTATTTATTTATACAAAAATGTAAATTATTTCTACACCAATTTCAAAATTTTCTCATGGATAACACAATTTGTAATTTGTCTTCTTGCAACTTTTACAGCGTGAGGTGCAAACGTCGGAGCTGATTTTACTGAGCAGGATGTTTATTGCAGATGAGTCAGGCTATCTGGAAGCAATGAAGCAAGAGGCCAAAAATCTTGCTAACCCAAATTTTGGTAAGATTTAAAACATTTCTCCCACATCCGTCTCTTGGAAGTAAATCTCTCTCAAGGAAAAATTCACTTAAACATATCGATGGCCAAATGCGAAGAATACATATCTCAGTTGCAACTTTTAAAAATCTCGGAGAAAACCTGAAACATTTGGGAAATTCTGCTATGCCTACTGTGAAAATTCAGAGGAAAGCTAAACAAATTCGCCATCAAATCTTGAAATTTTCTCCTCCAATCAAAGCATTTTACTCATTTTCTAGTGCATCTCAATCTACAGCAAATTGGTATCGCAAATTTTTCATTGAAGTGAATTCTGTTTTGTTGAAGAAATTCATTTTGAAAACCTTGTAAAGCCAGAACAGTCTTGGAATGGGTCACTGACTCCCATTTTTTAAAATTTATTTTCTGAAAGCATGGTGTGAACTATGCCCCTAGGAATTTTTTCAAATTTTTTCAACCCTAAATGACAAACGAACCCTGTTTTGAAAGTGCTAAGAATGGGACCAGTGTGAAACTATATTTTTGTTGAGCTGTAATGTCGCAGCCGGGCTGAGGAGATAGCTTTCACTGACGGGCTGAACTCAGTCTCGGGTTTTGTCTACTTTTGATTGGTTGGACTTAAAAAAGCTTTTTCTCCCCTTCAAAATGATTCATCTGAACTTATTGGTTTTTTCAAGACATTTTATGTAAGAAGAACTAATTTCCAACCTTACCACTGACGCATTTAAGTGAGCCTAACATATTATAAAGACATTTTAATGCCAAATTTGGCTGACTAAGTTGCGTAGAACATTGTAATTGATTTTTAAAAAAATCAAGCTACTAGCCAAAAATAAATTAAACAAGTATTATTCCAAACTACATGGTGATGAGAAATAATAAAAAAAACTTATAAGAAACAAAGCAAACGTTTCAACCGCCGACAAACTGCGGTCTCCTTCAGTGCAAAAGGAACAACAAGTGGAAACATTTTACAAAAAAAAAAAAAAAAAAAAAAAAAAAAAAAAAAAAAAAAAAAAAAAAAGCTACAACACTATTAGCAAACTGAGTTGTTCCTTTTGCATTGAAGAAGACTGCAGTCTGTTGGCGGTCGAAACGTTTGCTTTGTTTCGTGTAAGTGTTTTATTATTTCTCATCTCTACGTAGTTTGAAATAGTACTTGTTTAATTTATTTTTGGCTCGTAGCTCGATTTTTTTAAAGTAAATTACCATGTTCATATTATAAAGTTGGCTCTCTAATTAAAATTGATTAATCATTCACAGAGGACACTGGAAATCCTCAAAACCCTCCAAGCGGTTCCGAGACAGTCACGACCGGGGTGAAGCGAGATCGTGAAGATGGTGAGCCTGGCAGTGAAGTCGTGTCCAAGAAACACTGTCCGGATGACGACGAGATCAACGCGCAAGTACAAAGTGCCATCGACAGCATACTCAACCTGCAGAAGGACAGCTCGGATCCTGCCACCGACGAGGCTGTCCGTTCCATCCTCCCGTCCTGACTCGTATGTGATCGTATTCGGCATTTTATCTGTTTTTTTTCTTTCTCGTTCATGTTGTTTCGCATCATGTTCAGATTTGCGGCCGCTGAGGGAAATTGTTCAAGTTATCTCAAATTGACCTTAAGAGGCTTCAGTGCCCTCTCTCAGTCTAAAATTATACTCGTGAAGATGTCAAATTAACTTTTGATGCGTTCAGGTCCTAAAAGAAGGTCTTTCCTCTAACATGGCTTTCTTGACGAATCTTGAGTGATTTTAGAAATCAATAGGCAAATTCCTCCCCCCCCCCCCTTTCTTTCATATTTCTGTAAAACCTGACTCTGAATCATAGTAAATGGAAATCTCTAATTATTGCTTGAATTTTTCTAAAGGATTGTGAAATTTTCTATTTAATGCATGCAGCATTCATTTCATTTTATAAGTATATTTTGAAGTAGAGCCCTCAATCTTTGAAACCAACAAAAAATAAGTACAATTTCAGTCAGACTTCTGACTGTTCTCTTTATAACGTTATTCTTGTACTTAAAGGAATTGGCGCTGATCAGCGATATTTATAATAATGAAATAGCTTGGATTTTTATCTATAAGGCTGTAGGGAAGATGTTACTTTAATAACATCTTCATTACTGCGGTTATGGCGTTAATTGTATTTTTTAGTATACTTTCTTTCCATCACTAAAAAGAAAAGGAATGAAAATTAAGTATGTAAATCAATTTTAATTTCATCTTTATCATAACAGCATTAATGCCTAAAAATCCAACATATTTTATTATTATTATAATCTTGTAATTGACTGGTATCATGCAAGCAGATTATGTGGTGTGCCCTGATCATTGAAATTTATTCTGCCGTTTCTCTTAATATCATTGAATCAAGGGAACAGCCTTGATTACGTGAAAACCTCAAGCAAAGCAAGTCGATGCTTTCAAAGATTCAAAACGACATTAGAAAATATCAAGAGAACATTTCATGAAATTTATTTAAGTTTCAAATCAGTTTGACTTGAATTGCGCAATGTCTCTACGCGGTCTAAGCTAATGGGTTTTAGCTTTTCTCTGTTTGTTTTTCTCTCCCCTTCTCTCGTGCTAGTCATAATTATGTATTCTTTCGCATTGACAGACTTCAAGTTTCTTATTCGAATATTTGTAGAGTGAAGAAGTAACTGACGAAGACATTATGTGTAGAAATTTTGTTACGAGCGTTTTTGTATAAAGTTTTACGATCTTTTGGTTATTTTTTAATTGTTCCTTTGTACAGATCTTGTTCGGTAGTGATATAGGAATTTTTTCTAATTTTTCTTCATGCTAGTTAACAAATGTTGTTAAGGCAAATTCCTTTGTAATAGTTAAACGGACCTAAATTCTGATCAAGAAAGAGTAGGTCTTCCCTTGATAGCGCCGATTTGTGTATTTTTCAGCATATAAGATGTTTACTTTTATTACGAAATACCGTAAATTGACCATCTGATGAATTGTGGCAGATATCCTCACAGAATAACTAAAATGGTGGTTAATCGATAATGCAACACATCAAGCTGCATAAAATATGTACGGAAAAAACGAAGAAAATTGAACACAATGAAGAAAAAACAAGCAAAATATTGCATAATTTGACACGTTGAATAACTATAGAACTGGACAAATGATAAGCGGATAATTGATGTATTACTGTATGAGGTTTTGCTAGACTATTATTCAAATTCTTTGCAGCCAAAGCACAGGTTACTTCCTACATAGTTTCTGCAGTCAATTTGTGGCAATGAAAACAACTTCTAACACAATTATTGCCACCTTTTTTCCGGAGAATACTTGTCTTAATGCCAGTGACCTCTTTTAAAAATCAAACTATCTATGCTTATGTGAACCTCTGAACCTCACTTCAATGAAAACCTAAGTTTGAAACCAAGGTTTCAATCTTGGCATTAAGGTGAATCTTTAGCTTTTCCTAGGAATACTATAAAATACTCTGTGTGCAGCCATAGTTTTTTGTTAGGGCTGCATTGAGTATGTCGCTTGTCTGATAGTGATCTAGGCCAAACTTGGAACTGCTACAAAAATTCCACAAATCCCAACATCTCAGGTGTTTCTTTTCAGAATTTTTTCCTCTTCCTCAAGTATCTATTTTCTTCTGATAATAACTTAGAGCTATCAAAGCTATGACTGATTTTGGCTCTCTGGGCTTTCAGAGCTTTGTCTTTTGTATTTATGATTTTCTTAGTCTTAAAATCTTAGCAATTTGTCGAGATATGATAAGATAAGTGTAGTGGGTCGGTGGCACCCATTTTTTCAACCCAATTTCTGAAAGAACGTAGCAAAGTAAGCTTCTAGGAATTTTCCCAGTTTGTTTTCAACCCTAGCAAATGAAACTTTTTCATGATTTTCTTGGTTTTTTCACAAAATGTCATGCATGAGAATTATTACAGTCCCGCAATAATTCCTTGCCACTGCCTCATTCACTCTAAGTCGATTTTAAAATGATGGTTGACAAGTAGGTGCATGAATTTTAATAGAATCGTTTCTTTCTTAGATTTAATATACTGATATTTTCTGTCTGAAGATTTTGGGCTGAAGTGAACTGAAGTCATCAAGAAACCGATGTCATTGTGTTGACGTAGGCTAAACTCTATAAATACATCAAGATGTCGATACTGTAGACTTGACATATTGATGGTACTACCTATTTGTTTTAAGTTTGTCAGCAAGCGCCATTAATGAAGTTTTGCGGAGTTGTGAAACAATTTTCCGATCCCTGTATTTTTTTAAGGCAGTACATGTCATTAAACAAGTCTAAGATCAAAACCTTTTCACGGTTTTTAACTGCATAATATTGGTTGAAACTCTCTTTTGAATTAATTTTGTTGAGATGGATCCTCAGCACTTCAGAGAATGATTAAATAGTCGATTGATCAACTGATATTTTCTGGACTTATGGACGTTTTTTCCAAAATCTCCGAGCACCACATCTTGCTGCAGTCCGTCACGTATTAGTATACAAGGTTTGCTGGAGAAACATTTCGAAATAGCGTTATGAGTCCGTCCTGATTGAACATCGCAAATGGAAAGGCAAAGCGTCATGCAAACTTCACTCAGGCAGCACCTTCGAAGTTATTTCAAAGTGTATCTTAGACAAAACTTGAATGCAAGTTCCTGATGGACTACATCTAGGATATGATACCCAGAAATTCTGATGAATTGTTCTTAAATCCAGTAATGATCAATCAATTGATCGTCTATCGCATCATTCTTTCAAAGTGCTGAAGATTCGCCTTAAATATGATTGTCTTTATTGACTCTTTAGTCAAATCTCCTTATCAATGATAGTAGCGCAAGGCACTGCTACAAAACCAGTTTCTCCTCATCGTTCTTATTAGTAAAAAGGAAAAGATAAACTATATTTTTTGGGGCAAAAACTAGAATCTACCTCTTGATCTGTTCCCAATTCATGGTCAAAGTGAGAATGCCTTTAAATTTGCTAAAAATGGCCAATCTTTTTTGCTTTCTTTCTATTATACTCATATCATGTCCCTCTTTTACATTGAATAATTTTTAAAAAGGGAATTTTTTTTTGCAGTCGTCACATTTGAACATTCAACTAAAGATAAGCAATTTTTTGCCTTCCTTAATAATATGATATTGCAGTCTTTTTTCTTTCCGGTTTGAGATTTTTGAATTGTCACCCAAAGTTCCTTAGTGTTACTCTCTTAGTCATTTTATATTGCAGCTGCAATCAATTTTAGCAAAAATCAAAATGGCTTGTTGCATTACTTTGCGCTTTTCTTTCATCTCGCTTATTTGGTGTTAGAATTTAATTTGAAATCGAACGTTTAATTTAATCTGATCTTAGATAATCGTTGAGGTTCCATCAGCCTCATCTTTTCTAAGTGAATCGGTATTTATTTTACATCACAGTGTCTTTGCCTTAACGGTTTATTGTTTTTTAGAGATTGGATTCATTCTCGTTTAACTGATGTTTATCTTTGTTGTACCTATTGTATTATAAGTTTCTGTAGCCTTGTTCCTAGTTCCTCAACATCAAGTCAATCTATTATTTCTAATAATAAATTGATTCATTATGATTATTGGAATGTTGAAAACAATCAAAACATTTTGAAAAGCAACAGATTAAATATGGAAAGATACATTTCAGAAAATATTTTTTGATAAATTATCAGTGGTTGTTGAGACAATTTTGTTCTTGTTTCTAATGAGTGCTTCATGGGCTATGTGACTCTTTGATTGTTTATATACACCTATCTAGGTATCTAAATTGGAAAAGGTATTAATGCAAAATTACCTTAAAGAAATTTCTTCTTTTTACCAGGGTTCATCATCAAATGTTATACAAATAAATTATAAGTACAGCTTAACAACAGGGCATATAGCCGCTACCCTAGATATAAAGAAGAATTGAGTGGGAAGCAAATTAATGGACTACTTATGTAATTTTATCGTTGTGACACAAGTGTTGTCCTCTTCAAAACTTTACGTAAAATGCGATTTGTAGTTCCAGTCATGAAACATTTGAATATGCTGCTCACTTAAATAAAACTAGAGTCTACTTGAATCCACTCGTGCACTACAATAATTTTGGAAGGTTTCTCATTTAACAGTGCTCCTCCCACACCTTGTTTCGTTCTAAGTGTTAAAAACGTTTAGCAGCTGAGCCAAAGAGTCAAGAGTCTATCTATGTATGTAGGTATGAATGTATAAGGAACACTCCTATACATGGAAATTCAAATTTTTCATAATTAATGCAAAATACAAACCTTAATAGCTTGGTTAGGAGGTAATGCCAGTAAGTTCCATTCCACAGATCGTGTTTTACTAAAAATTTTGCAAAGGAAGTATAGATCAGAATGCTTCAATTCGTATTGTGTCTATTAGTCCATTGAATAAGGCTTCAAGAGGTTGTTTGACTAGTAAATCATGTAGGAAAAAAAAGTATTGAACAGTATTTGTAATCTTGTGCTTACTTTTTCTCACATGAACCTATTTGGTGGGAATATACGGAACTAACTGTGGTCTCATGTTTTGTAATTATTGTAAGGGCTTAATGCAGTTTTTACCTGCAGGGGTCGACATAATCTCATTAACGTTACTTTGTACATATGTATTATTCCGTCACTGAATATTTTGTTCGTGAAAACCTGCATTGAACAGATATCAAACTCATTAACTAAGAAAGTCTAAACTAAATCTAATCCCTCTAACGAGAAGACTGTAATAATTGTTTATTGTAAAAGGTTGATGCAGCTTGTTAAGAATCGTAACTTTCAAATGAACTCAACAGCTGTGGTTTTTCATGTATCTATATCAACGGATGCTCATTTTATCGCATTTCAACTCAAATTTCATCCGCATTGTATCCTGAGCACAATATTTTGTCTGTTCAGTTCAGGTTTTTTCTATGTTCCTTCTTCCTTCTCTAGTTTTTGAGTTTTTTGTTTGTTATTTATTTCTATTTTTTTCCCATTTTTGCTTTTTTGATCAAAACACTGCACTCTCAATTATCTTTCCTTGCATAGAGCACTCAAAAGGGAAGTATCAATTATGATTATTCAATACTCTTTTTTGATTAATTTTTAATCAGCTAGAGTAAAACGTACAGATTTTTTTTCTTATCTTTTTTTTAAAACAATCAAATTTTCATTGAATTAGTGTCACAGTGATAGCTTCTGATTCTTCTTTTATAAATAAGTAATTTCCGTAAATTCAAGAAGAATAATTCTGGCCAGTTGTCCCACGAAGTAGCGTATCTGACTCCAATAAGGATCTCCTATCAGTAGGTTTTGGGTTTAAATCCTAGCGGTGCCACCAATATTCAAGGAACTAAAAAGTGAGTCTGTTTAATTAGATTCCTTTCGGCCCCAATCCCGGAAAGTTTGAAACGTCTATGTGTCCATACTGTTGGTCTTCTCTATATTCTCTAATGACTGTATGTCCCTGATAGGATATGATTTACACCAAAATAAATAAAGAAAAGAAAGGAGTCGTATTGCCTCATTTTATAATTCAAGTAAAACTCATGATCTACATTTAAATGGCCAATGCTGCAGCAAATGTGCTTATTCTACCAATCAAGTGACACCCATCTTAAAAAAAGGCCCTTGTTACAGCAAATTGTCTCATTATTGTATTTAAGTGAAAATTTTCACAAAGGCGGAAATGGCCAATGCAGGAGCTGTCTGTCTAATTTTAAAATTCAAATGAAACTTATCAAGGCGTAAATGTCCAATGTAGGTGCAAAGTGGATCACTCTTTAATTCAAGTGAAACCCATTTGAATGATTCTTTACTTCAAGTGAAACTCATTCGGATTATTCTTTACTTCAAGTGAAATTCATTCGGATAATTCTTTAATTCAAGTGAAACTCATTCGCAGAATTCTTTAGTTCAAGTGAAACTCATTGGCAGAATTCTTTAGTTCAAGTGAAACTCATTTGGATTATTCTTTACTTCAAGTGAAATTCATTCGGATAATTCTTTAATTCAAGTGAAACTCATTGGCAAAATTCTTTAGTTCAAGTGAAACTCATTGAGATGATTCTTCAATTACAGTGAAACTCATCACAAAAGTAAAAATGGCCAGTGCATTGGCAAAGTGACTTATTCTATAATTCAAGTAAAACTCATAATTAGGAAACTATTTTTGATCAACCTGCTTCAGGTCAGTCACCTTCTTTGACCAAAAAAAAAAAAAAAAATAATAATAATTTTTTTGCTGTAACAATTATTCAGTACCCTTTGCTGACACATTTTTATCCTGAGACAAGAATTCTCTGTGATAATGCCGGTCTGTTTGTCAATTTCTATAATTGTGTTAAATATCAGAAATTACTGTTACGATTGTTATTCAACTTGCAGTCTATTTACTATTTGTTTTTACTGCATGTGCAGCATGTTTACATCCTAGTATTATTATGAATTTCCCGCTAAAACGTGTATTGATTTTCTCAGCCATTATTGCTGTGGTTTTTTTCTACCCCAAAAAATTAAATGTAGTATTTTCTTGTGGATTCGATAACCAATGACCAGTATATTTATGAACACCAAATAAAACACATGGCTCTATGTTTTCATACTTGAAGGTCAATTCCGGCGTGTGAGAAGAATAATTTCGGCAGTCCGACCGGTTTCTGCTTTAGTCTCAATAAAAATTTGTGATGTCTACTCTACAATAGACCACTAGACAAAGTACGAAGTTAAGCAGTCTGATACATGTTTCTCAACCAAAATTTAACGTAAAACACGATTCGTACAGTGAAAATTACTGAAATTGACTCCTAACCAAGATAAATCGCACACTAAAAATTACCATGACACTCTCTGCGATATGAAAATCTGGCAACCTCAATATTGACGCTTTGGCTCAGCTACATCAAATTGTTTACTCCTTGAACAATGGAGGGTGGGGAATGAACAATGTTTGATCGAGAAGCCTACCAAAACCGTTGTAGTTTGTGATTTGACGCATGTAGAGTATTGAGTTTCTTGTGACCGGGCAATTCAAAAGTCCTGTAACCAATGTAAAATGAAAACGTTAATATCTTAGTTAGGAGTTGATTTCAGTAATTTTTGATGCAAGAATCGTGTTTTAAGTGAAATTCTAGTTGAGAAATAAGCATCAGAATGCTTAAATTCGTACCTTGTCTAGTGGTCCATTACTCTACCAAAACACCGCATCAGTATAGTCAAACAAGAAGAGGCAAAATAAAAAAAATTGTGAATCTACTTTCATTAATATTTCCTATGATTTGAAAATTCCAGATGTATCTACCTAACTGTTTGCAATTGTGTTGGAATTTTTCCTTTGAAAGTTGTAGATTTTCGACCTAGAAGATCATTCTTGGTATATCAGAGCGAAGGACTAAAGTGAATTTCAAATTTAGTAAAGTATTGGAATGAATAATTTTTTTCTGTGTAAATGCCAAGAGGAAGTAGGAGTGGAGTCCCAATCAAAGCCCATGTGCTATTTGGCTAACTCGGAAAGCTGAAATAGTTGAATGACAATTAAGGATGTTGAAAGTAGTATCCCTATTTCATTTTTAGTTTTAGTTGTACAAAAAAGCAAAAAGTTTAAAATCATTTTACAGCGATAGGATATTTGCCAGTCTATATTGTCATTTTCGGGCCAAAATATCACAAATGCGATTTGTGCTTAGACCCTTCGACGCCTAACTTTCCAAACTTGTCTAATTTTTACGGAGAATCTAATAAAATAGAATAATTCAAAAATACCTATTCTCCTCTTGTCATCACAATTAATCCCTGAAACATTCATTAAAATATGTGTGAAAGTTTTGAAGAAAATTTCAAACGATATTGAGAAATCGAGGAACATAGCATGGAAGCGTAAGTGGCACTTGTGATATTGTAGCCAGAAGGTGACGATATCAAGACCATGGGTAAACTTAGTAAGAATTCTTAACTTATTTTTTCAATTGGCAAATTACGTTGAGAGAACATCTTTACAGTCTTTCCTCTTCTACATCTGGAAAAGTATTACACGACAATTTTACATACTAATTTGTGGACGATAATCGTTTTAGCCAAGCAAAATTAATGTTTTCAAGTTCTTACCAATATTTTCAGTCACTCATTTCATTTTAAGTTCACCGGGCGCCCTTCTACCCCCTTGGTATATTCTATCTAAAGCGTATTTAATGCATGAAGCATATCAGTGGATTATATCTTGAAAATTATATCAGGATGGTCATACATTTTTTTTCTTTTTTTTCCCCCCATACTGTCAAGTAACTATTTTTACACCAACTTCAATATTTTCAGGTTGTGATTTACTCCCTCCTTATAATTTTTTTTATAACTGTTGTAAATACATGGCTCTCATCTGTTTCCTGCCCTGTCTTCTCCAATCATTAGGTTTTCTAATTTATTTTAACATTTTCCTCCTGTACATGTGTCCATCTGTAAGTAATCTTATAGTTTTAGTCTAGGAAAATAATTGAAATCTTTGTAATTAAATGTGTTTTTATCTATATTAGATAATGTCAATTTTTAAATTTGTTCATACTGATTAAATTAAGTAGTTTTTAAAAAATTGAAAAATAAAAAAAAAATTTAAAAATTGGGCACATTTGTATTTGTTTGTCTATAAATAATTATTTTTGTAAATACATAGTAAATCAAAAAATAAATTAGTTTTATTTATTCTGAAGAACACAGCTTTGTTATTAGCCTATGTTCCCTCTGAATTGGTTGCTTCACCTTTGTTGGCATTGGCTGTCAAATAAGAAGAGTTAAAAACGTCGTGAGGAGGAACACCACTGAAAATCGGCGTTTTTGGCCCCCCGGGCGATTTGTGCAATATTACAGGGGCAGATAAGAATCAACTGAAGAGTCTTAAAATGGTCGGTTTTTTGCTCTACACCCCGAAGAACATAAGGGGGGGGGGGGGTGTGTCAAAGTTCAACATTTTGAATGCTCAAAACTTCTAAACAGTAAAATCGATCGCAGTTTTTTTTGGCGTTAGATTTAGCGTAAAAATACTGTAATTTTGGGTCATTGAACTAGAAAAAATAATTTTTATTTACCTTAGCTACGTTGCCTCTTCGTTATTAATTATATTTTGGCCAGCCTTTTTTTCATAATTTTGACCCTGTTGTTTAGCGCATTGTTTTTAACGCCACAAACTTTTCTCCTCAAAAACTAGACCCTCGAAGCTTTGAAACAAGCCTCAGATCGTGATGGTGAAATCATTTTCAACTGTGGTGTGGTCGTTTAAAATTGGCGTGATGGCTCATTAAATGTAATTCTCTGCATCATTGAGCGCTTAAGGGTGCGGCTTCAGGTGCTAATTCCTCCTTGCGATCAGCTCTACGAATGGAAATAATTTATTTTAGCCCCTCAGAGGCATTTTACATGTTGAGTGAATTACCATCGTTTTTTCAGAAACAAAGTCCATTCGTGTAAATGGGAGAGAATATACCGTGCAGCAACAGTGCGCCTTCAAGTATAACTTGTACGGACGCTTATAGATGGAACTGCGTAGGTGCATCTACGAGAACTACCATTTGATGAGGAGAGGATCACACCTATGATCTACTTCCACACATTTCCTTATCATTCTACGTGAGTAAAGTGACCGTAAGTGTGAAAAAGGACGTTATTTTCCTTGCAGGGCCGGATTTTGGGGGTGGCCGAATGGGCCGCAGCCCATGACGGCAAATTTTGCAATTTTTTTTAATGTAGCTATAAAGAAAAATCGGATTCAGAAAAAAATTACAAACGAGAAACGGTGACAAAATCTCTCATTTCCTGAGGGTATATCTCTAATTTTGTCGTCTTTCTGTGATACAATAGATAACACTTTTAATTAGTCGAGTTAAGACTTAGAGAGAAACCGAACACAGAATTTGGCCCGGAAAGACGCGGCGCAGAGAGCAATGTAATGTTGACGAGAACTTGAGATGAAAAGGAGAAACCCGCGGCGCGGCGGTCGGCATGTAACACATATTAGCGCCTACAAGACTGCATGAATACTTCACGCATTGCGTCAAAGACAGTGCGTGCAGCAGCGGTCGGCGTGAACCGCATAGCACATGTAAGACTGTAGAGATACTGCACGCATTGTGCCTAACACGGTGCGGTCAGCGTGGCGGCGGAAGTTAAAATTATTGAACCACATTTATGTTTGTTCTTTCATAATTTGTTCGTTTATTTCATGTACATGGGAGGCCTTGGAGGTTCACGGAACTTAACTTTCGCGCCAAGTTCCGTGAACTTTTGCTAGTAGTGTTGACAGTGCTTTCGCAAAAAATGTATCCAACTCGAGTGAACGCGTCTTATGCACTCCTCGCCCCCTCCGGCACGTTCACTTGATGGTTTTTATTGATGTTTCAAAACGAATGAGAAGGGGGCGGCAAAATACAGGCGGCCCATGGGCGGCAAGTAAGTAAATCCGGCCCTGTTTCCTTGGGAGAAAATTTTCCCATTTTTCGTATGCACGGAGGAAAAAATCTAGAAATTATGGCGCAAATTTGACTCCAAAATCTCGAAAGTTGAAGGGGATGATAGTCATGAAGTACAAGTATGAAAATCCTGAGGTAGTTAGAAATAAGGTTTAAGTGTTTGCAAAAGATTGAGGAAAATTTTCATGGATGATTTTCACAGATTCGGTCACATTTCAGCAAGTATTTCACAAAAGTCTTACGTACCTAAAATTTTGTTTTTACCATCGATATGAGTGATTTTCAGAAACTAACAAAATTTTGACACCAACTTGCAAAGTTTACGCGTGAATGACGTTGACGTGTTGATTTTTAAGGTGAATTTCACGTTGATTAGGCAACGACATTCGAAAGTTAAAATGTGCGAGTTAGAGAACGCACTCTTTTAGTTCTCCTTTCCAGTAAAATCAATGTGAAATTCACCTTAAAAATCATACACGTCGACGGAATTCACGCGTAAACTTTGAAAGTTGGTATCAAAATTTTGTTAGTTTCTAAAAATCACTTATATCGATTGTAAAAACAAAATTTCACGTTAAAGCGCCGAATTTTTCTGCTTATGAGGTACTGATATTTTTGGAAAGTCCTGTAAAAGTACTTAATATTCGCCAGCCAGTTTTAGTCGACACCCTGTTTACGTGACCCAAAAATCCCGGTATGGAGAGTTGGCAGTTTCAAAAGCGCCTTCAATTGTGGCATGATACATCTAGCATTCCAGAAAGTACGAATAGTCGTATCATTGCGCCTTAGCAATGCGATGGAATGTTAATGAGCCTCCACGTTGCCCTTGTCGGTTTTCCTTTGCCGTTATTGCAGTTTTGGCCGGGTGGTTTAAGTGTGCTCAAGCTAGGATTGTACTAAGCAAAGGGATAATTTTCATAGGCGAATTAAAAAGAAATAAGCGGGAAGTATTACATATATAACTAAAAAATAAGAACTCAAATCAACAATCAACTTAAAGGTACCGAAAAAGTACTTAATTTTTATGCCTCTGAGGTAATTACATTTTCAGAAAGGTACTGAAGAAGTACTGTAATTTTTGCCAGCCAGCTTTAGCCAGGTTATGCAAACGAGCACTGCTCAGTGCCAGGGCCGGATTAAGAGAGTGGCTACATGGGCCGCGGCCCATGGCGGCAAAATTAGGGGGCGGCAAATTTTGCAATTTTTTTAAATGCAGGTACAAACAAATCGGATTCAGAATAAAATTACAAACAAGAAAAGGTGACAAATCTCTCATTTCCTGAGAGTTCATTAATTTCTAATTTTGTCGTATTTCGGTGATACAAAAGACTGCGCACCTTTAATAATTAGTTGTGTTAAGAGAGAAACCAAACACGTAATTTGGCCTGGAGCGGCGCGGCGCAGAGAAAAATGATGACGAGGACTTGAGATGAAAAGGAGAAGCCCTATCGGCGCGACGGTCGGCATGTAACACATATTAGCGCCTACGAGACTGCATGAATACTTCACGCATTGCGTCAAACACAGTACGGTCAACAGCGGTCGGCGCGGCGCGAAACGCACAGTGCCTACAAGACTACATGAATACTTCACGCATTGCACCAATCACAGTGTCATCAGCGCGGCACGGCGGCGGAAGTTTAAATTATTAAACTACATTTATGTTTGTTCTCTCTTAATTTTTTAGTTCATTTCTTACAAATGAAAGGCCTTGTCCACACAGAGATAGGTTTACAGAACTGAGCTTTCGCGCGAAGTTCCGTGTACTCTTGCTACATGTAGTAGTGTTGACAGGGCTTACGCAAAAAATGTGTCCAACACGATTAAACGCGTCTTATGCACCCCTCCCCCCCTCCGGCACGTTCACTTGATGGTTTTTATTGATGTTTCAAAATGAATGAGAAGAGGGCGGCAAAATACAGGCGGCCCATGGGCGGCAAGTAGGTAAATCCGGCCATGCTCAGTACTCAGTGGTGTACCTATAAAAGTCGTTTTGGAGTCAATGATGTTGATTTCCAGTTTTTGATGCTTCAGACTTTTTGAAACTCGTACGAGCATCGGATCAAAATTGCGAGGCATAACTTGTATTATTCACGTCAAAAGGATTTGAAATCAACCGATTTTAACGGTAACTATGGCGCCGGCGTTTTTTTTTACGTTTTTCTTAAATTATTAGAAATTCATTATTCTCTAACTTTGGAATGCTCTCCGAGGGTAAACTTTGGTTATATTTTCATCCCTTTTAGCCGTGAAACAGTTACGTAAGTGTTTTATTTTTTCCCCACTTTAAATGGTTTTTTTGGTTGTCGCCATCTTTTATTTATAACACTGAAGTGAACTTAAAACTACTATGAAGCAATTAACGTGTGTGATCACTTTAGCTCTCCATGGCATAGCATTACGAATTCGTAACAATACCTATATTTTTTGGGTTTTTAAAAATTGAACCTTTCCTCTGTGGCATTGCACTTTGCAAATTGCACATTGCACATTGCACATTGCACTTTGCAAATTGCACATTGCAAATTGCACATTACACATTGCACTTTGCAAATTGCACATTGCACATTGCACTTTGCAAATTTTCATTAGTCTTCTCTATTTTGAATGTCTGATTCCCAAAAATTGTAAATTTTGAAAAAAAATTTGGATTCCCATAATTTTTATGCACGCTACAAAATAAATGAGTGTCCCGCGGAATCTGAGATCCAAACTTAATTCATGCCATAGAGAGTTAACAGGCGTAACGTGGTAGGAGGATGCATTCTGCGGCCGTGCTAAGGAAAATCGCCGTATGAACATTCGAGAGTTGCCAAATTTCCTCTCAGAAAATAGTTATCCTCAATAAAATTTTCACGCAAAACACGATGCGCACAAAGAAAATTACCGAAATCAACTCTTTACGAAGATATTCAATGATTCTTGATGCGTGAATTCAAACCACCCGCTCATGAAAACTCAATGCTCAATTCACATCGCGCGCTAGGCGTTATCATGACAGTCTCTGCAATATAAAAATCTGGGAACCTCAATCATTACGCTTTGGCTCAGCTATGGCAAATTGCTTATAGTTTGAACAACACATGGTGGGAAATGAACATTGCTCGATTGAGAAGCTTGCTGAAACCGTTGTAGTGTGCGATTTGACTCACGTAGAGCTTTGAGGTTTTTGTGAGCGATCAGTTCAAATTCCCCGTAACCAATGTGAAATAAGAACGTTAATATCTTCGTCAGGAGTTAGTTTCAGTAATTTTCGTTGCGCGAATAGTGTTCTACGTGAAATTCTGGTCAAGAAACATGTATCAGAATGCTTATTTGTACCTTTTCTAGTGGTGCATCATGTACAGTGGAAATCGGGGACAACGACCCTCTAGAGACCGGCCTGTTTTGGTCGCTGTATCCGACTGTCGTTATAACTGATGCACAAATAAACTGAGTCAATGGGAAGCCAATCACGGGTACGACCAATCAGGGGGGGACTGGTAGTCGAAAAGTTAGGAGGCGACCTAGATTTGGGGGCCCCTCCTGTCGTTCAGAGGCCCCTCTGAGGAGGTCCGGGGGCCCTCCCCCGTAAAATTTGGAAAATTTCATGCACATTTTTTAAACGCAACTTTAAGCATCATTGGAGTCAAATTTTTCAGTATTTGAACTTCAAAATAACCCGTTCTTAAGATTCTTCGGGGGCCCCTTCATCACATAAGCTTTAGGCGAGCTTTCATGTCTCTTAGAGACAAATTTTCAAGAATTTTGGGACCTTTTAGTGACTGAAGAGGATAGGAAAATTACAACATTACGGGGAAAAAACGATAACTCGAAAAAAATTCGCCGCGGGGGCCCCTTTAGGACCTCCGCGGCAAATTGTTAGGAGGCGATCGCCTCTCCGCCCCCATGGGCAGTCCGCCCCTGCGACCAATTCGCACGTCGTTATGACCGATATGTCTCCATAAGGGATGTCGTAATATCCGATTTTCACTTAAGTCTCATTTGACCGAAAATTAATACTTAACACATGTAATCTTGAAACTGATAAGTATAATAAGACATGATTAATGGGATTATGGTTTTATGATACTAGATAAAATGTAACAAGAAAATCACTCAAGTTTACCAAAAGTAAAGATTAGCCAAAAATGACTAGGAAAAAGGCAGATGGCTGGCCAAACCCAAACCCACGCCGGTTAGTACAAGTGGCAAGATAGAATTCTTGGATAAAAACTAAGGGAAGAAACTGGAGATATTCATCAAACCGAAAAGTTTATTTAGCTAATACAGATTTTAATTAACGCTACCCAGGTAGCATTTTCAACGGAAAACTTGGGCCTTATTGCAATTTTATCGGCGATAAAATCGCTAGGATCATTAACATCTAAGCGCGATTATCCTCGATTTTATGGGGATAAAATCGCTATTTCATCGCCAGGCAATTTTTCGCGATATTTTCGAAATAAAAATCGCGATAAATGGCGATTTAATCCGATTTTATCGACGAGAATTGATCACGATTTTATCGAACAAAAAAAATGCGATGTGCAGCGATTTAATCGCCATATATTTCAATTTTTAATACGATAATATCTCGATATATTGCCACCAATATACCTAATCGCGATAACCAACCGATAAAATCGCTATTTACCGCGATCACTGCTACTTGGTTAAGTACAGGTGGCAAGATAGAATTCTTGGAAAAAAACTACCTAAGGGAAGCAGCTGGAGATGGCCATCAAACCTATAAAAGTTCATTTAGCTAATACAGATTTTAATTAACACTAGAGTACCTTTATAGACTGATAGTGAGTATGGCCATTCGTATCTTTTTACTACAGGAAAACTGTTCCGCTTTTTGATTGGCCAACGAGTGTTTAGGCTTCATGATGCTCTTAGGGCCGTAAATAAACAAACAAGATGGCGGCTCACCTAACATCGATGAGAAGCTAAATTTGACAAAAATTTCAATTATGCGGCAGTAACAATTTAAACGAGCATAATATCTATGAATAGCACACGAAAAACACATGAAAACATTGTTAAATTGCCTTTCACCTTTATCACAGGAGGATGTAAGATGTGCATAACCTCAATCTTGCTTGCTGATAACGGCCATCTTGTTTGTTTATTTACGGCTCTAAGAGCATCGTGTCAGCCTATTCGCTCGCGACCAATGAAAAACCGGAACAGAAATGGCCATACTCTGTCTATAAAGGTACCTACTCTAATTAACACTACCAACTAGGTTCAAACTAAATTATCATCCGTCGTCAAAACAATCCCCATCTTTTTTTTCTTCGAAAATCGGTTTCGTTCACCACCAAGCATATATTCCTGCCGCTTCCGAGCAGCGGCCTGTACAATTTGTTTATTTTCTCACAAACCCAGTACGAATGACCTTCGATCTCGGGGCCGCCATTCCAGTTGATAAGTTTTTGATGCATATCTTCGTGAACGGAGCAAACACACAAACGCACCTTGTTGCAACGACCCGAAGCAATTGGCAGTATAATTTGTCTTACTACTTCAGTTTCAATGCCCTTTATCATTTTATTTTCTTTTATAGGGTATTCGTATTTCCCCCATTCCTTTACACATCTCCGGTTGCATTCTGGATCCGCTTCGGGATTGCTCTTCATTTTGCAGCCTGAAACAATCGTAAAACATGGAATCAGTTCGTCTTATACCACAAATAACTCAATTACCGAGAAATGCGCAGTTCAAATCGCTCAACTTATACGCAAATTTAAAACGCCCCGGTTTCGCGCCGCACCGAATGATGTCATCCGGCACCAATCAGAGGCGGGCACGGGTTTCCACGACGTCCGTTAAATGTCTATCTACGCTTCATATATGAGAACAATACGAAATTCGAAATTATATATCTTTTGAATTCAAGACTAGAATCTCATTCATATGTTAGCTGTAATAAACAAGCAACAACTCCACATTAAAGTACGTTTTATTTTAACAAACATCAGAGGCAAATGAGAGAAGATTCCGATATGACTATACCGCAGTACATCAACCGCGTCAGTTTCCCGCCATTCGGGTGCGTTTGAAATGTCTTGCAGTTTTTAGATTTTTCAAGAGCGGTTTTCTTCCCGATTTTGGCTCCATGAAAATGCGGAAAAATCACCACGTTATCTCCTCACATAGTACTTTCAGAATATAGAATAGTACTTTTACTATAGAATAGTACAGAATAGTACTTTTCAATAAAATAAACAAGGTTTAGTGACCCAATATCTTGAATCTTGAACTTACCCAGTAATCTATTAAGAACTGGGGGTTCCGCATAACCCTCAAGATGGACATGATTGTGTACAACAAAGTCACCGTGCTTAGGGCCGGAGCGACTCCCTGATCTTGGGAGCGCCGTCTCCGTCTGTGCCGGGGTCGGCGCCGTTTCCAGACGCGATACGGACGATTGCATACTCTGCGCATCTTCCAGGTGCTTCGCGGGGGGTGTGGCCCCCGAACTCGGACTCCTCTCAAGATGTGCGGGGGACTGGCTTCCTCCTGAGCTTGCTGCTCTCTCGAGAACTGCCTGAGGGTTTTCGGAGTTCTTCACGTGACCGTTGCTCGTCGAGGATTCTTTGAGTAACTTTTGAGCCTTTTTGACAGCGTCGTCCTTGGTGTCCGATGAAGTGCCCCCTGGAAACTCCTCCGCCAGAACGAACGTCCCATCCTTAGATGCGCCTGCAAAATTCATTTTGAAATTACTTATTTGGACGTATTTTTGCTGAAAGGAACTAAAGTTCCTTTACAGAGAGAGTTGAGACAACGCGGTTTGTTGATGTCACATAGAGTACCTATATTGAGAGAGTATGGCCACTGAGGTTACCACCTCTGATTGACTCAGCCATCTTAGGCTAATTGGAGCCCCTAGGACCCAAAAATGGCGGACGCCATAAATTAATGTAATGCAAAATGACTCAAAATGTAGTTTTCTTTGCTTATCGTAACGAGAAATTTACTCAAATGCACTATTGCGACATCTTTACATATTTTTAAGGGTAATCGTGTGTAATTTTTGAGAAAAATTATCTTAGATGTAGTAAGGTTGGCAGCAAGTGCGGTTGGTGATAACCGTCAAAAGTTGGCAATGACCCCCCCTCCCATCCACAAAAACCAAAACAAAGCACCGCCATTTTTGGGTCCTAAGCCTCTCCATGGGGCCCAGTGGCCATACTCTCTCAATATAGGTACTCTAATTTCTGCTAAAAGGAACTAAAGTCCCTTTATGGAGAGAGTTGAGACAACGCGGTTTGTGGATGTCACAAACGGGAATAAAGGAATAAAATTACACAAATCGGAGCAGGGCCAGATTAAAAGGGTTGCCACATGAGCCGCGGCCCATGGCGGCAAAATGTAGGGGGCGGCAAATTTTGCAATCTTTTTTAATGTAGGTATCAAAAAAAAGGAAGAAAAAATCGAATTCAGTAAATAAATTACGAACGAGAAAAGGCGAAAAAATCTCTCATTTCCTGAGAATAAAAGTATATCAGTTTCTAATGTTGTCGTCTTTCGGTGATACAAGGGACGACACCTTTAATTAGTCGAGTTAAGGGAGAAACCAAACACGGAATTTGACCTTGAGCGGAGTGGCGCAAAGAGCAATGGTGGCCCTCGGCGCGGCGCGGCGGTCGGCATGAAACGTATAGCGCCTACAAGACTGCATGAATACTTCACGCATTGCGCTGAACACAGTGCGGTCAGCACGGCGTGGCGGCGGAAGTTAAAATTATTAATAAATTAGGCATTCCTCTTGAAAGCACTGTTTTCATTGGCTCTCATGCACCTACTACGGCTATCTAGAAAAAAACTATGTCATGTTTTGTGCACTTGCGGCTTTTTCATACGTCGCGTTTTCATTAAATTAGGATGAATTTTGCTGTTTTAGCTGTCTCAGTAATTTTATCTAACAGAGTTTAGACGAATTATAAAGGAAACTCGATTTCGAAAATTTTGCACTTGCGGCTCTCTTCGCTATCACGGTAGACTAGACAGACAACGAATTCTCACCTGATCCTGATCGGGACCTGCTCGAACGAAGAACGCGAAGTTTCACGCCCCTTCTACTCTTTATCGCATTTACGAGTTTACGCTTCTGCTTGATAAGACCGCTGGCTATGAAAAAGGCTTTCTCTTTCTTGCTGAGATTGAGCTTTTTGTTGGCGACGCACCAGCAGATCCAGAACAAGCACCTCCCGTTCGTGACGGGGATCTCTCCCTCCTCCGGAAGTTCCACGGTCCCGTAGCGAGCCTTGCAGTGGCTATCGCACGTCTGCGTTATCGTCACCTTCCACACCTTGGCTACGATCGGGCACTTCCTTTTGGCCTCTAAAATCAAGAGAACATCGTCAGAAGCAGCGACGTTTCCATGGGGAAGGGGGGCTTGGGGCCTTAAGCCCCCCCCCCCCCCNCCCCGAAAGCAAAAAAAGCAGGGGAAAAAAGAAGAAAAGAAGAGACGGAAAATAACCCTGATAAAAATTGGCAGTAGAATCTGTGTTCCAAAATAACATGGACCTACGGCCGGCTGTAAGATTTCCAATAGCTTCTATAGCCGGCTACACAATTTCTTATAGCCTTTTTTAGCCGATGGCGATTAAGCAACTCACAACCAAGCGATGAAGTGTATGCTAAACGTCATTAATTACGGATGCTAGGACTTGGTGAGTTTTTGGACCACTGCTCTCTTTTTGGGCCGTAGTATCTTGATTTATTTTGCGAGGAAAGCTCCGTACTTTTGATGTATGCCTGCCATTCCTAATATATTAGAGCGCCTTCAGTTTCGCATGATACTGTGCAATACCTGTGGTGTGAAATAGTTGCTTCAAGCGCCGTGGCACGCTGCGGTGCGGCAGGCGGGCAGCCAGCGCGAAACGCGCATTGGCGCCTACAAACCTAACAGGGATACTTCACGCGCTGCGCAATGCGTGAAGTATCCCTGTTAGGTTTGTAGGCTCCAGTGCGTCGCCCCTCCGCTTTGTGTTAGGCTCTAATAATTAATCTGGCGGAGTCAGCGTTATTCAACTCATGATTTTGAAATGTTTGCACATCCTGTATGGATTATTCCCGTTTTAATTGATGAAAAAAAAAAAATATGTATTTAAGGAAAATATAACGTGTGTTTTGTACATATTAGGGTGGTTCCGTATCAAATTCAATGATTTCCAAAGCACACGAATTTCTACACAATTTCTTATAGCCTCTTATAATTGATGGCGAAAAAGCAACAGCCAGGCGATAAAGTGTAAAGCCCGGCGATAGGAACTATATAGCCCGGCTGCATAATTTTGTATCGCTTCGTATAGCCCGGCCGTATGATTTTCTCCGCATTCTACAGCCAGCTATATGATTTTCTGTAGCCTTCTTTAGCCGGCTATAAGAATTCCTATGGTATTTTGAAACGCAGCTCTTATCGCCAATTCTTACGAGGGAAGGAAAGGCGAGAAAATAGGAAGTTTGACCTTTCAAAATGTGTCCAAATAGAGTTCAAATTTCATCCAGATGTGTTGAATGCGACAATTTTTAAAGTATCTCAGGTTGAAAGTAAAAAAGGAAACGGAATTTTTCCGCAGAAATTGGTGGAAAATCTGCGTCATGGAAACCTCAATATGCGTCCAAATAGATTTAAAATTTTCAACATTGCCGGGAAGGCCCCCCGATTTCTCAGAAAACATGTAAACCGTTTGCAAATTACCGGCGATTGCTAATTGCCTGCGACATTCATAAGCTCAAACCACCAAAACACTGTTCGGTGGCCAGCGCAACTGACACGCTCTCATCTTGTTTCCTGATTTTTCAAACAACTCAAGATTTGTCTCCACCCCACAATTTTACGCAGACTAGCTATTTGATCATGATAACTGATAAATGGGAGGGGAGGGGTTAGTTTTAATAGTCTCAATTAGAATCAGAGAAACGAAATCAGAGAAATGAGCAAAAAATTTTCCTCTTTCAAAAAAATTGAAATTAATGCAGTTCCAATCCAATCGACCTCCAAAACAAAAACATACGATCCAAAAGTAAATGCCGAACTCCTCAGACTGTTTCGTAACCTGTATAGAAAACATTAGAGTGTCGTATGAATCGAAGGTCACGTAATTCACACACAATTTTATTGCCTAAGCGGAGAACTCACATACGATTATTCTGTAAATATCTCTGCTCTCTGCAGTAAAACAACTCATAAAATCTGCACATGTAACCATGAATAAATTTCAATTGTCTCGAAAGTATATCAAAATACATGGATCCATCTGATCGATCAGAAAGTATGATATTTTGTACGTATTTCTCTCCTCCATATAGCTAGACAGTTGGACTACAATTTGCAGTTGGAAACTACAATTTTTGGCTCAGCCTAGAAACAACGTATGTACCCATAGTTTCGCTATGCACAAAGTTGGTTTTACGGATGAGCCTGAAATTGGACGTATTTCTGCCAAACGGAACTGTAGACGAGTGGGAACGATGGGGTGTGCTCTGGAAAGCTGCATAAGAAACAACGATAAAGTGGGCGTGATTTCTTTTGGAGAAATGGAAAAGCGGGATTTTATATTCTGTCGAACGGAACTATGTGCCAACTGAATGCGGCACTCATGAGCCATGGACATGTGGCAAGAGCGTTGTGGATTGGGCTCACGAGTTAATGTGTTACCGGATCGTGCCGCTATGACGTCAGTGGCACTTTATAATTCCCATTCATTCTCGCGGCCTTTGACTAAAGAGCACGCCCCTTCTTTCCCCCCTGACTGTGGTTCCGTTTGGCAGAAATACGTCAAATTGTAGTTCCTAATTGCAAAATGTGGCCCAGTCGTGATCCTAGTTTCCTGACTCCTAGTTTCGTTTCCTAAGCTTTGAATTCACACACGATCATGTAGCAAATATTGCTTCCTCCCTTAGCAAGACAGCTCACGACATTCGCACATTGACCATGGATAATAGGTCACTAAACTATGAACAAATTTTGACTTTCGAATACATGATTCTGAAGGTAAATGACACGTAAAACACGATGCGCACAATGAAAACGCGAAAAAGTAACCAAATAACCGAAAAATACGGTATTTTAATCGCTCAACCTATCCGCAAAACGCCCCGGATTCGCGCCGAACCGAATGATGTCATCCGGCACTAAAATCAGATGCGAGCTTGGGTTTCTACGCCTTCCGTCAAATGTCTATCTACTCCTCGTATGTGAGAACAATACTAAAGTCGAAGGTATATCTTTAGAATTAAGAAATCGAATTTCATTTATGTTATCTGTAGTAAATAAACAACAATGCCACATTGAAATACGTTTTATTTTAACAAACATCAGTGGAAAATGAGAAAAGATTGCGATTTCACTACCGCAGTGCCGCAGTTCACCACACCGTTGGTGTCCCGCCATTTGAAATGTCTCGCAGTTTTTTGATTTTTCAAAAGCGGGTTTCTCCGCAATTTCGACTCCATAAAAATGCGAAAAAATCACCACATTATCTACTCACTTAGTACTTTCAGAATATTAAATAAAATGAACAAGGTGTAGTGACCCATTTTCACATGTACAGAAAGCGTATGGAACTCACCTCCACAAATTAAGAACAAGCTGAAGACGAGAAGGGCGCCGGATACCGCGATACTTCCTCGCATTTTCAAAACTAAATGCAAGCAACAGGTTCTGATCTTCGTGACCGGCAAAAATGCGGGAAAACAGGGGCAAAAACGCAAGTATCGTGACACGTGCAAAAGGACCCGGAAAATGCGATGACGTATACTGCCGTCCTAAAAAAAAACGCCGCATGCGCATCCAGACGTTGCCATGTCTCCTTCGATGAAGAATAAATTTACTGTGAAAATGGTGAATAATTTTCCTCGAAAATTCCAGACGATTTTGTTCGCACTTTAATCTAAAAGATCTGAAAACTAGGAAAAATATTCATAACTTTCCTCAAAAATGAACATTGTATGGGTGGAAATTTGGCAAGTTTCGAATGTTCATACGGCGTTCTTCCATAGCACGATAGTATACAAATCTGCGCTACGGTTCAGAGTTGTCACATTTGCACCCTTTGAGACCTGCTGCCGTGGTAAGGAAGAACGCCGTAAGAGGCTTCAGACGTTGCTACATTTCCTTCGAGAAAAACCGAATTTACAGGGATAATTGTGAATTTTTTTTCAAAATTTTTATACAATCTCGTACGCAATTTAATCTAAAACCTCTGAAAATTTTGAGGAGAAATATGCATAGATTTCGTTAAAAATATATCTTTTATCCGGGGAAATTCGGCAACTCTCGAATGTTCATCCGGCGTTCTTCCTTAGCACGGCAGTGTGCAGCTTAAATGCGACATTTAAGTGGTTGTAAATCGTTATGGCGCTATGCCTGCTAAGTGTTCTGTAAAGAAATAAATCTAGTTTCCACTAAATGATGCAAAACCCATTAGCTACGAAGCAACTGTTGTTGTCACAAGAGCTGAGATGAGTTATCATGGCTGCACGATCGGTGGGATTCACGGTTAAAAATTCGGGAGAGAAATAAGGAGTGTTGTTCCGATTCGGAACCTGTTTTGCTCCCAATAATCCCGAGTTGTAGGAGATCAGGTATATGAATACTAGGGGGCTATAAGCCTCCTGGCCGCTACGTGGCCCAACCCCTCGAGCGCGCTTTGCGATCTCTTAGGCCCACTTCGACAAAAGAACGACCAAACGTGATGAAATGATTTTCATACCCAACTCTCATTTGTCCATCTCCCTCTGGTCGTGAGAGATTGGACCAATAAAAATCGAATAAAAACATCGGCATTTATTTCAAACTTCACGCCAAGACTGAAACGAAACGGAACGGAGCGTTTTGTCACTTTTGAACAGTCCGTAGCAAAGGAGCATACCTTCAATTCACTTACCCTACAATAACAGACCAAGATTCACTGTTTCCCGCTTAGTTCCATTTTCCGCTAAATTTGAATTTCCCGCCATTGTTCATAGGCGAGAATTTCAAATTTTGCCCCCCCCCCCTTCCTAAGCGACAAAGCACACGGGAGACTTTCATGAGCCGCAGCGCGCGCGACCTGCCCTTCATTATTACATGTCATCTAGCGTCGAGAGTTCACTTATTACTTCACACGATCCGTGTGTACTTTTAAAAGTCGAAGATTAAAATAAAAAGAAAAAAAAAAAATTACACTATGTACGAGTTTCTCCGTCAGGGAGCTCTCCCCGAAAAAAATCGTTCACCACTCGACCGTCGGGGGCGCCGCGCGGCGTGCTACCAGCTCAAAACGCGCGCTGACGCCTACAAACCTAAAGGGCTACCTCACGCATTGCGCAATGCTTGAAGTATCCATTTAGGTTTGTAGGCGTCAGCGCGCGTTTCGAGCTGGCAGCGTCAGCACGCCGCTTCGCAGCGTGCCATAAACTTGCCCACAATTAATAGGTAAGGGTGTTAAAATGAAGCCAATTTGACATCAAATTCGAAAGTAGCGATTTAAAAAAACATCAGTCACAAAACTTACGTGATCTGGAAGTGATTATCCGACTTATTTCTTCCTATTTTTGAGTTTTGGACCATAGTGCGCCTCGGGCGGCGACACTCATGAAATTCTCCCCTGTGCTCAATCGCTTCCAATATATAGTTATAAGTTCTGTGGCCTACTCTTATATAAAAAAACCTGAGTTCTATTTTCAAATTCTGATTACTCTAGGCTCATTTAGGGACTATCACCTGTCGATAACCGAAAAAATCATGGAAATTGGCCCAGTAGAACGCTAGTACCAAGCGTTCGTTACCAGATATGCTGTAGGAGGTCTCGGAGCTGATAGTATAGAGATGGGGTGATATTCATCCTGCAAGAACTATGTTAACCCTCCAATAGGGTAACCTAGGATCAAAGGGGGTAATCGCATTCCCGTCTTACGTGGAGAAGCGATCGACCAATCAAAAAATGGACTTTCCACGGATCGTCGAATAAAAGTCATCGGAGTTGGATAGTCCATTTTCTGATTGGTCAAGCGATTTGAAGCAGGGACGGGGAAACACTGGAAAAAAAGTCGCTTGGATCTAGAGTCCAGACGCTTAAAAACATCGACAAGAAAAAGTATTCTTGATCCAATCGGATTTTTGCTTAAATCGAGAACCAAGTCTCTTAGTTTAAGCGGATTTCCTTTTGATTCAAGTAAAAATCCGATTGAATCAAGAGTATTTTTTCTTGTCATTGTTTTCAAGAGTCTGGACTCTAGATCCAAGCGACTTTTTTTCCCGTACAAGAATGCCGGAATCATACGCTGAATTTGGCAGCTGAAAATGGAAGTCAATAGTCATCGCTCAACAGCTGAAATTTCGCAAATTCGAGTTATTTTCATCCAAATGTGTATCAAATCTGCTCGAATAGCTGTTCAAACAAATCCAACAATAGTCCGATGGTTGCTGAGGATCGTTGCTGAATTTTCACGCGCAAAATTCAGGCATCGGGCCGATGACTTCCACATTCAAGCCACATTAAGCTCCCACATTCAGCGTCAGATTGCGGCAGAACTCCGGAATGAGTTGATCAAATATTACGAAAAACGTTCAATTTGTGTAATTTTTATTCCCGTTTGTGACATCCATGCGCCGCGATGTCTCAACTCTCCCTATGAAGGGACTCTATATTAAACCATAAACAAGGTGATTCGCCGCAGGTCAAGAGAGGTAAATCAGTAACAAAAGAAAATTTTTGATTGAAGTGAGACTTGATTTTTGGTAATTCTTTAAAATTCGATTCGACAACTCGGACGAGTTGTCGAATCGAGCACTTCTTAAAGCTTTGCGTGAGTTCTCAAAATTCATCTTGACTCATCCCATAAATCTCCAATTCTCCAACGTCAAGAGAAGGTACTGCGTGCGTGAGGCTTACACCTGAACGCGTCAAAACGACAGCCGAAAAAATAAAAAAAAATCGGCTTGCTTTAAATTGTACGCACACAAAGATATGCGCACACCATTAAAAAATGAGGTTCGTCTGAGCAACTGAGCACGGCGTAGCGCTGTGGTGCGTTAATTCAGCAATTTAGTTCTCAGATTCAAATGTTTTAAAAAAAATAAAATTGCAGAAGTGACACCGCCGTGTGCTCGACTGCTCGGATTTAAAAAGTCTCGCTCCGTGGATGTACTGAAAATGTATTTAAACGGATTTTAATCAGTCACACTGCTAGGTTACGTAAAAAAGCATCATGAGGAAAAAGTGAAATTTTGAGAAAATGAGGACCTATTATGCCGCCGTGCTAGGGAAAAACACCGGATGAAAATTCAAATGTTGCCTAATTTCCCCTGATAAAAAGTGTATTTTTGAGGAAAGGCATATATATTTTTTTCCTGAAATTTTCAGAAATAATGGAACACTAGACAAGGTACAAGTTTCAGCATTCTGATACATAATACTACACCAAAATTTCACGTAAAACACGATGCGCACAACAAAAATTACCGATATCAACTCCTTGCGAAGATATTTAATGATTCTTGGTGCGTGAATTCAAACCACCCGCTCATGAAAACTCAATGCTCTACGTGATTCACATCGCGCGCTAAACGTTATCATGACCGTCTGTGCGATAAAAAAAATCTGGCAACCTCCGTGTCTAGAGTACCTGTATAGGGAGAGTAGCGACAGATCGGTTCATGGAGGGCTTAGGGCCCAAAAGTGCAGCCACCCTTCTGAGCAACTTCTAACACACAAAATTTCACTGCCAGCCTACAGATTTCAATTCTAACCAAGATGGCTAAGAATGTACATAAATGAGCGTTCTTTCGCAAAAATAAGTAAATTTATGCAAAAAGTAAACCAAATACATGCTTTCTAAACGACGGTTCGTAACAATTGTATTTGTAAATCGCTCTGGACATTCGAAATTCATAGGTTGGCTGCCCTTTTGGGCCCTAACTTTATTCGCGGAGGCATCGGTGAAGGCCTGATGGACTTTCGGAGTTTCAGATCTGTCGCTACTCTCCCTATACAGGTACTCTATCCGTGTCGACGCTTTGGCTCAGCTATAGCAAATTGCTTACAGCTTGAACAATACATGGTGAGAAATGAACATTGTTCGATTGAGAAGCTTGTTGAAACCGTTGTGGTGCGCGATTTGACTCACGTAGAGCTTTGAGTTTCTTGTCAGCGGGCAGTTCAAATTCCTCGTAACCAACGTGAAATAAAAAGATTAATATCTCCGTTAAGAGTTGTTTTCAGTAATTTTCGTTGCGCAAATCATGTTCTACGTGAAATTCTGTTTAAAAAACATGTATCAGAATGCTTAAATTCGTACCTTGTCTAGTGGTCCATTATGCTGCCGTGCTAGGGAAAAACACCAGATGAAAATTCAAATGTTGCCTATTTTCTCCTGATAAAAAGTGTATTTTTGAGGAAAGTCATATATATTTTTTCCTTGAAATTTTCAGAAATATAAGATGAAAATGCGTACAGAATTGGTTGGAAAAAATGTGACAAATTTTTCCTGCGAATTCGGTTTTTAGCAAAGGGAATCTAGCAACGTCTAACGACTCATACGGCGTGTTTCCTTAGCACGGCAGCGTTGGTGACTTTGCCAACGTTAGCGCGTTAGAATACATACATAAAGTCGCTTTTATAGCGCCGCCTCGCGCTCTGCGACGCCCAATC